GATGTGCGGGACGGTCGGTTAGCCTGCAGATGGTTGTTTTCTCGTGGCCCCGCCTGCGACCCTCGGATCTGTTCCTGTCTCTGACATGGAAGCCAAGGGCAAGCTTTCCACGGGGCCGATGCAACCGTTCGATTAGCGAGGCGAGGGCACTGCCAAACTTCCACGCGTTCATGCTGGCACTTTTCCTGCAATGGCAATGTGGCACAGCGCTAAAATTGGTTCGCCCTCAATCTCATGACGCTTTGCCCGCGGGGGTAGGGGGCGAAAAGAGCGGCGCTGCCAGATCGCGATCACTGGGCATCAAACAGCCCTGTCCTTCCGGTTTGTTGCAGCACATTCCAGCAAAACGCGAAAAGCTCCCATCACTCCCACGTGTCCGGAATGTTTGCCGTGGATCGACTATCGATCGCGCGGTGACAGAATGGAGCCAAGTGCCGATACTCGTATGTACAGTGTACACTTCACGCGATGACGTCCTGCATAGGGTTAGACACACCGCAGTATTGGCGTCGCTCTCGAAGAGCATCTCTACCGCTTGAGAGAAACCTGTAGATTCACCGATGGATATGGATTACGGAACTCTCTTCCCATCCTTCGCCAAACTGAGGAGGTGCACAATAGAGATCGTCTTTTGAAACTGCCAAATGGAGCCTCTACGGAGTGCGCAGCCTTGGAAAATCGGACCATTAAAGGCGATTATGGGCACTCGCTCCATGGAAAGGCCGAAGTTGAGAACCTTGTGTGATTTACCGGACGATTCTATGCTAGAGTGACATTCCGCAGTAGGGCACGATCTCACTGTGCCGCACCATTGTCTGTCCCGGTGGCCACACATCGGTGATCTGGTGACGAAGCTTCACCTTCTCGGGCGCCATTTTGTTGCCCGATGACCACGGCTGTGGGCCGACCGTTGTTTGTTCTGGATCCACCAATCCTTCAGGATGAAGAAGCTGAGCCGTCCAATATACCAGCTGAACAGTCTCGAGTGCTTCGATGAGATTCTCTGTAGCAGTCACACATTATCTTTTCTCAACAACTCTGATTTACGCATCTACACTGCACTAGCAGCCATGCACCGTTCTTCAGGTGAGCCCTAGCTCACACCAACATTTTCCTCATCGGTAGCTGTCGACCGCAAAATCGGAGCCTCCACATGGTTATTGGCCGTCGGGTCTGCTAGCGTGCTGCTGAGGTGGCATCGTGATCCACCGCCTCGTGCCCGGCCTGGCTTGTTGGCACTGTCTTCCCGGGATGGCAAAATGGCCAGAAACCCAACTGGAGCTCTGTCTTGGCGGAACGAAATCCTTTCCTTCTAGAAGGCCCGCCAAGATCCATGATCCCAGATGGCCCGATTGATCATTTCCTCAATCTCGAACACGATCGAGATGGTGCCATGCTGTGGATGGAGCAATCGGTATCTCTGCTGAAACTATGTCGCACACTAATTATTAATGTTTTGTACGGCCAAAGGACGATCACTTCGAGCCTTCTGCATACTGCTCAACGCTTGCTCGTCTGCCGAGGCTCTCCGGTTGGGTGCTGCCACTGTGATGGAACGGCGGATGCCTGGGAAGATGCCCACAGAAACTTCCGCTGCAGCCGGACAAGATTCAAGAACACCTGGGGATCCATGCGATCTTGCAGTGGTGTGCAGGGCTGATCGTCTGTTGCTATGATGCACGGTGGTCTATCCAAGTTATACATAAGAGTTTTGCGCAGTACAAAACCTAGTTTGCCGCGGAATACCATAGCAGTGTGTGCATACATGCCTCAAAACAGGGATATCGAGATCGTTACCGAATCGAACAGTCACAGAGAAGATCATCATGCGTAGAATGTGGAAAATGACGGTTGCCCTGGAGCCGTGTTTATCGTCCTACTTGTAGATGCACCACCACGCCAGCCAACCAAAAAGTCGTCAGTGATATTTTGTAGGCCTCTCCGGCAAGTAACCATACACACTCTTCACTTGGCGGTTAAGTCAGGTGTTGACACGGTGCACTGTCACCTCAGGCAAGGCCGTCGGCTGGGCGTGGAAGGATTTATCACTCGGGAAAAGCATGCCCGACATGGGCACAGTACCAGTCAGGTTGTCCAGGATCTTTCTAGTGCCTGACACTGAAGAACTCTTGGCTCCCATCATGCCCTTGATAGGCGAGGCCTACAGGGGCAGTTGGATGTGGTGTGTCTATGGGGCATCTATGGCGAACCTGTGTACCGCTATTCCGGGCTGCATTTAGACCGAGTAGTCGCCAGATAGACATTACTGTCTTTTTTTTCCCCGTTGCTTACTCTGTTCAGAAGCTGAGTACTGGGTATCACCGTGTTTGATCGGACAGCTCGATACTCTGCGTTTCGGGGAAGTTTGATTTTTCCATACTGCTCTGGAAAACTAAATTCAAAACCAATGAGCTTGCGATCTGCTCATGCCACACAACTCCCAAGCAAACACAACATTATGCTCTCACAACACTCTCAGCGGACGCATTCAATGAACAAGGCCAGCAAGGTGGTACCAGCTCCGTCGAAGTGACCCGAAGGATCACTCTGGCTTGAGACTTGTTTCTATTCAATCTGCGCACACAGGTATCTCTTCCAATGAATGGGCTGGATGGATGTTCAAAACCCCCCCACTTCTGTATGCCTGTCTGGGGTCTTTGCCGCGGGCGCCACGGCCACGGAGGACAGCTTTCCTCCCTCCCAACAAACCCAAGCACCTGGGCACGCCAATGGATCTGTTCTGCAAAGAAACCGAGTAAATAATCGTACCGTGGAGCGCGGATTAGAGATCTAAGTTACTAGGCTGCCTCTCGAATCCGAATGATATCCAATCCCCGTTCCCGCACTCCGGCACCATCAGCGCAGGATTCGCGGCGGTCATCATGACGATCTAAGCACTGCTCAATCCCTAGACGGAAACGGGATCTAATTACAGTTGGGCTGACATGATCCTGTTGGCATCAGGCGCGTTATATGTAGGGAGAGTATAACCCACAATCCGTGCATGCATGCTTGCATCAGGCACCGTCGCTGTAGGCGCCCATTGGCCTGCCCAGCCGGGTCAGGACCCAACAGCAGCCGGTGAGAGCCGGATTCGCGAATCGAGTCGCTGCTCGGGTCGCGTTGCAATGAAAGATGCGGCATCTGCACGTCCTGTATTACCCGCGATCGTAACCCAGCGATCCAATGTCTAGGGGACCTTGCGGAGGACTTCTGCTCCCGGTGCTCACTCTGTGCGCAGGCCCTCTATCACAACCGTTCGAACCGCTCTCTTCTCCCGGTACACTATACTACGGGGTATTTCTCCGATTTTGCGGTTCTTCATGGGCCACATTGGATCTTGTGGATGGTTTGTACGCAGTCTTGGTCATTAGCGCTGACTGTGGCCTTGTGCACTTGGACCGTAGCTCTATATCCCTTATACAAAGCAAGAAGCTTTTTGGATGATCGACTAAAATTTTAGTATGTGTTTCCTCATAATCACCCATATGTTGCCAGCATCATCTCCAACCTTTACTCGCCGCTTCTGAGCAAGCCCGCTGTCGAGGATCAGGCAGCCGGTGTTGACAGGTCAACCCGCGCTTCAAGTACCCAGATCTGTGACGCACCGAGGGAGAGGATCAGATCATCAGGCTGCCAATGTGCCAACGGGAGACCGTTCGAGCATCGGCGAATGGCAGCGACATCACTTCACTAGTGTGCTCGTAAGATGAACAGGAGGCGGAGCACACAGCAAAGACAGAGCTGGCATCCGTACAAGGCTTGGCATGTCTGGGTTGCCCTCAGTGCATCGCGGGATACGGAAGTGAAGGGGAGACAACGGGGGTTTGGGAGAGGGGGCGTGGCAGCCCAGAGAGGAATGGGGTGACAAGGTCCCAGTCGAAGTACATACTCCGTAATCCGTACCGTTCCTGGTCGCCGCCCCACATCCAGACTGGCAGGGAAGGCAGAACTGCGAGGGTGTGGGAGCTTTGCCGTTCCCACAATCCCATTTCCACGGGAGAGAAGGTGACCCACCTCTGATCTCGATCCATCGCCCCCTCACACCCCCGATCCACACAGTGCCCAGCTTTATGGGTGGACCCCGAGCGGCAGCCGTCTCCCCCCTTGACCCCCCTTCACACAGTCATGGTCAGTCGGCGCTCGATGCTGGCACAATCAGCGAAGACACAAAACCGGCCTGCACCCGCCACCCTCCAGTTGGCCTCGTCTCGTCTCGCCCTCTTCATTCGATCCGCACACTATCTGCATCTTGCTGCGTATTGAAACACTAAACATTTGCCCTTCACCTGTGAGAGCCTGTTGTGCTCGTCAGCATTTGGCACTTTGACAATAGGCAAATACACGATCCACGAGAACGAGAGTTGGAATTGGAAGAACGCTGCCGGTCGAGTCGACCGCAAACCCGTACACCTGCCCATCAGCACATTCCCACCCACATCGTACCGATTACATCCGCCTGGACGCAGACGGCAGTTCTTCGTCCTATCTCAACGCTACACTATACTTCGATTGTCCCATCTGCCGTCTCTACGCTGTGCCTTCTCAACAGAGCTTGAACGTCTGGATCCTCGCTTGACTTCTGACACGGGCTGTCACCCTACTTCGCCTTGCTGCCTTCCTGTTTACCTGCTTTCCACCCGAACATCGTAGACCGCATATATCGACACTGCTGCGCCAACCATACTGCTGCCCATCCGTCCTGCTCGGCGCATGCTTTAAGGGAGAGCGTAAGAAGCGAAGTCGTGGTTATCATCACTGGATCTCAACGTGGTCTTGAATAGGCCCGCTATGGAAGCGGGCGAGTTGGGAGTGAGGCAAAGGTTTGTTTGGCCGTTCCTTCTAATCCGTGGGCCTGTTCTCAAATATGATTGATGCGACTTGCTCTAACCTCTGTCGCTCATGTATGCAGCGGAATCACAACTGCAAACAGCCTTGAGCATCTTGACAGGCGCCCCAGAGACCAGAGAATCGAGACATCGTACTCTCCAGCACCAGCCATGGCGACAGCATTAGTCAGTCCCAGTGGCCCGTATCACCACCAACACCACAACTCTTTCAGTGCAGGATACCCGCATTCAGCACCACCAAGTTCGGGCGTGCCCGGCATGATTTCCCCCGTTGAGCCCCGCAGGCCATCGGACGATTCGTCGGACCATGCTCGTGCCCATGCCCACCGGCAATCTCTGCCGTCGATTTCGGAAGTCATTGGCAACGTCAAGTCTTCCTTTGGCACACCTTCGGCGGCTCCAATACCACCTCCCCCGAGTCTACCCTCCCCATTTTCTTCCGCACCATCGAGGCCACTTGGGAATGTGGGAGCTCCCGACAAAACGCAGTCGCCAAGGACGCTGCTGCCGACGTCGACAAGCTTCCCCCGTCCCGACCCACTACCCGCATTTTCCGATCCCGCGAGATCTGCTTTGCCCACCCGGCCGATTCCCCCACCATTGAACACATACCCAAGTCAGCAACCGTCACCTCCAGTCAAGCTCGAGCACGCCGAGGTTGATCAAAGGCATCCCGAACAACAACCTCCCCTCAGTGCGACCATTCGGCAACCACCTCCCCCGCCGCCTCCACCGCAGCCGATTACCGGTCTTTATGGAGAGACAGGCAGGCTCCCGCCTGGTCAACTCCCCCTATCTGCCGCCCCCGCTTACCCCCTTTCCCCTCGGCACAGCGGCCCTCCCCTGACTTCGCCATATGAGACGCAACGGCCGGCCTCTTATCACGAGGGCGTCACCGATAGTCAAAATGCTCGTCCCGCAGATTATAAGAGCGCTTTGGATAAGCATTTCGCTACTTGGGGTTATGAGGAGGCGTTGCGCCAGGTACGTCTTATCCTTTTTAGACTGGAGTAAAGCCCTGCTGATTTTTTTTTTTTTGCGCTTTAGGTGGCAAGCTCGTGCCGGACTGGCTACCACTTCGCCGAGGCGTACATCGCTGCGGCTCGGGAGCAGCAAGGGTCGCATCCGATCCCGTCCAGAATGCCGACGGAGAACGAAGTCACGTCCTTGTTGAACAATTTCATGCTTGCGCTCAAGAAGTTGGAAGAAATCAGGGACATGATTCAGCAGAATCGGTTGCAAACCGACCGCTCACGGGAAGGCGGTTCTAAGGAGGGAGAGGACGTTTCTATGTATGGTGAGGCCGTCAAGCAAACATATCCCCCAGTGACCACCGAGGTGAAGAAGCGGCGTGGTGTAAGTCTTCATTCCATCTATCCTATCAATATGGAACTAGTTCTAATGGGTCAGAAACAGCGTGCTGCTCCTCCTGGCCGGTGCCACAGCTGCAACCGTATCGATACACCTGAGTGGCGGCGCGGTCCTGATGGTGCTCGTACTCTCTGCAATGCTTGCGGTCTTCACTATGCCAAGCTTGAGCGCAAGCGTCAGCTCGACAGCCGATCAGCGCTCCGCCCTAAGCCCGCTGATGGAGCGGCAAAGTAGCTTCTTCTGATAAGTGTGTCCAGGGTGTGATTAAACTACCTACATCAGTCACCGGAATAACTGCAGCCAGCATATACTGTCGTTACCGGGAAGCATTACCATACATCGATCGCTCGAATGCGGCGGAGCCGACGTCGTTCGATTCGCTTCTTAACAAACAGCAGTCGTTCTATACAACTACCACAACGCTGTTACTGGATTATTGGCATATATATCATTGTTTCCTTTGTCATCTTAAATACCCGAACTATCTGGTCTAGACCCTATAACTTATTCTAACTTTTTTGCATCTAAGTATTTCCAAGCTCTTATTGTATGTATATTTATACCCCATACCCGCACGGTGTTTTCCCCTTTATTTTTATGGACATCACTCCAGGGACTCGGGTCAAGGGTTCATTATCATAACCACATATGTCATCACTCTTAGGGGTATATTTATGGTTTGGGTTTTTGTCTCTCTTCCCCCCTCCGTGACTAATGCGGTGTGGGTATGGGTTCACTTGTGTGTGCGTTTGTGAGTGATTCACCTGTATCTTTTGTGCTTGATTTGGTGCCCCGGAGGGGTTTAGAAAGCTGGCTGGTTGTTTGGGTCGTGGGAGTAGGCAGAGATATCAGGGAAACATCAATGGTTAGACAAGTTAGGAAAACAGACACAGACTGTGGTGGAAATGCGAGCATAGTTAGGTTTGGGAATACCTCATGTTTCACACGCATGTGACAATCTTCCTCCTCAGTTCTCGTAAAACCTCTCTCGTTTGGTTCTTGGCTGTTAAACCTATCAGGCGCTGGTGATTTGACATGTCTGCTTCAACAGTGTGGTTGAATACCCAGCACTTTGTCCCGTTTCTCTCCGAGCCAAGCACACGTATCTAACTCAGCCGCAACAGTGGGCGTTGATTGTTGCCTTCTTTTGAGGTACAACAAAGACCATTAAAGATCTTTTTTCGAACTTGAAGCTCGGCTCTCAATCCCAAGAGCACTTACTCAAAAGCCAGTAATACCCAGTTTTTGACCATCTAACTGTAGTTCTGATATGCTAACTTTATTCTTTGTTGAAGCTGTACTTCTCAGTTTTTAACCTTCTGGATCGAATGAGATCCCGGGCAAAATTAAATACGGGAAATCCGCAAGTTCCATCCTTGGCAAACTTTCGAGTTCAGACAACTTACATATGTCGACTCTCAGCTTTTCATTTCTTGTTCAGATGAACTGCAGAATTACAAGTGAAACTACATATTTCGCACATGCCTGCGTCAAGCCGTAGCCAGTTATGACTAACCTCCTTAGAAATAAGTTCACTTTTTTACGTATCTGCAGTTCCTCGTCCGCTCCCGTGGGCCAGTGTTGCGGCCCGCTTTTGCTCCAAGCCCCTTAGCCAGGGCCGAGCCGGCAGCCATTCTCGTGGGTCTGCCGCCGGCTGGCCGCTTGATTGGGTCAGGGAGGGTCCCGGAATCTAGGAGAGCCATGTCGGAGAGAGCATAAAAACTAATTGCTAGACTTTGTGATTGTTTCACATCACCTCTCGAATTTGTCTATCCCTTCGGTTTTCCATGCAAGGGCATACTATATTGAGCGAAAGGATCCGAAAAAGGAGCGAATTTGCTCACTTCAACCACGAGTTCGCGGCAGGCGTCAGGGAGAAAGGGAAGGAATGCCGAGGTGAGAGACAAACTCTTCCGCTATCAACAAAGATTATGATCAGTGTACTACTTGATATGTAGTTTACTCTGTACTCAGCTGGTGTGAACCATCGGGCTTGTTGTGTGTCACACAGAGAAGTTTCCTCCCGGATCACTAGGTGACTGGTTTCCCCTACCCTTGTCTTTTTTTGACTTCTCTTCCATATTCCCCCCTACATACTTTCCTGGCATCGGTTAGACTTGCCCTTCTCGATGATATCATGGCTTGGTTGATCACAGAGGTCTTTGGTTGTGTGCTTGGATTCCCCCGTTCCGAATCGGTGTCCCATCGGTTTGACGGGTATGCACGTTTTTGTAGGCGAGTATGTGAGCTGTACTGCGGCTGCGGCTGCGGCTGCCCGTCGCCTAAGTATCCAGGTCCCTTCCTGTGAGTGACCAGCCAACTAAGTCTTCTGCCACTCTGTGTTGACACAGCTCGAGCTCCTGAATGGATTGCCAATCCGAGACCGAAAATGCTGGCAAGAATATAAGGCCGTCCTACGCATAGCGCGGCTAGAGCCCATGGTGCTGGACGCTGTACTACCATTCCCCCGCTTCTTGAAACGGACCATCAAAGTGAAGAGAGTGGGGGTGAGATACGCACAACTATGGTCCAGTGCAGGAAGTTCCATATTCTTTAGTTGCAGAGACTCCAAGTGATGTCATTACAGGTATGAAAAGGAGGGCTAATCAGACAAGGATAAGTCGAGCTGAATTCCTTTGTTAGCTGCTGCATCCTTTGTCCTGCAAACACCAATATCTTAAGCGCCGATCACCAATGCGCATACTCTGTTTTGGGAGAATAGAACCGAGGTTGAGGGAAGCGGCAAGGAGCGGCAGCCACAACGCATTGCGGACGGCCGGCACCTCTCCCGCGGCTGACCGAGCCTGTGGGTTGTCCTTCTGCCGGAACCAGCAGGGACGATACCTAGCTCAGGTAATCCGTATAGTGCCAAGCAGTTGTTGTTTGGATCATCTACAAGATCATTTTGATGACTGCTCTGCTGTGCATACACCGGTTACCCACCCCGCTGGGTGGACATGGGTGACCGTGTGAACATCCAGGAGTCAGGGTAGTGTGATATTGATTGAAGAGTAACGCTTTGGACCTAAATCCATCATCTATCACCAACCACATTTCCCGAGAGAAGCATTGAAGGGCGAGAAAACGAAAACGGCGCAGCCCAATCGTACGGATTGCTGGGAAGCCACGAAAACAAGGACCAGGGCTGTTCAAGCACGGAGGGTGACACAGGCATTAGCACAACTTCTGAAATGAGAAAGGATGGAAAAGAGGGGTGCCAGCCAGCGTGTTCGGCCGTGGCAGTCGGAGGGTGACACGAAGGACTCGCGATATCGGCAGGATGCAGTAGTGAAGAAGACAAGTGAGAGAATAGTTTGTCAAAGCAACTGGATGATGATGGTGAAGCTGCAGAGTTCTAGGTAGGATGTATAACCCTGACTCTCTCACTTCCAAGGCAACCCTTCAACCAACAAAAGCACCAGCTCTCACTGCTCTAAGTAGGTTCTTATCGCTTCTCTACTATATAAGCGAAAACCAAGCCCCTCTCCTTTCTTTAAAGAACACCAAGGTCTGGAGTATAAGCGGGACGCGGCTGAGAGATCGGATCGGATCTGGTGCCGCCCAGAGTGTCGATCTTTGTTTGCACAAGGGCCCTGTAGGGAGTCGGATGAATGGCACCACATCTGGGCCCGCAAGCTGAATGGATAGATAGAACGAAGCGTTAATAACAACCTGTACCAAGTTAAACATCACAGCATCCACGATTCCTGGTTATAAAGTATCCATAACATTGCAAGGTTTCTTGCACTAACCGAAGGACTGGCCACCAACAAGTCCCCAGGCAAGCCAGTGGTCAGCCCAACGGTCGAACACACAGTGCGTTTGCAATTGAGTGTCCATTGGCTCGGGCGCAAGAGCCCTCCTCTTCGACGCAAAGGCCTTGAACATGGAGTGGCATTCCATGTTAAAGTCCCCAAGGCTCAAGGCTCGAAGCTCGAGTTGCTGCGCAATCATACAGGGCAAACCGGACCTTCATGCCGGCCGTGCCTGTTCTTCCGGAGAGTCACAGTCAGCGCCGTCGCTGACGTGGCACCCGACTTGCTTGCTCTTAGAATGAAGTGCAGGCGCCCGACCTACACAATTGAGGGCTTGATGATTACCCTGTATTTTCCACTAGGTAATTGTGTAACTGGTTTAACTTGGCTGGAGTTGCACATACAAGACAGTTACTCACGCGGCGAGATAAGCGAGGGCGATTCCCCATCCGAAAACCAAGCCTCGCTGACGTCACTCGGCCCGGGAGCCAGGCTTGGCTTTTGCTGGATCGGCATCGATTGGAGCGGGGCTCCAGCTATCGAGCACGCGCAACAAGAGGCGCGAAGCGGCAAGCGCGCCCACAAGCCCAAACCCAAAGCGTCAGCGACTCCACAGTGGCGGATCGAGATGGAAACGACGATCCGATCGTCGTCTGTCTCGGCAAAACAAACGCACCGCTTCCAGCTCCGTGAAAAAGGCAACCATTTCGTAAGAGTCGTGGCGCGAATGGTTTGCTGAGCATCGTCAGCGCTGCCTGGTAGGAATCATTTTGCTCGATTCCATTCCACAGCTTCCAAAGCCTGGAAGAGCCAAACGTTGGTCGAGTACCCCAGCGGGAAACTGTTTCGCTGCAAGGTCGACCCAATGTATCCAGACTCTAGGGAAAGGGCGAAGAACTGCCCCAGAGGCATGAGCTTTGCATAGCCCTGGAACAACGCTTTCCCTCGGTCAGATACCGAATACGATAGGCAGCGGAGTGGATGAGGGCCCAGGTCCTCCCAGAGCCCAAACATCGCCGGCAACATCCTGCGTATCCCATCATTGGATTTTTGCCTCACTCCAGATGCACACAGTGCCAACTCTTATCCAGGACCTTGGGAGGAAAAAGTGAACGACTCACGAGAAGGTGAAGCTAAAGCAATGGCACCCCCTGGATCTGCCTCCGGCGTCGATTTGTAAAAAATCGCCCCGGATGATCGCCGATCTGTCGGGGCCTTGGCGACGCAGAATCGCATGACAGATATGGGAATTTTGTGTCAGCTGTCGGGTTCTAGAACGACTCGCCTCTGGTAATCTATTCCTAGCTTGTTTCGAATCTCTCTCATCCCGAAGTGACCATCCTGTTGGGACGCAACTCCCCGAAGCCCGGACACCGTTCCCAATCAACATTCGGTGCCCTACAAAGGATTCTGCATGGCCTACTCCGCGAATCACCTGCCCCATCCAACCAGAGCAGTAGATTCTGTCCTGAAATATGGGTAACTTGTGATAGGTCCCGCTTCAAAGTCTGATGGGAACAGCTCACGATTTCTCTGTCTGTCAACCAAAACTACCCAATAATGTGTTCCTCCAAGCTGCACAAAGTTGTAAATCAACGAGGCTGTATACAATATATGCTTAGCTGATCCAGGATGGATTCAATTCAACTACACCATGTAAATCTCAACATTTCACCACATCTCAGGCAACCGATGTGTGACCCTAAAGCCAAAGTCACGGAACACAGCATCGCGCCAATGCTAGCTGTTGGTTACTCCCTTGTCTGGCTAAACAGTTCGCTTGAATTCCTCTCCCTTCTTTCAAATGCTGGGTTGAGCGAATGCAGTAATCCGCCACCAGCTGGGTAATCCCAAGATCCTTTTGGTTGTGATTGCTGTCAACATGTAAGATACCGACATCATGGCCACACTGTGTCACAGTAAACTCCCCTCTCAATCTACACCAGAACTCTCGTCAAAACTGTCCTACATCAACGTTCCATTGGCCTCATTTCTTCCGTTTGTTGCTCCTTACCTTTACATGGAACCCTTGTATATAGATCTGTTGAACTGCAGGTCGTTGAGATATGTCTCTGTGCTCGGGTCCATTGGTCACCAAACGATCTTGCAGTAGAGACCATGTGCGATTTAGGTCCGCACCAGTCGGACCGGCACTTGCGTCGGACGATATCTGGGAACCTTTTCAGGGTCAGCAGGGGGAGTGGGTTGTTGATTGAAAGTGAAGTCTGCATTTGAGATCATACTCTAAACTCATCCGCTCAACAACCTACAGGCAAAGTCGAGTAATTTGATAGAGATCCGGCGCGTAAGAGGGTATTTTGGGAATATGACGATATGAATGCCATCTATCAACTGTGGTAAAGAACAGTTAGGAGAGGTCATATGGACTTGGATGACCGACTCAATGAGCATAGAGGATGAGCAGGACCAAGGGCTTTGCGGGTCATCAGAGAATGGAGGGACCGAAATGGGAAAGGAAGTAGTGACAATAGAGGATATGAGTGAGGATCTAAACCGTTTTGTAAGATCAAGAACTCTTGCTGGCGTCAATTATCGGCACACATACGCTTGATACACCTCAAATGAGCCCATGAAATGTCAGATCCTCAAGTTACGTGTCGGAATTTGATCAAACCAACTTATGGGCGCATTTCAGAGAACGAAGAAAATTAGGGGAGGTAGAAATACACAGCTTGACCCAAACAAAACGTACCAAAACCTGGAAGGTCAGACCGTTTCTTGGACTCGTCGGTCCGTGGAAGGATGTATGAGTTTGGGAACAGACTAAGATTTTTAGAGAGCAGAAATAAGATCATCTTCAACCATCCTCAGAAATGAAAGACCCTTCGTTTCCTATTATCCCATTGTCCGATCAACACACACAATCTCTTTCCGCTTATTCCTGTCCCATCTATACTGTCCTTAAGCCATTTACCGCCTTCTCTTCTTTCCGCCGCGATCGTCATCATCGAGACCGCTCTCGCGATCCCGCTTCCTGGCCTTACGTTCCAGTTCATCCCAGCTCTCGCCCTCATCATCCTCACTAGGGGGCGCATCGCTCTCCTCCTCAGAAGCGTCCTCGTAGTCCGAGTCTTCCTCAGATGACTCGCTGGCGGCCTCAAGCTCGCTTTCGCTGATCTCGAAGGCACTGTCCTCGTCCTCCTCTTCTTCGGAGGCGTCGGATGCGTCGCTGTCGTTCTGAAGGAAGCCCCAGCCGCCATCGAGGAAGAATTGGTGAGGGTTAGCAGTAACCGTCTTCATAATGACGGACCAGTTCAGGTTAAGAGGACCCTCGGAGAAGGGAATGTCAGAAGAGTCAAGGAACTCCTTGACATCTTCGAGAGACTCAACGGGAATGGTGTTAATGTGCACCACTGGTCGAGTGAAGTCTTTGAAGACAAAAACGAGATCGAAGTTCTTGAGGCCGAACTGGACACGCTCCAGATGAGCCCACTCAACGTCCTCCAGGGTAATAACCAGGAAGGGTGGTTCGGTGATCTGGATCAGGCACTCGGTCGTTGGGTAGATCACAACATTGCTACGGTTGGGAACACCATTGAAGCCGAGATCCCGGATCGGCATGTCGACCTCGATTCCCTCATTGCGGCCAGCCTCGGCAATCTTCTCGGCGAAGCTCTTAAACAGACGGTCGAGTTCAGCCTTGCGGCGCCGCTCTTCCTGCTCGGCCTCGAACTCGTCCTCGTCACCATAGCGGTATTTGCGCTTGCGGTTGCCCGTCTCGTCAAACTGGATGTCAATAGCTTCTCTGTAGAACTGCACGTCCTTGGTCTTCTTCTTGCCAAACAGGATGGGGTCCTTCAAGTGAAGGTGGATGATGACAATCATCTCATTCTGGCAAGGCTGGAAGAAGAGGTGACGGATATTTGAGAACAACACGTCGACTCTCTGAGTGGTGCTAAGAGGGGACTGGTAGCGGATACCGTTTTGATGGATTTCAACCTTGCCAGGCACCCGCTTGCCTTCCAAAGCCGGGCGGATGTAGACGTTGTCGAGCACAGCCGGGCGACGATCTGTGAAAAGGTTAGAACCAAACACCATAACTTAGTAGCAAGATAATTTCTGAATACATACTTCTGATCTCAATAAGCTTATCCTGCTCAACGACATCCTCGAGATCTTTCTTTTCCTGCTCTCTTTTGACGGCTTCACGCTTGAGATTGGAGATCTGGTTCGCAATCTCGGCGTACCGATCACCATCCGTCGAGCGGAAAGTCAAGCTCCTGACAAAATGGGCAGATGCGTCCTCAAAGGGCTGATCATCCTTGCGGCCAACGCCCTGGCCAGGAGAGAGAAAGTTAATGCGCAAGAACGACCACTCGCCCTCGTCGCTCTTGCTTGCATTCTTGATGGTGTTGATATGGAAGGGAACTGGGCGACCCATGATGGGTAGGACGATGGTATTGTTCTTCTGGTCGATGACAATACCCATGTCGCGAACCTTGGGCGGTAACTGGTTGTCTCGCTTGTAAGACTCAAAGCGTTTAAACTTCTTGACCTCAACACCATTCTGGCCGGCTGTGGCGTCAGCGTACTTCAACAACCCTTCTTTCTGCTTCTTAGCAGCAAGCTCTTTCTGGTGTTCACGACGCCTCTTCTCGGCATCTTCATCGGGTGCTGTATTACGCTCGGACCGCAGACGTGTGCTGGTGATGTTTCTCGTGGCAACAGCGCCCACACGCGGGTCTTTCTTCTCCTTCTTGGGAGTTGGCTGTGCTTCCTCTTCATCCTTGAAGAAAAACGAAGTTGCGTCCATATCGGACGGTGCCTCCCCCGTAAAAACAACGGGTTCGCCGGTTGTAACACGGATCGTATCGGTCAGGACAAGTGAGTAGACCTTGTCCTTTTTGCCTTGAGGATCTGGGTTCGGGATATCGCTGAAACCTGTCACAATGCAGAGAGTCATGCCATCCTTAAGTGTCCGAGTGTTCTTGGCACTGAGGATAAGAGTGCTGTCCTTGCTCTCAAGACCAATGCCATAACCGACATTCTTGAGGAAGTGCTTCTCAAGTTCTGGCTTCTTCGTCTTGATCAAGTTGTAGGCCTTGTTGTACACATCCTTGACGACGACACCGTCGCGGATCTCTTTCAAGATCAGGTTGTGTACAGCGAGCAAAACGCGGTAGTTGCTCTCCTGAGACTTATTAGGGTCGACCATAAAGGTCCTGGCAATCTGAGAGCAGTAAGACTTGTACCGCAAGCCCATGGCGGCAATAATAATGCCGGGGTGAAGCGGCTCGTCATCTGAGTCTGTCTGCCACTTGAGGTCAAACTTGCCACCGCTCTGCACAATCGGCCCAAGGATCCAGTCGAGCTGCTCGGGGTCAAAATCTGACGGGAGCTTCCCGCGGTTCGGAAGCTCCACTGTCTTCCAAAACTTTTCATCCTCAAGTTTGTTCATGACCTTGTCGGCCAACGAGGCATGGCTTATCTTCTTGTCTTGATCAAGGATACTCGACATCTCGTCGAGGAAGTAAGGGGTAAGAAGAGCCACACAGGCCTTGGACGAAGTTCGCATTGCGCGAAGCTCTGTCTCATCCTTGATGGAAAAGGCACCTGCTGAGAGGGCCAAGGCAATATCGACCTCTTCGACCCCCTTGCATCTCTCGGCGAAGATCTTCTTCCATTCATCGATGAAAGGACCCTTCGAGGTATCCTTCGTAAGCACGCCGACTTTATTCTGTAGGATCAAGGGCGGTCAGTACGAATTGGATATTGGCAAGTGGACCAGAAAACTGTATGACTTACGCCAGCGGCTTTGATCATGTCGGCAATTTTGATGAAGGTCTTTTCGTTTTCGGCATTGTCCTTGCCCCTCACAAGAACCTCAACTGGAAACCGGCCTCCCTTAATCTGGTCAAGGTATTTTGCTGCCAGTCGTTAGACGCTTGCCCGAGACACATCGATAGATAAAAGAGAAATGGGAACGACTAACCTTTCTTTTGAGTGGTGATAATGTAGAGAGTATCGAGGGTAAAGAGCATCAGAGTTGTCGGGAATTCATACCCAAGCAACCAAAACTGCACAAGGTATGTCCAGTCAGCAACACCGATATGGCCACATCGTGAGGGATAGTTGCGCGCGCGCCAGATGACATACATGCATCGCATTGTTCTTGTAAAACTCCGGCTCCTCATCAACTTTGCCCATCAAGATAACGATGGACGACACGCCGCCAAAAAGCGCATCGCCACTGCGCTTGTCGGCTTTCCATGCGCTGATGAAGTGCGATATGCGCTCCTGAAAGAGTTTGCTGTCGATCTTGATGTCCGCCATGATGGGCAGCGATTGACGATGCCCTGGCTAGGAATGTGGAAAAATCGGGTGATACACAGCCCTCGATTGCGCGATGACGCCGATGAAATGGGATAGACGGGCTGAGAGATATGCGTCAGGTATGGTGGGTGGAAGAGGGTTGGAATCTCGCGTGGGTTTGTTAATCGCGGCAGCAAATGATGGGAGTGAGCCGCGTTCGACGGTCGGAAGCGCCACAAGGCTAGGTGTGAGTGTCTGCAGCAAAAAAGCGCCAGGGTGTCGCGTCGCCAAACGTCACGGACCCGAGCCAGCACGCGCGTTTGTGGGTCTGAAGCCTGGATGGAGCGCGAATGATGCCTCAGGCCACAAAACCATACTTTTGTAAGCCAAGCAGGCACGCGAAGGGGGGAAAGCTGGCTTCCCAAGACACAGCGCAGAATCGCCCAGATCCGTACAAATTTTAGATAGTAGCGTTAGTAATAAAGGATTGAACAAACAGGAGATGTCACCTTGGAAAATCGGCTGCCACTGAGCCGACTCATGACTCTGTCGGCTCAGAGCATAAGGCACAAGACCCAACGCAGGAAGTGCTGTTGGAATGTATTAGAAATGCTCAGCCACACCTTGGTCAGAGGACAGATTACGGATCCCAAAAAAAAGTCTAAGACTCAACAACTCGACACAAATTCATTAGTCCCAAACTTGGGATATCTGTAATGTCAATGCATACCCAAGGAAGCAAGGTATCGTACAATACATCTAATGGGAGTAGGCAATGGCAACCGACCACCCTGACGTCAATTGTTGAACATTTACTGAGCATACAGAAATACGACAGCAAACAAGTTGTAGAAAATAGACAAATCAGACCATATGCCCCCTTCTGCGCCGTGTAATCCCGTTTTCCCGAAACTGAGACTGAAAGTAAGATAAAATAACGGTGCCCGCCGCCTCACCAACGAAGCTAAAAATTCTTTACCCTCTCTGATCAACCCTAATTGCCATTCCCGCCAAGGGCTCATGACGAGTGCCCTCCTGGAGCCGACGGCTGGTTCCAGGACAGGTAGGACGGATCACCCAACTTGCGAGGTCTCCAGATGAAGAAGGAGAGAATGAAGTAAATATCCAGAACCAAGCAAATGCCACCAACGATCAGGAAAATGATGCCTGGCCAAATATTACGCGAGCCCATAGTCGAGAGGGTGGTGATAACAAAAGCCTTGCGGCCCTTGTATACAGTGACGTCAAAGTTGGACTCGATTTCAATTTCATACTGGCCGGCAAGCATCGGATGTGTGTCGTTCTTCTGATAAAGCTTGTAAAAGTTGGGTGCAGCAGCAAGCATCATCCAGTTCTGGAAGAGCTCGTCTGTCTTGAGATCCGGCGGCGGGTTGTTCTCCTGGTAACCATACTTATAGCGCCTCTCCCAGTTAGGTGGAGGCACGATCTGGTCCAGGCTGTAGCTGGTCTTGCCGTATAGGTCCTTGAGTCCGGGCCAGGCAATGCCCTTGGTTGTCATGTTGTAAGGCCGGCTTGAATCGCTCGAGTTGCGCACCGCGAGAGCCAAGGGGCTGCTGAAAGTGTCATTGAAGATGGAGTTGGCCACGAGACCACAGGGGTACACAATCTTGCCTGTGCCTTTGGGGTCGTGGGTGATGGGATCACAAGTCGAGTCATTGATTGTCTTGCCATCAACAGCGTCGCCCAGAAGCTGCTTGGCATTGAATGAATTAACGTAACGACGATGATTCTGATAGAAGTTCTCTAGGTAGTAGAAGAAGCTGATTGTCGGCTGCAAGTCCTCGGGAATGTTGAAGCGCACAATGCAGAACTGCCGATTGTCTGTATAGTTGGCGACTTGGACCTCCCGCTCTGTTGTTTTCCATTGTGCTTTGTACGGATCGAAGGTGCTATCCTTTGCTGAGAAGTGTGCTGTGATGTGATTTTGTGGTATTGTCTCAAAATCATCCTTTGGGGCTGATGTCAAGCAATCAGTGTAGTCAATTTTCAAGTCTCGCACCTATGTTATAAGAGAGGCTGTCAGCATTCAAGTCTTTGTCGCACGTATGTGTTAACTAGAAGTAATCCAAGGCAAACATACGGTATGGGCAAGATAGGTCAACCAAGCACCAAAGCCAAGGTAGATAGCGGCGAGGATGGAGAAGACGGTGACAATCAACTTAGGTGTCAGCACGCATTGCCAGGCGCGCATGCGCTGTTGGCGGAAGGCTGTGTTGGGCGGGCGGTTCTTGGGAGCATCCGAGTCAGAACGGCCATCGTCGCTGCCATCTTGGCCGGCACCACGACGACGGCGGGGCGCCATGGTGACAGATAATTCAGCAGCGTTATTGTTGTCGGCTCCCAGGTATGGTGAGAGGATCGAGGATGGGAGAAATGGGAGTGTTTTGAAGCGATGGAGCCCTTGGGTTCTGCGTGATGGGAGTGTTTGCAAGGAGACCAACAGGGGTCTCTGCTGGCCTGTGCATTCTTGGCAGAGGCTGTGATCTGCCTGGTGAGGTCCAGGCTGACGTTACACATCACATGACATTCACGTGATCCAGGCAATGCCAACCTGAAGATCGTTTATGGAGAAGCTGACAGTCGCTAATGACTTGCTCAGTTCTCTGCATATAGTTTTTATGTTCTCTATGCATGTCACAAACTGGCTCATTCCAAGCAGAGTTTATAATGTGCTAACTAGTTTCCGAGATCTTATTAGGCATCTACCTGACGACTGGTCAAAGTTTATTTTAGTGGAAAGTATGATGTTTGGGGATGTTAGTGTGAACGAGATGCGCAGAGCTCTAGGCTGAGTTCCTTTATCCGCGACCAATTTGCGAACCGCCATTTTGACTGACATATTCAGGGCCACAAGAAGAGAAAGTCCATGCTGTGCCAATGCTTTGAACGCATTTATCTTTTGGTGATTATATGGCATAGTTCTCCAATGTAACTAATCATTTCCCCCTTCCGCTTTTGGAAGACTCCATGACCAAGAGTCAGTGTCATCATCACCCCCGTCCATGCCGTCCCGCGATGCCAAGACTGTCAGACAGCTCCATTTTGAGGCCAGAGTTCCTAATTCAACTCTTTTGTCTCTTAGTAAATGATAAAATGTTTGAATATCCAATCACACAGAGGGTTTGACCAACCACGACCGTTTCTCCTCCTGGCCTTCTCAACGGCTGCATCCCATCGGACAGAAATGGCGGGGTTGACAAATACAGAGAAACCGAAGCACTGAGCGCCCGAGCCAGAATGCAATCCGTGCGTTTTCTAGAAGCGTTCGACGCGCAAATGAGCGGTCATGCCGAGCAGACGCGTGTGGAGAAGGCGCAGGAGTGGACCCAGCAGCGGGGTTCAAAAAGGAGGGGAATCTGGAAGCTTGTCTGAGGGAACATGCGTGTTATCACCATGATGGGCTTGGAGCTGAGATGTCAGGAAGATAGTGATCTTATTGTAGCGATATTGCGTGTTTCAAGTTAATTAGCATTCGAAGACTTCTTGATGCTCCTTTCAGGTAGCCATCATTAGAAACCCTCATAGACATGCCCCAGAGTTTAGACTTGACGTTGGTCGCTCCCAAGTTCCCAACGATGATGCATTTGCGGGACGTGCGCCAGCGTCCAGAGCGGTAGGTACCACAGCTGGGCGGGCACCAGCAGCACCCCACCTGCCAGCCCAAGCTTCATACTTTCACCTCTCCCGGCACCTCTCCGCCTTTCAACCCTCTTCCTCCCAGAGCCGGTCCTCCCTGTTGTCGCCTTCTGGGAACAGTTGCATTCTCCCACTCAGACATCTGTTTCATGGGATTTTGACGGCACGTTACTTCTCTCACGACTCTCGTCTTCCCATCAGCATACATCGGCAAGGATCCGCGGCTGTTGCTCGGATTGCTGGCCTTCCGTTGATCCTTTCCCAGATCGCGCAGTCACGTCGCAGTGCCAGTCCCCGTTTCCGTCTCCCCATCTCCTCTCTCCCGGTTTTCAAGTCCTCTGTCCTCAATTAAGTTATTGCGTTGTCGGTGCCAGGTCCCTTCCATCTCGGTCATTATCCCTTTTGTCCACGCTACGTTCCCAGCGAATCGAACCACCACAGTACTCTTGTGCCTGGCCAGAGTTGCTCCTTACATTGTCACCCCCGGATTTCAAATACGGCGTGTGGTTGAATTTACTCTTTCCCACGCTCACTTGTCATAAAGAGCATCATTGTCTGTCTTGCCTGTTGGCAGCTCCCATAGGTCAGGTGGCCGCAGACGTGGCGCGCTCCCGTTAATCGCCGTCTTCGAACCACCGATACCTCCCCATTTGGTGGCGATTCGACGTAAGTCCCGGCATGCGTTAGCTTAATCTTCTGAGATTCGTCTTGTTTCACTTCTTTCGCTTGTTCATCTCTACCTAAAGCCTAAATCGTGGGCTTGAGGGTTGTGTTATTAGAAGGTACCCATGTCGATGTACACAGCAGGGGCACTACCCCTTGGGCTGCAGCAGCCATCTGTGGCACAGCCTGACTTGCTCTAATTTCTTCTTACCCAGATGCACATGTGTGATATGCCGCTACATTTTTGTGTTTGGGCTGAGTTGAACTGACAAGTTTCTGCAGGCTTCAGTTGTCATAAAAGAGCCCGTTGCTCTGTCTCGCTCAGCTTGGTGTCTCTTGACAACCCGAGTTCACCTGATTTCAGATCTTCCTCCTAAAGGCTCTGATTCAGAACACTTTGGGCGACATTTAAGTTCGGGACCAATTGTCTAGCGGACAAAGATCTTGTACTGATTTTGATTCCCTTATACGGGTATGTTGGGTTTGTGAAGGGAGCAAAAATGTGATGGCACAAATACTGACCAACATTACAGTTACCCGCAGCGGTTTATCAGAGACAATGTCAGGCCCGACTTTCAACAGTCCGTTTGGGGCGAACTCAAACCCCTTTGGTTCCTCACGGATCGATACAGGCGTTATGCAGCGGGTAGCCGAGGAGGACGAGAACGACACCGTCACTTCTCCCACGACTCCGCATTTTGGGACCACAACAAGTGCCACCTTCCGAGGACCGTTCGGCGGGGATGCCACATTTGACCCTCAACCTTCCGGCGTCAGAAGTCCTCCCAACCCTGAGGGATATCCGGCGCAATATAATTTCGGTCGTCGCACCTCAGTCTCTGCGGAGTCGCTGAAGCCTGTTGCTGATAGCTATGATAACTGGACACCCCCTTACCATCCCAAGACCCCTGAACAGCTCGAGCGTCTGAAGAAGGCTATCAGCGGGAACTTTCTCTTCAGTCATCTTGATGAAGAGCAGAGCGCCCAAATTTTAGGTGCTTTGGTTGAGAAACCAATTCCAGCCAAAGGCATTAAAGTGGGTTGCCATCTGGTTATAATGGAATTTTTGTCATCGCTAATAGTGTACAATAGGTCATCACTCAAGGCGATGCCGGTGACTATTTCTATGTTGTCGAAAAGGGCTCGTTTGATGTATATGTCAACAGCGCTGGATCATTGCAGCCAGGACCGGAGGGGATGGGACAAAAGGTGGGCGCTATTGAGGCTGGAGGCTCATTTGGAGAGCTGGCCCTCATGTATAATGCCCCCCGAGCTGCTACGGTCATCTCTGCTGAGCCGAACTGCACACTCTGGGCCTTGGACCGCATCACATTCCGGCGGATTTTGATGGAGTCGACATTTGCTCGCAGGCGCATGTACGAAGGCTTTTTGGAAGAAGTCCCGTTGCTCCAGAGCTTGACACCATACGAGAGATCCAAGATAGCCGATGCTCTGGAGAGTCAGAAATTTCCTGCGGGCCATACCATCATTCGCGAGGGCGATCCGGGCTACGATTTCTATTTGCTGGAGTCTGGCGAAGCGGTGGCGTATAGGAGCGACAACGACCAGCCAGTCAAGCATTATAAGAAGGGCGACTATTTTGGTGAGCTTGCCTTGCTCAATGATGCCCCACGGGCCGCCAGCGTTGTCAGTACGACCGAGGTGAAGGTGGCCCGGCTTGGCAAGTCTGCTTTCCAGCGGTTGCTAGGCCCAGTTGAGAGTATCATGAGAAGGCAGAAATATGTCGGTGTCGAGTCAGGTGTGGAGGATAAAGACCCGCTTCAGAAGTCATGAAGGTTCTAATGAGCAACGAGGGTCAGGGGCCTGTGGTTAACTATGCATTTTTGTTTGCGTTGTTTGTTGGCTCGGAATGGGAGGGCGAGAGGCAGATCGATAAGGACCTGAATGGCGTGGCTGGTCGCCGGATCGTTGTTTCAGTGGGAATGATTCCCTGACGTCCATGAAATATTGGCAGGAAGTAATAAGGTACCAAGCATGCATACATGACCATCAGTCTATGTTTCGTCGACCATCGTGCGACAATCGATTCCAAATTAAATTTCTTTGCCCATATGCCTTTTCGTCTTGAACAACATCCCAGTTCCGCAGTAAAGTCCAGTTAATTGCCAACAGCCAGCGCTGCCTGCGCTTCCGCAAGTCTCCTCCTCTCCTCTAGCACCTCTATCCTTAGCTTCTCAGCCGCCGCCTCTGTCTCAAGCACCCTTCCTACCCCAGCCTTCCAGGTTTCTTCCAGACTTTTGAGCTCCGCTCCAGCCGCCTCCTGCATGCCTTGCCTTGCCAAAGACACACGATCAATCTCGCGCTTAGTCTCAGCCAACTCTTTCTCCACCGCTTTGACTTCCCCCTCCAAATGCCAATTACCTATGAGCCAGGCATTCTTGCCGTGTGTATCCAGCAGCGCAAGGTGTGCCCGCCGCGCGGAAAGATATGCTTGCGCCGTGTAGGCTTGTTTGAGCGTTTCCCATAGTTGAGAGGCCGTCTCTTCAAGCGACTGGGAGCTATCAATTGAGGGCATCTCGGGTGCTTCGTAGCGGGAGAAGTCCAGCGCGTCCATTTTGGCCGCTTGCGGGTCGGGAGAAGAGGCTAGGCGAGCGAGCTCATTTTGGAGGATTGGTGTGAGGTGGCGCGATTCGTTCAGCGGTGGGAGGGGAGGAGGGAGCAGGGCATGGTAAGGGTCGTCGGGGACTTTGGCTCGCTCCTCGGCGATGAGGGCTTCTGCTGCGGCGCGTTGTTCTGGGGTGGGCTCGGGGTCGATATCTGCGTTAGCTTGTATTAGCTGGATCCATTGAAAGGGAGCTGGGAGTTGAACAGGGAACGAACACGGGAGGGACTCGTGGACTGTTGTTATGGCTGGCATGGTGGTTATAAGTTGCAACCGCCAAGCCTTTGAAATTTTGAGAGCGTTGTGCTGAACAAACTAAATTACGGTAAGTAGCTCTTCAGGAATTCAAAATCGCTCGCGGCGTCTAATTTCGCTGTGATAAAGCAAAGCCTTTGTTCGTCTGGCACCTTATCCTGATGGTGTTGAACCGTGGTGGCCAACACCAGAGCACCAGCTGCGCTGCGGAGTGCAGCACAGCGCGTCGCAATAGAGCAAGCCCCATCTCGTGTCTTATCGATAAGACCTTCCTTAGCCTAAACCGGTATGGGAGCTCGTTCTTCACAAGGATTCTCAAAAGTGCATTCAGCAGTATCGTACTTGTAGTTCTTTCCCTTAGTAAATTACTGTAAAACTACTGTCGATCTCAGTTGCTACTACTGCTTTCATCATGTAAACTTTGGTCGTGGACAAGCCACTCTTGATGCCTGAGTCTAAGATGCGTAACATGCCCTGTGAATTGGTAAAAAGCGTACGTATCCGTAAAGTTTGCAGCGTTGAGAGCTTGGCAATGGGGTAACATTTGAGGCATCGAATCGGACCGTTTCCGAGAACCTGGCTTTGGACAATGACGGCTGCCAAGGATCGAAACAGGGCGGGCTGGAAGCAGGCGGCCATCGAGGTGCCAAGGCAGCAGGTTGTGGCATTGCGCAATCGTGAATTGGTTTAGCCCAGTGTAGTTTCCCGAAACAAAGCCAGCAACTCCAAGTCCTGACAATGTCCTACCATTCGTGTACCGCCCGTTGTCTAGATTGTACAAATAATGCCGATGATGCCGATAAGGCTTTGAACATCACTGAGGATCGGTTTGCTTGGGCTTATGACCACACAGGAAACAGAGTCTTGAGTACTGTGCTCCTTAAAGGCTGTACATGGTCATCATTTGTCCTTGATTCAAGCTGGACAACTAAAAGTCACTTGACTTGCCTGCTCTTCGGTTTCTTGGTGGTCTTTCGTCTTAGCCTCCGACTGTTATAACCGAGTCTTCGCGATGCTACAGGCCTTCTAGCTCTTGCCCTTCGTTTTTCCCTCTTGCTTGTCCCTCGATTCATATCCATCATCCACTCGGACGATTAATCGAACATACCTTGCATATCAAGCTCGTCAACATGGATGTTGAAAAGGATGGTACTCCCACTCTCCCAGAGTCTCGGCAGCGTGTCTCGTATAGTTGCCAGCTTCACGATGAAGAGTTTGAGACATCTCGAAAGCCAACATCCCTAACATCATTTCCAATACTCTCAACCGTGTGTTTATTGGTCTTTGTTGTCCTCGTTTTCTTGGTGTCTCCTTGTTTTCTTAGATATTGGTATCCTGAAGATTCATGGACATGGGCTTCTCACAGAGGAGGTACAACCAAGCCTTTATGCCACGGATCTTCTTGTCTTGATGGGAGCCTCTACCTCATCGGAGTTGGGAAGGCTGATGTCACTGGGCCTGTGGTCGAAATCAACCTTATGGGCTATGCAGACCCTAAGCAAGTCGGTACAGGGTTGCGGCAGCGTCTGTACTCGCGGGCCTTTATCATTGGTAACCTCAACCACCCAGAGGAAAGGTTCATCTATCTTGTGCTCGACACGCAATCTGGCGATACTGCTATTCGCTACGGCATTCTCGACGGACTTAGAGCTCTCGGCCCGGAATATGCTATGTACAACCATCACAATCTTGCCGTCACCGGGACACATTCACATGCTGGTCCAGGCGGCTGGCTCAACTATCTGCTCCCGCAGGTCACTAGCATGGGCTTTGATCGTCAAGGATATCGCGCTATTGTTGATGGTGCCGTCCTGTCTATCAAGCGTGCTCACGAAAGCCTTCAGCCGGGATACTTGAGCATCGGCACGACCAAGGTCCGTGGAGCAAACATCAATCGTAGCCTGTTTGCCTACCTGGCCAATCCAGAGGAAGAACGCGCCAAATACAACGTTAGCGCCGAAGACGACGGTTCGGTTGAAAAGGAACTGACTCTTCTGAAGTTTCAGCGTGCATCTGACGACAAGAATATTGGAGTCTTGACGTGGTTTCCCACCCATGGGACTTCACTCTATGGCAATAACACTCTTATTGCCGGCGACAACAAAGGGGTTGCCGCATACTTGTTTGAGAGGAGTACTATGAACGACTCTTCAGCTGCGGAAGGGTTTGTGGCTGGGTTTTCCCAGGCCAATGTCGGGGACACAAGCCCTAATGTCCTTGGAGCTTGGTGTGAGGATGGCTCAGGGCAGATGTGCACTTTTGAGAACAGCACTTGCGGCGGCAGATCGCAAGCCTGTCATGGCCGAGGACCGTTTTTCAATGTTCCTGATAACGGAGCAAGTTCGTGCTTCGAGATTGGCAAGCGTCAGTTTGAAGCAGCCAGGGCGCTATACGACTCTTTGAATGACAACTCGAAGCCCATCAATAACCCAACGGTTAAGGCTTTCCATGTCTTCCATGACATGTCCAACTTTTCGTTCCTCCTCCCCAACGGGTCGCAAGTCCGCACATGTCCCGCTGCATTGGGGTATTCCTTTGCTGCCGGTACATCAGACGGCCCTGGAGCGTTTGACTTCACACAACACTCCGGTAATGAGACAACAACCTCTCCAATCTGGCGTCTTGTCAGACATATGCTTAAGGAGCCCAGCTCGGAACAAAAGGCTTGTCACTATCCAAAGCCTGTCCTCTTGGATGTGGGCGAGCTTCACTCTCCATATGAGTGGACGCCCAACATTGTGGACGTACAGATATTCCGTGTCGGCCATCTCATCATAATCGTCAGCCCAGGAGAAGCAACCACAATGGCTGGCCGTAGATGGAAAGAGGCCGTCAGGCACGCATCTGCTTCTATCCTTTTACAAGAAGATCATGGCACTGAACCGGTCGTTGTTCTCGGGGGACCTGCCAACAGTTACACGCATTATATCACTACTGAGGAGGAATATGTCATCCAGCGCTACGAAGGGGCTTCTACCCTCTACGGCCCGCACACCTTGGCTGCATATATTAACGTGACGCTATCGCATATTCACTACCTTGCCACGGATGCACAACCCCCGCCACCACATGGTGACCGGGATGCGGGCCAGGGACTGTTTCCCCCGGACAATTCGAACGTTTCCCTCTCGTTCATTCGGCCCGTTGTGTATGACCGTCCTCCCTGGGGCAAGAAGTTTGGGGACGTGCTGGTCGACGTCAAACCAAAGTACCGCAAGGGAGAGCATGTGCACGTTGTATTCGTTGGTGCAAACCCAAGGAACAACCTAAGACTCGAGGGAACATTTGCAGCTGTTCAGCAGCAGAAGATAGATGGGAAGACGGGAGAAGGACAGGGGGAAGACGCTGGGTGGGAAACAGTCAGGGATGACAGTGACTGGTCGTTAGTGTTTCACTGGAGGAGGACCAACGAAATTTTGGGCACGAGCGAGGTTGAGATTGTGTGGGAAACGGAGGAATGGGCCGAGGTTGGTGCCGTTTACCGCATACGGTATTATGGGGATGCAAAGAGCCTGGGAGGGAGTGTGACGCCGTTTGAAGGAATGAGTTCAGAGTTCATGTTGGTATAAGGACTGAGGAAAGGAATGCATCAACAGGTAGTCGGCACTGTTATGATAGATGGAAGGATAGTTATAGGATAGAAAGTGAGTAACTACCTCATCCTCTACTCCTGAAGTAGCACCGGGCGTTCAAGAATAGGCTCATAGCATTGGGTGACTGAGCAAGTCTTAGCAACCGTTGGTTTGCCGACAGTGGCCGTGGGCGCTGGAAGAAGCGCGAACCTAAGCGCATATCGGAGAATACGTGCCGAATGGGAAGGTGCTATTGTTGACATGGCCTTAATTGGTGGAATGATTAGTGTTCATATGGAGATACGGCACGGAGCAGCTGGATGGAGTGAGGCCAGCGTCAGTCCTACCGGCAACGACCATATACTCCTCAAACCTCGGCCCGTCTATATGTTAGTCCGAGTTGCATATAACCAGTCAGCAATCATTCTTTGCACAATACATGGAACAAATGCTTTGTGTTCATCAGCTTTATACAACTAACCACTTCGAGCTCGCCGGCCCTAGGCCCAACCCCCCCGGGTGCTGATTTATTAATTTACAAATCAGGCCTGGTCTTTTCCGGACCCCATGGCTCGCTCGTCAGGCTGGTCAGGCCAGCACTATTCTCGCATGACTGCCTTCCGCTCTGAGGCCCAGGCTTGGGGGCCTTGCTTACATCGTTGACGCTCTCCTTGAGAGCCGTCAAGACCTGCTTGATCGTCTCGGGAGTCAAATCCTCATAATAGTCATCATTAATCTGGACCATAGGTGCATTAACGCACGCGCCGAGGCACTCGACCTCAATGAAGGTAAAGAGACCGTCGGGCGTGGTCTCACCCTGGTTGATGCCAAGGTGTTCCTTGATGGCCTTTACGATGGCGTCGCTGCCGCAGCCACCCAGCTGGCAGGGCGTCTAGGATGGTTAGCATAGCCGTACCGGTATCCCCCTCACACATTTTTGCTCGAAAACCTACCGTTGTGCAGGCCTGGACGTGGAACTTGCCCACGGGTGTACGGTTGTACATGGTGTAGAAAGAGGCGACCTCGTAGACACGCATCGGGGGCATCTCGAGGATGCGCGCCACCTCGTTCATGACGCTGATGCTGCAGAAGCCGTGTTGACGCTGGCCGAGGTCGAGCAGGGGCATGACGGCTGCCTTCTTGTACTGGGGAGGGTAGCGCTTGAGGATTTGCTCGATGATCTTCTCATTCTCGGGAGTGAACTTGAAAGGGATGTCGGGGTTGTTCTCGGGAGTATTTCGGTGCTAAGGGTGAACATCTCGCTCGTCAATCGCATGCCTCCTCTTCTCCTTTCCCGCTGCTATTTCGGGGCCGCAAACTCACCACCATGAGGGTGTCGCTGTGCCTCATCGCCGACGTCGACAATGTGCGCGCTGGGGCGGGGACCATTGCCCACATCGCCCGGCTCCCCATCCGGGCGACGGTGCGCATGAGTAATGGGGTCAGCTTGCTCGCCATGGCTGCGGTTGTGTCGAGCGATCGAGCAATGGCAGCGTCAATTCCGGGCCGCACCGGGTCGTGATCTTGACTTGTCGTTGAGCTCCTTTCGCCGTTGCTGCTGCTCTTCCTGGCCTGATTGGCCTTTGGCTCGGCAAATGGACCCGCTTGCAGTGATAATTGACGCCGCCTCATTGGCTGTGGGGTCAAGGTTTCATCTATCCATGATTATGTAATACACCGCTTGAGTGCACACACCAAGGCAGCTTTTCGTTTGATTTTCATGAGCTCCATCTATCTTGTGTCCTTCACAGTTGTGGGATGACTGAAGAGCAGCTTGATGTTGATTTAACGACACAAACGACTTTGTATTTCCCGCCATAGAAGTACCAGTTCACTCCTGTGAATGCCTGAACATAAACTCGTGATACATAGTCCTGACTTTTCCATTGCTTGGCTTCTTGTTTATCATTTTCGTACATAGTGCTGAGCTGGTCTTGGGAGTTCTCGCTTCTCGGTTATCATCTGCATTGTCTCAAGCAATCCCTCTGATCCAAGAGCACCCTCCACTAGTTTTGATGACGATTTCGAGCTAAGGCTAAGGTGACAGCAACAGCACTTCAGTTCCGGGTTCTGGCGTCTCACATTGAATCTTCCATCAATCACAAGCAATCGCAAATCTGACTGGGTTATTTGTGCTGCCCTTTGATTTCCAGTTCTGGTGTTGTCCATGGATCTGGCTACCTGCACTGCATAAGACGTTGAGATCCCATCGGCACCATTGTCCTCCGTTTTGACTCTACAGAGATCTATGCACCCATTGTTGGATGCCGCTGCTTGATCGGCTTAAATGGGAAAGCTTCCGCTGCTCTCAATCGGAGCACACAACGGCCGCCTCTGGTTTGTTCTGCCCTTGTGACAAAGACGGGATGTTATATAGTGCCTAATTTAAGAAGCATTGATGTTGCCGAACGGGGCGCGTGCTGCTGTCTAACACACTCTGCAGTCCCTGGCCCAATTTGCCGCGCAGTTTATCTGAATATATTGCCCTCCTTTGGAAAGTCTGGGGCCCCGCTATATGCTTGACTACCGGGCCTGTACGCTATTGTTCGGCATGTCGCCAGCCTCTCCTATTCGTCATCCTGGCTCACCAGACCCAAGATGCCGTCATGCCCAATATGCTGACTGAGTTTTACTTGGCCGGGAGTGAAAGCTTCGGTGCCATTCTCGGACGAACTAACGGAACGAGGACTTTTGTATTCTCGGTGCCATGCTTTCCGTCGACAAAGAGCGTGCCATTGGTATGAATAGTTAGAATGTATATAAGTTGGAGGATGAGCCATGGTGATGTTACTGGTTGACTGGTCAGACTGAGCAACCATTCCGTAATACACCTTCACCAGCCGTGGCCGACAACGGGATAACCACAATGAAACTTTCCTTGGCGTCACTTCTTACCGCTGCGCTCAGCGTCCAGGGGCATGCCATCTTTCAGGTGAACCACATCGTATACTATCCGTATTTCGGTAACAATCCATTGACTGATATCAACTCCAGAAAGTCTCCATCAACGGCCAAGACCATGGCCAATTGACCGGCCTGCGTGCGCCCAACACCAACTACCCAGTTGAAGATGTAAATAGCCAGGACATCATCTGCGGTCAATCTGGACATAGGTCATCGACCATCCTCAACGTCAGGGCTGGTGACAGAATTGGTACCTTTTGGGGCCATGTCATTGGCGGTGCTCAGTTCCCTGGCGACCCCGACAATCCGATTGCCAGGTCTCACAAGGGCCCTATTCAGGTCTATCTTGCCAAGGTAGACAATGCTGCGAGCGCAAGCCACACCGGCCTGAGATGGTACGTGCCAGGCGGCCGACTCATTCTGACCAAGAGTGTCAAGAGTTCCCACTAACTGGTGCAAAGGTTCAAGATTTGGTCAGAAGGTTTTGACGTCGGCAGCAAGAGATGGGGCGTTGATACCATGATCAACAACGGCGGCTGGTACTACTTCAATTTGCCGCAATGCATTGCGGACGGCCAGTACCTCATGCGTGTCGAGCTGCTGGCTCTTCACTCGGCTGGCAACTACCGCGGAGCGCAGTTCTACCAGTCATGTGCTCAGATCAACGTCTCGGGTGGTGGTTCCTTCACTCCATCCCAGACAGTCAGCTTCCCCGGCGCCTACAGCCAGAACGATCCGGGCATCTTGGTCAATATCTATGGCCTCACTGGTCAGCCCGACAATGGTGGCAAGCCATACCAAGCCCCTGGGCCGGCTCCCATCACGTGCTAAGTCTCGTGCGAAGCATCGTTGTTTGCTCGGTCTTTTCTCTGAAATTTGACCATTGATTGCTGGAAAGGATTCTCAAGTAGTGGAGAGGTGTGTCGTGGTACTTGAATACATTTGGAATTCTTGGGAACAGGTATCTCTCCGCTATTTCTTTAGCCTTATCTACTGTTCATAAGCTGGCAGGCCTGATGTGCCGTAGCTAGTATAAATCTTTGTATCTTGCATCACCCTCATTCCAGAAATCCCCATTCATTTGTTTCCAATGACCGCAGGTGTTTTGTCCTTTTCTTGTTGCCTCCATTGGTGAATGGATCTCGAAATTGGACATTCCGAAGGCCCACAGCAGTTCATTGATCACAGCACATCACCGAAATCCTCCACACCACGAATGCCTCGGCGCCTCTCGCGCCCGACCCCCAGAAGGGCGGACTCCGCACACACTATGGAAAGGCCGGAAGTACGGCATGCAAGGTACAAATGAGTTTGGCAGCTGGAGCACGAGCCAAGCAGATATGTGGATTATGGCGGAGTTGACCTGCAAGAAGCAGTGGAGGTGAAGAACTCCTGGAAAGCTCCCAATCCTTTTCGTTACGAAAAGTAGCGATCTGGTTGTTTCCGTTTCGTCCAGCGCAGCAGGCGTTTCAGTTGGCCAGATACCTCCAGCGAATCAAGCACTCTTTAATCATTGTTAGAAGTCAAAATGTTCTGTTGGCTTGCAAGTGGTTTACATCGATGTCTTGGCTGACAGCTCTTACCATCCGAACCCGTTCTCTCCCAATACATATTTGGTCATCAAGTGTACCAACACTACGAGGATGTGTTCGACTAGAATGCTGTTGTGTTTGTGAAGTTGCAGGCACACTATGTACCTTGATACGGACTGTGGTTTCAGTAAAACCCCCCATAGTAGTAGATTGACAAATTTAATTATGGCCATCAACATCGAGCTTCCCTATCCAGACGTCCTGTTGTCGGCGTCCCCCAATACCTAAATAAAACCGCGATGATAAGCGCAAGCGCGAAGCGCGAGATGACCTATGGAGAGCCTACAAGAAGCTTTTTTTTGACATGATGGGCATCTGGAGCCCTGTTAGGCTGCCAGCTGCGGCCAAGGAGAGGGCAAGCCGGAAGTTCCAGGAAGCGAGTTTGTTCTACAACAAGCATCCCACCGTTTGCTCTTTTAGTGGGAGGTGATCAGTGCCCGCACACATCGTCACTCATCTCATGGCCCTCAGCTCACTCCAGCATCACTCCACCATCTGTGGCCACCAAGGATGAAAAAAATCGTAAAACTGCGCTTTGCTTCCAGACCCTCTGATTCAGGATCCCAGCGAAGCGATCCTCGAGGTTTCCCTTGCCTTAGGGTGCTTTCTTTTGTGCTTTCGTCGGCGATGCCTTCGCCGACCCTGGGCTGATGAAAACCGCCGGCTTACGGCTGCCGGCGGTTACACAGCCGGCAAGACTGAGAAGTGACAACGCCGAGCCGACATCATCCGTCATGCCGTGCCCACTGGTCCAGCGCGGGATGGCCGTCCCGCAGGTGCAGTCTACCCCAGTCCATTCCAGATGGAGCCGACGGAGCGAGAAATTTAGGAAACTTGCAAAGTTGCATTGGCCACCAGAATGTTCTCTAGCGGCTTGATCCCTCGTTGAGCTGCGAGGTTGCGACGTCACCACAGCAAAAGTTCAGAGAGGGGCAGAGCAAGCGAAGACGACAACAGCGCACGGCGCTGCATGACAGGCATCGGCCGCTCGCGCAAGAGTCATCCGTGTGCAGCCCTCTATGGTCCATGGAGCCGTCTCCCAAAACTTGTCCGAGGGATCCTTGAAAAACTTGCGGACTGGAGTCTGGATCGGAGCTGTGATTCGCCGCTGGCTACTCTGATTAGTATGGGAGAAATTCGCGCAAGTCGGGCCTCGCAACTCTGCGCTGGAGAAGCGCACGCAGCGCAACCTGGAAGGCAGGCCTTGCCCGCGCGGGCTCACCGTCGCAGCCGGCGTGCGAACACTGTTTCCCGTGGTCTCCTTCCACCTCCCACGTAGCACATCGAAACCGCAACGCTAGCATCGCGTCAACAGCGCACAGTGTCTCCGTGCCTCCGGCGCGCGGGCGGTCACAACAGACCAAGCTTTTTCTGGGTTGGCTGCTCCAGCTCTGCTTCTCTGCCATCCCATGTTTGCCGACGAGCGACACCCACAGCGACGACCACAGAGAGGACCCCGGACAGAACGGGCAGGCGGCAGGACCCACCGGGCGTTATTTTGCTACCTTTGCTCTCACCTGCCACCCGCTGTTTCCGTTGCTCTCCCCTCTCTTCCCAATCCCATTTTTCCTGTCCGTCCCCCGCTCCTCTGTTCCTTTTCTCCTTTCCTCTTCTCCTCTCTCCCCAACCTCACTCGACAGTCCAATTCTCGAGCCCCCCCTCCCGAGCGACTCAGCGCAATCCTCTTCGACAAGGAGACTGCCGCAGCGCCAATTGGCTTCCCTCCTCTCCAATTCTCTTCACCAACAACTGGCTTGTCATCCTTGCCGACCTAGGTCGCCGGCTAAGTCGTTGTGTTGTTCAACCTCCCTCCCGTCTAAAAGCGTCCTGTCGGCTCTTGAGGACGTGATTTCACTTCCCCGCAATCCGGCTCTTCGTCATCTGTGACTGCGAAACTCCGGCGTGCCCTTTTTATCACATTCCGAGTACTTGCACTCCGCCTTAGGCCAGAATGTAAGCAACCTGCCCCAATCCAATTGGCTGATTTTGAGCTGGTTTTTCCTTGTGTGCCCGATTGTTGGCTTCTTCTCTTTCTAATCTGGTGTGGGTCGTGGGGGGCTCGCGGTTGTCGAGTACCTGGAGCTTCGGCCGCATGACAGATGCCAAGACTGTCATTGCAAGGTGCCGGACAAGGAATCCTCGCAGTCCGAAAGGAGGACCACTCCAGGTTTCACCCCGCTGAACCAATCTGGCTGCATCCGTGCGGCACCCACCGGAAACAAAACCCCGCTCGTCCCAACAAGGGAGCTTCCTGTGTCAATTGGATTCAAGACAGTTCTTGCTATTTTTTTTACTCCTTTACTGATCTTTTTTGTCTTAGTAAATCCTAATCTTCAACGTCAAAATGCCTGCCATCAGCAACTCCATTGTTGTCCGCGACGCCGTTTCGCACCTCGCCAAGCGCAGCAACTGGGCTGCTCGTGAGCCCGGTGTCGTCCTTGTCTTCTGTATCGTCTTCATTGTTGGCTGCCTCCTCATCGCCCTTTGGATCCACAAGTTCATCAAGGCCCGCCGCGAGAGGCGTGCGGCCCAGATCGCTTAAATTGACCCCCTTGTTTCTATCAATTCCATGCGCAATGCAGGAGCTCAAGGAGGGAGTCAGGAGATGATGGCGGACAGACATACGATTTAGTCGTTTAGGAGTGAAGATGGACAAGCAATGATAGTTCTAATGACTTACTACGGATTTGGGTCATGGAGGGTTTCTCTGGCCTGATGGGCAGAAGGGATTCCTGGGAATAGGGTGGTTGAGAGGAGCGCCCAGGGGAGCGAGTGGGAAAACCAGAGGATTTGGGGGTGAATGAGAAGGGCGGCGGCGGCGGCGACTGTGATCCGAATCGATTGGTCAACACATTTGCGACGATACCCAACAACACAACAATTTGTTCTTACAACCACACTTAACTCCATTTGGAGGTCGCGCACACCAAACATCAACTCAGGGAAATTGGCTCCTGTCTCTGTTTTTCAACTTATCCATCGTTTCTGTTTCCAGACAGTTTCGGAGGATCGGGTCAAGTCAAGTTCCGTCCTTGGTCAAGGAAGAGATAGGACACTTTTTACTGCACGGGAGGAACCATAATACCACTTTGTGTGTGTCGCGTTATCATGATCGTCATCATTTGAAGTTGTCCGTCGCCGCCGCCAGTCCATCTTCTCTGCACGAGACCTTCGTCCTTGGCCTGGCTGGCTGACTGGCCGGCTCGAAGGTGAAGAGGAGGCTAACCTTTCATACAATTAAACGCGCGCCGGATCTCGCCGCGGGGAGGGAACTCAGGCAACCCGTTTACCTTTATATATATATACCTTTTTCTTCTAATTCACATCGTTTTTTTGGATACCGATCAACATTCTTGTCAGAATGGAAAACTATGCTCTATAGGTGACTGGTCATCGTAAGCTGTTCTCCCAGAGGTTTAGACAGTGATGTGCTTTTGAACAACCAGCGGAAAAGGCTCAAGCGGCCATAATTCTCCACTCTATCTGCAGAGACTTTCTCCGGGGAACTGCCCGCATGTATCCGGATTTTCTGTACCTGCAGCAAAAATTGGAGCCGCTTACAGGATGGAGTTTCTACATTGATGGACTGTGGTCGTTGGTTTGTCCTTGCTAGGGTCCACTTAAGTGGCCTTTAAATGACCAGAGCCCTAAGATACCTCAAGTCCACAATGTTCAGTAAATCCCGCACCTTAAGCCTGCCTAGGTGCTTCGAGGCCTGTGTTGTTGCAACATGGGCATATGGAGTGACTTGCTGTGTGAAGATCAAAGATCAGTTGGGTGCGTGCAATTAACTTTCCTCGTATGTGGCTGAGTTCACAACGGTAAGTAAAAACATGGAGGGACTGAGATGATAACGGACTGGTCACCCGAAGCTTTTTGTCGTAAAGACCACTCAGTCAACCTGGGCTGTTGGCTCGTAGAGAAACAGTCCAAGCTGAAAAGGAGGTGAGACAGCTGCGCACAAGCCACGAGGAACCGCACAGTCTCCCATATTACGCCAAGCGAAGGGTAAGTATGTAAATCACCAAGGCCTTGTACCTGACGTAAGTCTTGTCCGCGTGGCCCCGCTGTGGTTGGGCTGTTTCACTTCAGAGTAGTTGAGGAGTGGGACAGGGTTTACGATGTGTGTAGTGCATATTTATAGGGATGGTGATCGCTGGTTGTACAAGGGGTTCGCGTGATACGGGGAGAACTAAGTTATAGATTGAGCCTGTCACTGGCTATGCAAGACTCGATGATGATTCGCTTAGATATTAATATATCATGGCCTAGGGCAGGCCATGAAAGTCTAGAGAATTCGCTTCATGATACCAAGGTAAAAATAAAAACTTCAAGCTTAGTTATACAACTCAGGCTTCTCAAGATGAATGAGACCATTCGCAGGCTGTGTGCAGCACAGAATCCCTTGGCGTCAGCAATTGCCGGCAGAAGAAGAGGGACTCGACTCAAACTGCCACCGCGGTGTAGAACACTTACCGGTACGAATTGTCTCAGCTTTACCCCTGCTTCCCTAAACACCGCCGCCGTCTCCCCATCCATACTATACCCCTTGCTATACACCACCTCACTAATCCCCATCTGCGCGATCTTGATACTGCACGTCAGACACGGACAGGTGTCGCAGTATAGCACCGCACCCTCGCGCAGGCGCTCCCTCCCGGCTTCCAGCAGCGCGTTCTCCTCGGCATGGATGCACAAGCACGTCGACAGCGCGTGACCGGATCCTTCGCCCGAATTGCACCGTCCACAGCCGCCTTCCGCACAGTTCTTGAGTCCCCGCGGAGTCCCGTTATAACCAGTGCTGATGACACGCTTGTCCCGGACGACGACGCAGCCCACACGACGCTTCATACAATTGCTGCGCTGTGCGGCGAGGGAGGCTAGGGACATGAAGTAGCTGTCCCAGCTGGGACGGAGACGGTCGGGGTTGGGGAGGTCGAGTTTGCCGAGGGTTGCATAGAGGTGGGCTAGGCTGGAGGAGGTGTTAACAAGTCTGATGGTGGCATTGGAGATGAGAGTTGCGAGATTGCCTGTTGGGGAGTAGAGATGGCTGTCGGAGAGGTGAGCGAATTCTTCGAGGGTTGTAATAACTTTCTGTTTGGGGGATAGGGATGGAGAGCCCGAGGGGGTTGATGAATCTCTTGATGTGGATGATAAAAAGGCTTCGTTTAAGACGCGCTGCTGCTCCAACTCATGTTGCTGGTTTTGAAAACGACGCCAGCGAACTGTGAGGGGAGCATCGACACTGACGAGTAAAAAGAAAGGTCGCCGGCTATAGATATCAAAGATATCTTCATTTGGGATATCGATTGTAACCCAACGCTCACGCCAGCGCTTGGTGACAAAGTCCATAAGCTCATTAGGCGTGGAGAACATATATTGGTTATCAGCAGGCTGGTTGTCCAAACTGGTTATAATATATCCTGGCTCATGCTGATATCCGGAGAGATAAAGCTGTGTGAAGCCGTGATGATCAACTAAATAGCGGGCAATCGTTCGTCGACCGGCGCAAATACCTGAAATGTTATGGTCAGTTGGCGCAGAAATTGCATATTGATAAAGTCGGGCCCTGCAAACTTACTGCCGCAAATGCCTATGAACATTGTGCATGCTCTAAAGGAATGAATATTTTTATGAAAAACAAAGGCAATGTTGACAATGAAAGTGAGCCTTGGCCCTTGAATTCAACCTCCAACGCTCCTACTTGGTCAGCTTCATCCAGCTTTGCCTCGAGGTATGAACGCGTGAGACGCGTTCTGCAAGCACTTTACGCGTCTATAGTGGGGCTACGTAACACCAGCAGTTCACACTAGTACCGAGGTTTAGCCGGAGGGGCTCGGGCTGGAAAGTGATCTGCGGGGTAGCAAGCTCTAAGCTCACTGCCCCGCCCCCACCATCCACAGACAAGTGCTGCCTTGGATGTCGCTTCCATCCCATGACTATGGCTACAGCAGACCACTGCAGCACTGCAACAGGTCTGTAAAGACGTACCTCAAACTAACCAACAATCAGCTCGGCCGACCAACCAACTGCCAGCACTTCCCTGAACATCTGACCACGTCGCCATGATCCAGTGACCTTGCTGGCCATCAGTCAGAACCGTACTGTGCTCCGACAACAGCTTAGACATATATAGCAGTGATCAATCTCGCGCGCGTGAATGGCCGGTTTCTTCCTCACGTACACCCCTGTTACTGACTGTCGTTGTTGCTTTCAACCCTTGACGATTTCAACAACAGCTGTTCAGCTGCCGACCAAACGGTTACACAAGGCTGCTACCACTTCCAGCTTGGCCAGCCTGATCAGTGATCTGTTGGGTCTACACTGTCCAGTGGCATCCGTGCTTTGCTCTTAATGAAGCGTTTGGGTTGAACTCTTCCCTGGTCATAGCTATACGACATATCCTCTCCAGTCGATAAAGATTCCTGGCAATTCCTTCGGTCGCGCTAAGTTCTTTGCCCACAACCAACAACCAACGCGCAGCTGACGACGCTCATTGCCAAAATGTCGGCCCTTAAGTTTGTGCCGTTCTCTTCGGAGATCGAGCTGCCATTCTATTCGGCACTGTTCTCGTTAAAGCTGGACCATGACAAACTAGACGACTCGGCTCGCCCTGTCTTGGGGCTATACGAGCCACAACCTCAGGCTGATCCAGAGTCAAGCACCAAGATGCAGATCCGCGGGAATGCCCTCACAAGCAATGAGTTAGTCACTCCTTTCATATTCATGCCTGATAAAGAACGGTGAATTAACAAAGACTATAGCGTCCCTGCTGGCATGTGCAGAGCCAAGGGATACATCAAGAATGTTAACACCATCGAGGAGTTCAGAAATATTGACAAGAACGCGATGATCACCGATCTTGGACGCCAGGTAAGTCAATGATGTCGGGCATGTTCATTTCAAACATAACTAACGGGAGCCACAGATATGGGAGGCAATCCAAGATGGTACGATCTACTCGGTTCCGTCACTGCTCTCTTCATTTGCCATCCTCTCTTTTGCTGATCTGAAAAAATACCGATTCACCTACTGGTTTGCCTTCCCAGCTCTTCACTCGGACCCTCCGTGGAAGCGGGTTGGCGCAATCGGGCATCTCGACTCAAAAGAAAGCACGGCACTGGTTGATGCTGTCATGACGTGGCGCTATGTTGTTAGCAATGAAGCTGAGCATGGCTTCTTCCTCGCCAAAAAGGTCCGCGACAGAGATGCCGCAGCTAAGAGCTTTCTTGACGACTATGCCGCAGACCTAGGCTACCGTTGGGAAATCGCTTCACTCCGCGAGTTCGAGAATGGCTTTTTCAACAACACCGACGAGGCCGACCGCTACGTCGCTTTTGTAGATCCCTCCAATTATGATGAGTCACCGTCTTGGCCACTTCGCAATCTTTTGGTCCTGATCAGGCAGAGATATCGCCTGAAGAAAGTAAACATCCTCTGCTATCGAGATACTCAGGCTAAGAGACATGAAGCTCGAAGCATCATTCTTCCCCTGGAGATGGAGGGTACAGTGGATCAGGCGGCGCCACAGAAGATGCCGAATGTAACGGGCTGGGAGAGAGATGTTAACAACAAGCTGAGGGCTCGCGTTGCCAACCTAGCGGATCATATGAACCCCACTCGACTTGCAGATCAGGCGGTTGACCTGAACCTCAAGCTTATGAAGTGGCGCTTGGCTCCTAACCTGAATCTCGATGGCATCAAAAACACCAAGTGCCTGTTGCTTGGTGCTGGAACGCTCGGGAGCTATGTTTCTCGGAACCTGATGGGATGGGGCGTGAGGACGATCACGTTCGTCGATAACGGTGCTGTCTCTTTCTCGAACCCAGTTCGGCAGCCGTTGTTTAATTTCCAAGATTGTTTACAAGGCGGAAAACCCAAAGCACTGCGGGCTGCTGAAGCTCTTAAGGAGATCTACCCCGGCGTCGAAGCAGGTGGCTATGTGCTTTCTGTTCCTATGCTTGGGCACCCGATCCTGGACGAGAAAAAGGTGAAGAGAGATTTCGAGCTTCTGCATAAGTTGGTGGATGAGCATGATGCAATTTTCTTGCTCATGGACACACGCGAGTCGAGATGGCTGCCTACAGTCATGGGCAAGGCGGCCAACAAGATCGTTATGAACGCCGCTCTGGGATTCGACACCTATGTTGTTATGCGGCATGGAGCAGAACCTGAAGATGGAAGTCAGGAGACGCTTGGCTGCTACTTCTGCAATGACGTGGTCGTTGCTGCTAACGTAAGTTCATACCCGTGATTTATCCAGAATGCCATCACTAACACCTTCTTCAGTCTGTCAAGGACCAAACCCTCGACCAGCAATGCACCGTTACACGCCCCGGTGTCGCAGCGATCGCTTCCGCCATGCTTGTTGAGCTCCTTTCGAGCCTGCTTCAACATCCTAAGAAGCATCACGCCCCAGCCCCCGTTCCTGCTCCGGGTTCAACAACTACCTACGCCCGTGACCCAGAGGACCACCCACTAGGTCTCATTCCTCATCAAATCCGCGGCTTTCTTTCAACCTGGCAGAACATTGTGATCCACGGCAAATCGTACCCTCAGTGCAGTGCCTGTAGCAAATCTATCATTGACGCGTACAGGAAGGAAGGCTGGGAGTTCGTCAAACGGGCTCTGAATAGCAGGGATTATGTGGCTGAACTAAGCGGACTGGCTGAGGTCCAGAGGCAGGCTGAGAAAGTTGCTGCCGAGCTGCAGTGGGATGACGAGGATGATGGTAGCGCTGAGGCAGAGGAGGGAGATGGTGTCTTGATCTAAATTCTAGGTGACAATGATTTGGAACGGTTAGGAAGGTAATCAAGGGGCTGGCGTTGGACTATAGGCCTAATGGGCATGCATCTGTGGAATTGGCTTCCCTGGTTCTTGAGAGGTGTCTAGGTGTGTGGCGTTGGTTGGATTCAGAGGAGGGAGTTGGGAGAAGGTGATTTGTGATTGATAGGGGACGGCTATGTAGATGTCATGAAAGTATGGATCGTAATTATCTTTGAGCCTACGGATGAGGAACGCAATCATATCGTAGCCTGCTTTCTTAACTACGCTTACTTCTGAATTTATGACTTAAGTTTAACAGGGATGAAGTGCCTGCCCTGAGAACAGATTAAATGGCTGGTACCCTTACTCCTATGGAATGTGTTTTTTCTGCCAAATCTTCGGCTTTATCGCAATCTATCACGCCTTTGCCATCTCAGCCTCAAGTAGTACATGAAGCTAAACCGTGACATCTGATGAGAGGAAAGACTTCGAGTTATAGAGTATTGATTACTAATGCACATGTCACTGACAGGGCGTGAACTTGGTTCTACTCTTTTACCCACCTCGACTTTATCTTATTGTTTGACTCGAACACTGCTGCTTACAAGCCCTCTACCGACACAATCTCACAGCACATTGCCTAACCCAACATATCTCAACATGACAGACCAAACAACTTCTCCCCCTACCCCTACCGCTGACTTCCTCCTCACAGCCTACACCCGCTTCCGCAAGGCTCTCACAAACCCCTCCACAACTCCCGGCACCCCAATCCTAAGCAACGCCAACCCAAGCAACAACACCAACAATGACATTCCAATCCTCCCTTCACCTCAAGCGCTCACAGCTAACCTCCTCCTCCGCCTCCCCTCTCGAACAGACCTGGACTACCTCTCTCCCCGTGGTCCAGAAAAGACACATGAGCACATCCTCAACGACATCCTCCCCTCCCTGAACAGGCAATCTCTCTCCCCCCGCTACTTCGGCTTTGTCACCGGCGGTGTCCTCCCTATCGCCGAGGCAGCAGATAACATTGTTAGTGGGGTGGATCAGAACGTGCAGGTACATTTCCCTATTTCAGAAGGGGGGATGGTGCATTCGGCGTCAACGTATGTGGAAGGTGCGGCGCTGCAGATGGTGGTTGACTTACTTGAATTGGAGCCAAAGGATGTGACGGGGGAGGTTTGGAAGGGGAGGACGTTCACTACGGGCGCGACGGCGAGTAATATTCTGGGGTTGGCGTGTGCTAGGGAGGGGGCGATTGCGCGCAGGTTAGGGGGATCTAAGGGGGAGGAGCTGTCTGTGGCAGATCTGGGGGTTCTGGAAGCTTGTCGACGGGCGGGGGTTAGGGGGTTTGCTGTGTTGGGGAGTATGCCGCACTCATCGGTGCTGAAAGCGGCTAGTTTAGTGGGTTTTGGTAGGGAGAGTGTGAAGAATGTTGGTATGGAGGGGCAGCCTTGGAGGCTTGATCTGGAAAAGCTGGAGGAGGAGCTGGAGAGGAAGCAAAAGGAAGGGATTGCGTGTGTGGTGGTTGTAGGGGCTGGGGAGGTCAATACGGGGAGGTTTGGCACGGGCGTACTGGATATGCCGAAGGTTAGGAGTCTAGCTGATCGATATGGGGCGTGGGTGCATGTTGATGGTGGTAAGTAACGTTCTGAGTAGTGCTATGTCTGTTGAAAAGGATACTAATCGTCTGTTATGCTGCAGCTTTTGGACTCTTTGCCCGCGCTCTTCCTAAAGAAGAGGAATTCCTCGCACTACATGCTCAGGTTGCGGGCTTAGAGCTCGCGGATAGCATCGCAGCTGACGGTCACAAACTTCTCAACGTGGTACGGTCACATTCAAGCCAAAGGGAAGAAAACGTTGTTCTAACAAAATGGCATCATATATAGCCCTACGACAATGGTATCTTTCTTACTCGCCATCTCTCCATCTTGACTCAAGTCTTCCGCAACACCAACGCTGCGTATCTTGTTGCATCTCCCAGTCAAGGTGTCGATCCCACTGTTGCCATTCCCAGCCCACTCAACATAGGCCTCGAAAACTCGCGGCGCTTCCGCGCTTTGCCCGTCTACGCAGTGCTCCTCAGCGAAGGCAGACAGGGCATCGAGGCAATGCTGAGCCGGATGGTGCGACTGGCGCGAATTATTGCCGCGTTTGTGCGCGACTCTTCACACTATGAGCTGCTGCCAGAGGGAAATGACGATGCGGCGGCATTGGAGAACACCTTCATGATCGTCCTATTCAAAGCACGCGACAAAAAGCTCAATGAAGAGTTAGTCGACCGCATCAACCGTACAGGCAAGGTATTCGTGAGCGGCACGATGTGGGAAGGTCGGAAAGCGGCGCGGATTGCTGTAGCCAGCTGGCAGGTAGACGTGGAGAGAGATGCGGCGGTTGTCAAAGAAGTGTTGACTGCTGTCGCCGAGGGGAGAGAGTCGGAATTGTCGTTGTAGGGGGAAGTTGTCGAGAATTTGAGGTATTTGATGCTGCTGGTTCTTGACATTGCGCGTAAACAGCCCTATGTCCTCGCAGAACTCCTGCACTGAAGGTGGCGATATTTTCTTCCTTTTTAGCCAAACTTCCTCGAACCACCCTTGTACTTCTGCTCCTCTCCCTTCTTCCGGCCCTTCCCAATCAGCTCGAGGTGACCGGCGCGCTCGCCCAACATCTCTTCGGTGCGGGAAACCAGGCCGAAAGTAAGCTTCTTCGCAACCTTATCGGCGGTCGACTTGAGCTTGGGCTTCTGGGGCTTGGTGACGCCCTTTTTGGGCTTTTGGTTTGCCTTAGCCTTTGTAGGCTTTGACAGCTTCTTGAGTGTTCCTTGGGCCATTGCTTTCGCGAAAGTGCAGTTGTTGTCAAGGCTGTTGTCAAAGAGACTAAGAAGCGCAAATGGCAAATGGGATAATCATATACTAGAAAATAAATTTCATGGAAGCCATGCTTTGGAAAGGTTCTGCCATTGTCCACCGCTTTCTTGGCATCTTACTGCCAAGAAGCTGCTGGCGTTCTCATGCTCAACACCAACTCAGACATCGGTAGGCTCTTATTTGGTCCAAAAGTTTTGGAATGGATTCTTGGAATTCTCAATGTTTTGAACAACACATCTTTGCGTTCCATGCTTCAGGAGCTTGAACACCTAAACTTTACCAAAAGACTTTGAAGTAATGACGAACAATAAATCGTTGCCCAGAACCCTGGATCAAGCCCCGCACAGACCACGCCCAAAACCAAGATCGGGTCCTGGAACCGTGGGAAACCACTTGGGTTATCTTGGGCTGGGCACTCGTCCGAGCGCTCCAAAGCGTTGGATTGAAGGTCTTGGTTTTTGCTATGGTACATAGGAAAGACATTTGATTGAACATCCTCGCCTCACATAACACAAAGTTGGGACAAAGACAAGTACAATGTTGTGATAGAGTAGTATATAGTCTTACATAAACCAACTGCAAAGCTTGCTAGCATGATCTATGGCGATCATGGTTGAAACTTTTGAACAAGATGTGCAGTTAATTGGTACCAGACAGGTACTTGCGCTGTGTATTGCAACCCCACAGTCGCCAAGAGTCGATGCCCTGGTGCTGTCCCCTGGCGCTAAGCTCAAGGTCGATCTCAGCTGCAAACTTTCAGGAGGTGAAAATCGAAAAGGGGCAGCGTCGCGCTGCCCCGAAGGATCGGATTTGTCTGCATGTGTTGTTGTGAACTCGACTTTTTGTCAATTTTCAGAATTTCATATCGAGTGATTTGCACCCTCGGCCTTAGATTTGGGGTTCGTCGCGTGGCCGCGTGTATCTGTACCGAAGGGCGAATAATTGACATCCCAAATCCCCACTCTTATTCCCTGCTCCCTGCTCTCCAGTCTCGGTTGCAGCAGCAGGCGGGACGGTCGCGTGGAAGGAGATTGACCGGCTCGTTAGTCCATCCAGTTCGCTGGTTCGCCCAACCTCCGACCATCACATAGAGCACATCTCGTCTACGTCGGCCCGCCCTCTCGGTTTCTGGCATCCTGTCGCATCTGGCGTCGCTCTCGATCTCAGCGCGCACTATCTGACGGGCCACCTCCCGCCTCTTCGTGACCATGTCGGCCCTCTCGAAGCGCCAGCAGGCGCGCAACGAGAAGATCCTTCAGGAGTTGGTTCAGCTTCCCGGAAACAACTGCTGCGCGGATTGTCAAGCACCCAATCCAGGTGTGTATCTCTAAGCTAACGCCATCTAAGCTGTATGAGCGATGAACTAACGCGACTTGCTTCCAGCTTGGGCATCATGGAGCGTGCGTCTATCCTCCCGACCCTTCGCAACCGTGAATCTTCCTCGATGCCGCCTGCCATCTTACGCGTAAAGCGCTGATACTAACATGGGCCTGGTCGGACGTAGTTGGGTATCTTCCTCTGCATGCGATGTGCTACTATCCATCGCAAGCTGGGCACCCATATCTCCAAGGTGAAATCATTGAGCATGGATAGCTGGAGCAACGAGCAGGTTGACGTGCGTATCCCCATGTGCTAGTACCGTGTGCCCAGCTAACGTGCATCCCGTTCGTCTCAGAACATGAAGAAGGTCGGCAATATCATGTCAAACAAGCTGTACAACCCCGAGGGCAAGAAACCACCCGTTCCCATCGACGCCGAAGAGATGGACAGTGTGATGGAGCGCTTCATCCGCCAGAAGTATGTCACTCGTACGCTGTCTACCAACAAAAAGGGTGATATCGACTTGGACGAGCGCCCTCCTCCTCTCCCACCGAAAACGCCCAGTCGATTCGGCCTTCGCTCCGCCTCTTCGCTCTTCCCCCTTGGTGGGCGGTCCAAAAAGTCTAGTCATGAGCCGACTAGCCCTCGCGAGGTTCCTCCTCGCCCACCGCCCCGTCCGAGATCTCCTGGAGTGTTTGGTGCCAGAGTTGATCGCGATGATCGCTCCGAGAAGGACGATACTGAGCAGAAGTTGGCAAAGTTACGGGATATGGGATTTACAGATGAGAAGCGAAACGCCATGGTTCTGAAAGGAGTCGGTGGCAATTTGGAAAAGGCTGTCGAAGCTCTAATCCGTCTTGGTGAAGGCAACTTAGCAGGCGGGAGATCGGGAACTTCTCTCACAGGCCCGCCGCGGTCGGCTACTTTGCCAGTCACCAGGACTTTGACCCCCAGCGCACCATCTAACGTCGTTTCGGAGCGCGCCCGGCCCATCAGCCCAGCTAGCACGAATCCTTTTGATATGCTCGACACTCCTCCGCCGCCGCAACCTCTGTCAACCCAGTCCACCGGCACTCTGCAGACGAAGAATCCTTACCTGTCGACGAACCCATTCGGTGTACCCCCACCGGCCCCGTCAGCTCTCGATCAGGCCTTCCAGAATCTGTCCCTCGCGCCGGCATCCCAGCCTCTCTTCCCTCACCACACCGGAGGGATGATCCATCCACAAAACACTGGATCCCTGTACCAACCACCATTGACGGCTCCTTTGACCGCGACGCTCCCGACAACAAGCCAGGGATATTCGGGAATGATGCCGAATGGGAACCAGTCACTATATGCGCAGCAGTTGCAGCCGCAAATTACTGGCTACAGTAACAACCCCTTCTTTGCAGCCCAGCAACCGCAACCGCAACCGCAGCCACAATTATCAGTGAACACGACGCCTTTTGGCAGCGGGAATTACGGAAACAACCCATTCACTCGGTCACCCACGCGTCTCCAATCGCCGAGTCTCTCGCAAATTCCGGAGCAATCACAGCAAAACTACTTCACTGCATCATCGACACCTCAACCACAGCCGGCATCAAACCCGTTTTTTGCGCAGGCGGCGACAACGCCCGGTGTCCAGCCACAGGCGCAACTGACCGGCCAGTTGCAACAGCCCGTCCAAGCTACGATACAACTGCCGCAGCAGCAGGTGATGGGCCTGGCTCCTCAGATGACAGGATACTATTCACAACAACAGCCAATGCAGCAGCAACCGCAGCAGCGGGTCGTTGACAAGGCGTCTATCCTCGCCTTGTACAACTATCCCCAGCTAGCTCCCCAGCCGGCAGGGCTGCAGGCTCAGAATCAGCAGCAGCAACAGCCACAGCAACAGCCATCACAACCCCAAGATCAGCAGCAACACCAGCAGCAACCCCCCGCTAGTCCCCAGCCAGGAAGCAAAAACCCGTTTGCAGGTGCTGGTTCGGGAAAGAATGCGTCATCTGCCGCGTCACAGCCTTCTCAAGACCAGCCTGGAACCATGATGGCGACTCCACAGCCTAGGCGGTATAATGCTAGTAGGGAGAGCATGATGGCCTTGGGCATGGAGTGGTCCAATGGCAGGCATAGTCCCGACGCGTTTGCGAGCTTGAGCGCGAGGGATAGATGATAACTAGCTGGGTTTCGCCCTTGGTTTGTGGAGACTGTTGCCGGGGATTGCGTGTACAAGCTTAGGGAGGGGAAAGTTGAGGAAGGTAATGGGTTGATGGTTTGCTGTTATGCTGTAGAGTGTATATCTAAGATTACTTTTCTGTCCGGGTTGTACTACGCATTGATTGCCTGGGCTGGCACATATTGCTGCTTCTGCTGGGCATGGGTTTTGCGATTTTTTTTTCAGCTTTGACGTTGGGTGTATATAGTCTGTTTCCCCCTTTGGGCTGTAATGATGGATTACTTTTTTGTATGCCTTTTGTCAAAAGTACCACTTTTTTTCTATTACTTAGATAATTGGAACTTATAGGCTATGCAGCTCTCAGTCAGCACGCTCCAGGCAGCAGTCGGTTTCATGTGGTCTCACGCTGCTCTTCCTCCAATGTCTTCCCACCCTCCCGCCACTGCCCCATCCGACGTCCCACGCGTCAGCCCTAACACCTGCATCTTGTCCTGCAATTCTCATTCGCCCGTTCGGAGTTCGGTGCCAGTCGGGTTGGACGCGCAGTAGTGATGATCGCCAGATTCCCCGTACTCAGTCGGAAAACGGGGCGTTAATTCTCGTTTAAAGGGGATGGGAATAAAAGACGGAGCTGGAAGATGAACCTGGTTGCTGAAGATATGCAGAATAGGTTACGATGTGCTTGTAGTTTGTATAAATAGCAGCATATCTCTTAAGTTAGGGTGATGAGGGGCACAGTAGTACGTAGGTACAAGGTCACTTCATGATCTGCAAACCCATAATGTTGGCTATTAGTTTACCAATGTATGGGAAATTTGGGTGTTCAACCACGGTATCAAATTCTGTATCCCCCATTCTCAGCAATCCAGACCCTGGCTTTCTTAATGCGTTGCTGTTACACAGGTCGGCTGTTGGCAGAGCTGGGTGCCCACCAAACCCATTATGCAGCACAGGCGATCTCACTGCATGCATATTGGGGGTTAAAAAGAAAAAAAAGCACCAATGATGCTTCGTTAGGATCCTGAAGCTCTCTAGGCATGCAAGGCGTAAGCTTTGCCTGGTGTTACGATGTGTGCTAGAGCTCGTAATGAGTGTAATGAGTGTCGTCGGTGATTTCCAGGCTACGGACACTGGGTACAGTTTATATCTGTCATCCCCTGACTTCGGTCTTCTGGATTCTTGGATCTTCCAGAACATGGTATAGACCGAAGACCCTCCCCCAATTGTATACAGTGAACACCTGCAGCACACCATGTCTCGTCATAGCTTCAGGCCCCCAGGTCCTATGCCCATGGGTCCTCCAGGCATGACAATACCCAATAGGGGAGTTAATCCCCTGCGTACACCGCAGGACAAAGTCGATGAATTCTGGGAGAAATTCACCACCAAGGCACCAGGAAAAGGCAGGTTTATCCTAAACAAGCGCTTGAGTTGGACGAAAGATCGCTTCATTTTTTTCCGTCATTGAAGTATTTGTTCGATATTTTATCAAAATCACAAACACATTGCTGACATTGGGGAAGCCATTACCTTGCTTCCCAAGAATGAGCTGACAGAAAAGCTTGCCAAACGCTCCGCGGCTAAAGACCTCGCTGGAGGCGAGACCACGGCGACGACAAGGTCGTATGAGGAAGCAGCCGCCCTTTGCAAGGCCAAAGTCGCCCAGATCGTTAGTGAGTGCCGCCGAGTGAACCAGAAGTACCGTGACCCACACTTCGACCTCGACTTCGACCTGCGTACTGGCCGCCGCGACTGTCTCGAGTCGCTGAGTAATGACAAAGGCGACTACTATTACCCGTCGGACAGCGACTCGGAGGATAGCATAACCAGCTATTATCGAGGGGTTCGAGGATCCGGAGACTTGGGTCGTGTTTCTAATAAGACTCGGAACGTCAGAAAGGACCAGGCTGCCGGTGGTGAGAAAAAAGAGGGGGCCGAGACTTCGGGGCTCACGGAATTTGCAGATGGGTATGGCACAAGGTGTCGCTCTCGTTGGCCTGGTGCCGACCTCAAACCCCAGTCTGTCAAGAGGGTTGGAGAAATTTTTGATGATCCCAAGTTTTTCATTGAGGGACCTAGCGCGAACGATGTTCGTCAGGGCCATAACGGCGACTGTTGGTTGATGGCTGCTCTGTGTACCTTGAGCAACAAGCCGGGCCTCATTGAGAGGGTCTGCGTAGCTCAAGATCCGGATGTGGGCGTGTATGGGTTTGTGTTCCATCGCGATGGCGAGTGGTTCAGTGAGATCATTGACGACCAAGTTCGTCTTCGCCCTCCTGTCTTGTTTACCATGGATTTGATATGCTGATCGAAACAGCTCTACCTCATCAAACCAGACTACGACCAGGCCTTTACGGAGAATGGCGACCGCAACCTTGACCGCATCCTTTGGGATAAAGTCCAGCGCGATGAGGACACAGAGGAAATCTACCGCAAGACGTATCAGTCGGGCAGCAGCGCTCTGTACTTTGCGCAATGCGCTCACCCCAATGAAACCTGGCTCCCGTTGCTGGAAAAGGCCTACGCCAAAGCCCATGGCGACTATGCAGCGATTGAGGGAGGTTATGTCGGTGAAGGGATAGAGGATCTCACTGGCGGCGTCACTACGTCGCTGTTTACGGCTGACATCCTTGATAAGGAGTACTTCTGGAAAGAAGAGCTGATGAAGGTCAACCAGGACTTTTTATTCGGTTGCGCGACCGGTTTGTGGTAAGTAAATCGCCTAAAGTTGTCCCATACTTGACTTAACAGACAAATAGGGGTCTCGGATGGGGAGAGCGAAGGGGCATTCAGGAGCATCATGCATACTCGATTATGCGTGCTGTCGAGATCGACGGCCAGCGGCTTCTTTTACTCAAGAATCCTTGGGGTAAAGGGGAGTGGAAGGGGGCTTGGAGTGAGTTTTGTTTCCTTCTTGATTCAGCAGCGAGACTGATAAACCATTAGGTGATGGCTCCAAGGAGTGGACCCCGGAATGGCTGAAGAAGCTGAATCACCGATTCGGTGACGATGGAGCTTTTTGGATGTCGTACAAAGACCTCCTGCGGAAGTTTACAACCTTTGATCGTACCCGACTGTTTGGCCCCGAGTGGCGAGTGACCTCGATGTGGACGACTCTCAACGTGCCGTGGGCACGCGAGTACCACCACACAAAGTTTTCCTTCACACTGGCCAAGAAAAGTTCCGTCGTGATCGTTCTTTCGCAGCTGGACAGCAGGTATTTCCGTGGGCTTGAAGGCCAGTACAGGTTTGGTCTCGCCTTCCGCGTTCACCGTGCGGGCGAAGAAAACTACCTGGTTCGTACGCACACAAACTTCCTTATGACACGATCTTGCAATGTAGAACTTGAGCTGCAGGCCGGGGAGTACACTGTCCTTGTCAAGCTTGATGCCACGCGCGTCGATGGACTTTTGCCCCCCGAAGAAGTTGTCCGCCTGAACGTCAAAAAACGTCGGGAGAAATTGCTGCGCATCGGCCTTGCGTACGATATCGCCCATAGCAAAGCTCGGATTGTCGAGACGGAAGAAGAAAAGGCCGCCCGTGAGGCCTATGAGAAACGAAAGCGCGAAAAATTGCGGAAGAAGCTGCGCAAGGAGCTTAATGAGAGACGCAAAGAAGACTACTATCTGAGCTGGAAGAAAACCCGAGAGGAATGGAAAACCAAAGCTCGCGATAGGAAGGTAGAAAAGAAGTTGAACAAAAAACTCCATGACAAGCGCATGGCAGCCAAGGAAAGGGCAGCTCGTAAGAGAAGAGAAAAGATGGCGAAGAAAGTTAAGCGGGCCGAGGATGAAAAGGAAGATGAGCCCAGCGGAAAGGAGATCGTCGACAAGAAACAAGAGCAACTTCAGAAAGAGAAGGACGACAAGGCTGTTAATCAACATCAATCCGATGGCAATGATTCCGCAGATACCCGGAATGAAGAAGAGAAGTCGACGGAGACCAAGGCCGGCATTGCTCAACAACAGTCCCATGAGGAGAAACCTGCAAAAGTGACAACAGATGAGTCAAAAAGCGTGGATGACGAGCAAGAGTCAGCGTCAAATGCTTCTGAGGGCGCGGAAGCGACACCCTCTTCTTCGAGTCGACCAGCAGCGGATGTGGCCCATCAAAATCCAGAGAAAAGAAGTGAGGAAGCTCCTTCCACTCCCGAGTCGGCAATCTTGTCAGCTAAGAGCAACACTACGGACAAAAAGCCAAATACAGTAGAGCCCTCAACTGAAGAAGCCGCCTGCTCCACCAAGACAGCTGCTGAGAGAACAGGAGGCGATGAATCAAAGCCTTCCGAAGACAAGCCTGCTTCTCCCAAAGATTCTCAGGTTCCTGTACACGAGGCTTCTGGAGATAAAGGCCCTGCTGGTAGCAAGAGAGCGACCAAGGCTGATCAACCCGAGCTCGAAGCCAAACTTCGTAAAGCCCTTGATATCATTTCCGCGTTCAAGTCAGAGCTCGAGGGTCTGCTCGGCGGTGAGGGTGCTTCTAAGGGCAGACAAGATGACCGAGACGACCATGACAAGACGAAAGATGAGGTTGAATCACACCCAGACGAGTCAATTCACAAGCCACCTCATACGCGTGATCAACCAGACCACGAGTCGACTCACGAAGCAGACCAGGCTACCCACAGGTCGGAACCGGAGGAATCAGAGGATGAATTCAGCGACCACGGATCTCCCTCACCCTCCGACTACGACTTTAGCCTCCCATCACTGTCTGACGTCTCCGATACCGAGCTAGAACAGCACGTCAAGGCGTATGAGGAGAGTGAGAAACTTGGATCAGGCGGCCTCAACAGGCCAGCTCAAGTTGTGCTACCAGGACCTGGACTAGAATCAGTGCCCCCTCCGCCGGGTATTATGCCGGGACCTTCTGGCGATGATGAGCCAGAGCCGTGGAACGCGGTTGCGGTTGTCGGGCTGAGGATTTATTACAAAGTTTCGGAGGAAGATAAGGATACGGAGGGACTGGTGAAGATCAAGGTTGTTAGACCTGATCCTTGGGCTATTAGTGATAGTGAGGATGAAGAGGATGATGAAGGTGAAGAGGGTGATGATGAGAAGGAGAAGAGAGAGGAGGAAAAGAAGGAAGAGTGTGATAGCCAGGACGTGGAGGCGGAGAACAAGAGTGAAGAACGTAGCAAGGAAGAGGTGGAGGGGATTAAGGGAGAGGATGAGAAGAATCATGTGGAAGAGAAGGAAGCAAAACAAGAGGATGAGAAAGTAGAAAAGAAAGAGGAGAAAGAAAAGAAGGGAAATGAAGAGGCGAGCAAGGAGAGAGAGAAGAATGACGATCGTAAGAGACCGAAGTTGGAAAAGCAGGATTCGAAGGCTCCGAAACTGGAGCGGAATGACTCTGGAAGAACTCCAAAATTTGAACGGAAGGACTCAGGAAGGATTCCAAGGTTGGAGAGGAGGGAGTCCTCAAGAGTGGATGAAGCGAGAGTGTTGGATGTCGATGATAGCGCCAAGGATGCTGCACTAAAGGGAGAGGCAGAGTGAGCTGTTCCTTTAGAGTTGGTCAGAAGTTTCGTTTTCTTTTTATGTTTTCTATGCAGTCAAAAAAAAAAAAAACTGGCTTAGTCGTAATGGGATATTATAAGGGGTGGTTTGGTATGATAAAACCTTAATATGAAGTTAGGTAGCTGGTCCAATCATAGGTTTCGATGTTAACTGACTGGGTATCATTCAATCTTCCTGCCTGTTCTCCCACTTCCCTTGCGCCAAACGCCAATATCAAGTAAAAAACAGCACCACCGAGACCCCAAAGACTCGATCTGAGGCAAAAAACAGTAGAAACCACGACCTCGTCACTTAGAACTTGTCTAACAAAGCCCCAATCTTCTTCTGCTCCTCCATCTCAACATCAACACCCGCTTCATCTTCCTCTTCCTGATCCCCTCTCCTCTCCTTCAATCTCGGAATCCTTCCGGCCACTCTTGCAAGCAGCATCCGCATGCGAGCGAGCTCAGTCTCAATCTCGCCGTTACGAGTAACAAGGTTCTCTTGCACGCCATCCATACTTCCAGTTGACTCATTATTTGAGGGAGATGTTGCATCAAAGGGGGCAAGCAAAGTCTGCATTCTCCTCAGCCGCTCCACGCGAGCCAGAGCATCCGTCTTGCGTTTGGCAAGCTCGTGGAGCTGCGCGGCAAGGTCTGCATAGCGGGCGATGGCTTCTTCATCAGCTTCCTCCTCCTGCGTGGGAGCTTCCCAGGTAAGGGGGAGGGTGGCAATGACGGATGGGTCGGCTTTGCAGTGTGGTGTCAGCTCATTAACTTCGTTTCGCGACCTCCTAACAGGAGATACGGTGAGTTAGCATAAGACTACATACCAAAATCAGCCCCTTTTCTCAAAGATTTCTCAATTCCCTCGTCCAAGTCACCACCTTCGTCATCCTCCCCACCTCTAGTGGCAGCCTCAGCGGCGTTCCAATACAACGCGTCAATCTGCTCTGCAACATGACGCGTTGCTTGTGGAGGGTACACACGACGTGCATGCTGTTGCAGACGGTTATTTAGTTTGAAAAGCGCATCATCAATGGCCTTATCTGGGAGAGGGGATGCATTATCCTCGCCATTGCTGTTGGCGTTGCGCCAGGTGCGGGACGGAGCGAGTGGTTGTGAGAGGAGACGCGTTTGTGCGTTGAGAAAAGACTGTTTGAGGAAAACGACTGTGGGTGTTGAATCGGCCATTATAAAGCCTTTATGAATTGTTTACCAAGACAGAATGACACTTAGAAAAACTCCAGCAGAGGCATGGAACACTTCGTGTTCAGGGTTGTTGGGTTGATTGTTGTGAGAGAGTGTTGGGGATTATTGTACTTTGCACAGTACATACACTGTACTATTACTGTCCTTAGAGGCTCACCCTTCTTGTGAAGTGATACTTTTTGTCCTTTTATGTAAGATACAGTATAAAACAGTAGTGTTTGAGTTAGCAATTGTACTTATTGGATACGGTCATTGATCAAGCAGTGAGGGCGAGATTGAGGCATCTCACATTAGGAATCAAAGATCCCGCAGAGAGTATGCCGTTGGGCTGGCGTCCAAAAATATGAAAATATATTATACAAAACTATTGGAAGGGATAGCGATTTGCTTCTTTGACAATCTCCTACTCTGAGTTTCTGCCTCGCTTTCTAACAGTACGCACGAGGCCATGTAGACTTGGACCTCCTTACAGACAGTCCTCGCCTCATAACCCTCACCCTTTGCCAACGCCTTACCAACAACCGGGGACCGCATGACATAGTCAACTGGCCATGGATAGCTCATGTTAAGCAGACTTCGGAGGAGAGAGCCTACTGTTCGAAGACTGGGTGAGCATGGTTGCCCCTCGGTTGTTTTTGGACTTTATACCAAATTAGAGGCTTTGACATGCTTGATCAACACAATTCAACCTAGAGTTATACGGATCTGATATCCCGAGTATTAGATTTGCACAGCCTCAAATGCCCAGGCACCTATCCATGAGTAGAAATTTTGGTTCGTCAGGTAGCCCTCTTAATGCGTGCTTAGCTCTCTGGGATGTTTCCATGAAAGTCAACCATGAGTGTCTCAAGGAAGAGTGATATTCAACTTCGGGCACTTAGCTTCCTGGTAGATCTGGTTGCCTAACGGATATATAACTCCTTTAGGAATCTCGTCACCAGGAGTACCCCATTGCCCCGCTTGAACCAACCCCAAGAGCACCTTGCTTCTTGGTCAGATCATATCCCGGTTCAAGATTAATAGATGCGGTCATTGATATTGGTTGACAAATCGGCATTGAGCAAACAAGGTCAAATAGCTTGAGTAGAGAATACTTCAATCATCCCATTCCTCGGCTGACAAGTCAAACATGGGTCAAAACTGAGACCTGGTATGTCATCACTGATGCACAGAACTTACCCGACTCTGAAGGAGGGAATTGCTTCAGATATCCTTGAACATAAGCCGGAGAGCTCATTCTGTTCCCACAACTCGCCAATTGCCCAGTTCGTACTCGTTGTAGGCATAGAATGATCCAGTATCGAAGATGAATGTCTGCTTCGTCTTCGTATCCGTGACCGTGTTCTCATCCATGTCACCATGCACTAAACATGGTTTGATGGTGCGACCGTTAATCTGTAGAGGTTTAAGCAGTCTTGGAATGACTTTGTCCAGGACGAGCTTACACACCGCAGCAAACTCAGGCCACATACCGTTCGTCTCCTCGTCTTGATAATATTCGCAAGCTGCTTGCTGAAAAGGACTGCCCATGACCCCTCCCAGCAGCCAGTTGCCTGCAGCACTTTGGCATACATATCGTCATGTGGAATCCGAATGATAGTGATGCTTGATGAATCGCCTTGAAGGACTCATATTCACCATGAGCCATATCCGCGCCACGGCTTCCAACTTGCGCAGTCTATCAGTAAGGTTAGTATCTGATGAGTATTCAGAGCTCGTTTGAAATGACCAAAACTCTTACCTTGAGGAACAAATCTTTAAGCCCCCATCTGAGAGCTTTGTCGTGATCCTTGCTCCCTGACCCCATAAAGATCTTCCGGACTTGCGCGCTTCTGTGATCTTAGAGCTAGCATTCGACTACTTCTGTAATACTTCCTGTCAAGACAATCCTGTAATAGACACATCTGGAGGGTACATTGTCATCGTACTATAGATTGCACGCTCAACAGCTTTGCCAAGTTGAAACTCTTCCTTGATTTGAGGCCGGGGAAGAGGATGTACTGGAGCTGTTGTGCCGGCATAGCACTCAACATCAAGAATAGCGCCCTCGGCAATTATGGGCCTAGACTCTGATCTTCTCGGTGTTGCTGGCGTTTGCTTCATGGCAGTCTTTTTGTGGGCGACCTGGACGTAGGAAGAGCAGGATTCTAGATGTGAATGTTGTCTCCAACAACTATATCTTTTCTCAATATGTGAGAAGGGGTCCTTATTGATTACGCAGGGCCGGAAGGCTGAAGATCATGTTAGCCCATGGTTTTGCACCCATGCTCAACATCCATGCGGTGCACTGTCTGGTACGGTACAGGATGCATGATGCTTGCGAGGCATGACATGGAGACTGGCAGTATTTGTCTGGGCCAGGTCAAACGGTCAACCACTGCCGACATTGACTTCTTGGTCATTGGCTGTTTCCGCGAGCATCAACTGTTCCACCGAGGTAAGTTTTTATATGTGCAATTTTTGAGCAATGGCAGCATGCAACTGTTAACACGTATATTTGAATCAATTGTGCAGAAAGATGTAGCAGACCGTCGGCTACCAGCTCCCAGAGAGAGGGACGTGACAGTGATCGCCAACCTCAACGTTGAACGGAGGTCAAGAGTGACCGATCTGGGTTAGGGTTAAGGCCCACAAACACCCCATATTTGAATCCTTGGCATGCGACTACTCCGGCGAGACAGCCAACGCCAAGACATGCCCCACCAACTGGAGCAGCAGCTCCGCGCCAACAGCAATTTGCGAGCGTCATTGTCATTGTCAAATCGCTGAGAAAGCTGGGACTTTTTTTTGTTGAGAGCACGGTTCCGTCACGACTTCTCGGCCAGCTAAAGTCGCCTCTGCGCCATTGCGACCGCAATTGGACGCCCTCCCGCCATGCGCAGGTGCGTCAGATCTAGGTGGAGGAAAAATGACCAAAAAATAAGCGAACCTGGCTGCTAATGCCCCTCAGATCTGCCACACATTAGACACTCCTATCTCCCACCATGCGGTCGCAGCTGGCGCGCAATGTCCATATTCGACTGCTGGCCAGCAATGGCTATGCCTCATTGATGTCTTGTCGCGCGCTTCCTGGCTGCTACCCTGCGTCCCTGTCTCTCCCATGCCCAGTCCCATGCCCTCATTTTCCCTCCCCCTCTCCCCAGCCGTTGGCCCGCCGCCAGCAGAGGAGGTCCTTCTTCAACATCTTTCAGAAACCCCCACGCCAAATCAAGGAGCCCGACTTCGAACCTGGCTATGACGTGTTGCTTCAGTTCAGGAAGAGTGAGTCCGAGGGTGCCCGCCCCCCAGACCGTGACGAGCTCGTAAACGGCTGGTTACAATTCATTCGCCACAAGAAGCGTCGGAGGAAAGGTCTGAACCAAACTCAGGCATTTCTGGCCATGCGGCTCCTCCGCTACCTTATTGAAACCGAGACAGAAGGCTATGAGGACATCACTATTGAGGATCTCCGGGCCGCCCTTCATGTTGTTATGAAGCCCCCCAAGGGCAACCCTGAGAGCCATCTCGAGTTGGCGAAGTTGTTATACGACGAAATCGACGGAAGAATACAGCGCATGCGTAAATTCGGCCTCGACGAAAATACGATCCGGCAGATCACTGGTGGTGCTAAGGGAACCACGGATTTTGAAAACTACCTGAAGAGCTTGGCCCAATATGGCGGCGCTCTCGAGGCAGTTGACTGTTTCTCCGGATATTTGTCCCAAGTCAACGGAGCCGAGTTACCGCCAGTTGCCAAAGTTCTGTGGGTGATAATCCTCCGTGGTCTTGCTAAGGAGGGCCGCGAGGAAGAGTTGCTTCGCGAGTTTCAGGCTGCTGAAGCTGCCGGGGTTGAGTTCTCACCAAATATCCATGAAATTATGGTCACTTTCTATGGAAGCCGCGACCAAGTTGAAGAAGCAAAATACTGGTTTGAGAGGCCTGTCCATGCTAACTGGCGTCGGACTCCTGAAGCTTACATGCAAGCGATCAAGTTCGCTCTCCGCAATGACGAACAAGAATGGCTCCAACGCATGATGGAGGAACTGGTCAACTCCAAGCCCGGAAAAGAGTGGTGGAATGTTATATTGTATTGGGCAGTTGTGGCAATGGACAAAGGGGCTGAGGAAGTCAAGCAAATGATCCGGATCATGATGTCAACACCACCTACAGATGGTGTGGATCCGCCAGTGCCGGATACCACGACACTAGATGCTCTCATTAGGGCGGCCACCGAAAAGCAAAATCCTTACTTGGCCGAAAGATTCCTTTCTATCGGCCATGAGCTAGGAATTGAACTCAAGGCCTCGACCTATCTTCTTCAGATGGATTACCGCCTAGACGCGAAAGACTTTAGCGGTGTGCAGGCCATCTATGCTAAGTTTCGTCGCGGAGAGGTCCCTATCGAGAACGAGGAGGACCTTCCTGTCGTCAACAAGTATATCCGCGCTCTGTGCTCGGTTAAAAACCCCGATATTGATCGCATACTTGACATTGTCGCTGATCTGGAGCACCGTCAAGCGACACTGGAACCTGAAACGGTGGCGGCGATTTGCACAGTTTTGCTGCGCAACGACAATCAATTCGAAGTGATCGATACGCTTTCGATGCACACGGTCTCATACAGCCTGGAAGAACGCGCTCAGGTCCGCGGCGCCCTCATCGATTTCATCCTCGACCCAAAAGTTAGCACCGCTCGCGTTTGGGATTGCTACTCATTACTACGACAATACTTCCCGGAAACCCCGCCTGCAGATAGAGTTCGTCTAATGGATGCCTTTTTTGCTCGTAAGCGTCCCGACATGGCAGCATACATCTTCGGACACATGCGCAGCCACGACAACCCGGCGATGCATCCTACAGAGGACGTGTACATCCGCTGCTTAGAGGGTTTCGCTCGGCTACCGGACCCAGATTCGCTGCGCATGGTGCATAACATGCTCAAGATGGACACCAAAATCCAGATGACCACGCGCCTGTACAACGCTTTGATGCTGGGGTACGTGGCATGCGACGACCCAGGGACTGCTCTGGAGTTCTGGCGGGACATTACCAACTCCCGTGAAGGTCCTTCGTACAACAGCCTCGAGATTGTGTTCTGGGCTTGCGAGCGGCTGCCGTATGGCGACCGTACGGCGCGCCAGATCTGGGCCAAGATGCAGCGCCTGGACCTGGAGGTCCCGCCGCAAGTCTTCTGGGCATACTGTGGCGCGCTGGCGGGGAGTGGCCATGTTGATGAGGTGATCAGGTTGATCCGTGGGATGGATGTCATGGTAGGGTATGGGCCAGGATTGATGACGTAAGTTCCCCCTTTTCCTGCTTCTTGGGCGTGGCCGTGTGTGCTGACATATCAAAGATTCGGCGTGACGTACAATGCGTTACCCAGCGAGGACAGCAAAGCTATCTTCGAGGAGTTCGCCCGAGCCGAGTACCCTGAGATCTGGGCGCAATTGGAGAGGAAGGGGCGCAGGGAAACTATAGAGGGCATCAAGTTCAACATCGTAAGGGAGATGCACGCTTGATTCGAAGTGTGCGTGTACCCCTCTATATCTAGGGGGCCTAGATACGGCGGGCTGTGTTTGGCCCGTTGGGCTGGGCTGCTGTACGATGGAAACCCGAGGTGTATCATGTAACATTGTACATACCTGAATATCGACATACATGACATATAGCGGCGGGGAAGCAACGAGCTATACAGAGAGACATAAAGGGGGCCACGGCCTGGTTAAGTCAAAATTTGAATTGGTATCGTACAGCAGCTGAAGTCTAGCCGAGATAATTGTACAACACATCGGGAGCTTGTAAGTGTACACCGGGCGGTGGAAAGTTACGGCAACTATAGGCTGGGGGAACTGCTCTGACTGGACTGCGCCGTGCTTGAACCAGAAACGGTGACGGGAAGATTCGTGTTTGTACGGCGCAGGATCTCCGGATGCTTGTGGACACTGGGATGCAAACCCATGCCGATGGCACGGCGGATGGCCTTAGCCATTTTGCGCTGGTTGACTGGCCGCAGCCCAGTCTCCTGCGAATGCTTGATTCGACCCATGGTCGTCACAAACTCGGATATCATAGAGAAGTTCTGTGGGCTCGCTGTCAGCCTTATCAGGTCCTCATCATCCTTGTCCACAGGGGGCTGAAACATGCCTTGTAGTTGTCGATGGGGTTGAACCCCAGCAGGTCGACAATATCTTGCTTCTTTGACTGCCTGCTCTTCCACTTCTTCATTTCCAAAGGGGACAGGTCCTTTGGCGCATAGACATCGCCGACCTTCCATCGACGGGGCATCTGGCGCATGTAGTTGTCTGTCATCTGGCTGATGCGCAAATCCCGGGCGCCAGAACCTGTGCTCTGCTGCGCCATCATTTGCCTTTGTTCCTCCAGAGTAGGTGCTGCTCCGCGCTCCGCGCGCTCGGAAATAATGCTCTGCAACGCATCGGTCGGATTGCTACGGGTCGTCCAGGTCTGCTTGGTGTTGCGGGTGGTCTGGTTGCTGGTGTTGCTCTGGGGGAAAAGGCCTTTGTTGACTGGGTCGTGTGTTAGCTGAAAAGCTGGTCATTTGAAAAATGTGCCGTACAACGGCAACGGGAGGTCACTAACGGGCTGCGACGGAGGCCGACGTGGAAAAGGTTTTGGATTGCTGCTGCACCAGGCCAGAATGGACATGGCGCAGGGCCGACGAGAACGAGTGTCTGCACGACATGGCTGCTACTTGTGGTATCTGGACTTATAACGGTTGTCTCTTGCGGTGCAGCAGCTGAGATAGGAGCTTAAGGCTGAGTCGTGGCCACCGTCGTTGACGACGTCGTCGTCGCTGTCGTCCAGATCCCAACGCTTTTTTTCAGCAGGAGCCGTCTGATTTGACGTTGGCTTGGCACTTGGCAGCTCGGTCTTGGCATCGTTGGGTTGGTTTTAGAACCCACTGTCTGCGGAGCCTTGCAGGTCTGTATGGGGCCAGCCTCTCAGCCTTGTCCTCTGGCCTCAAAATTTCTGGAACATCTATCTCCATCAAAGTACATCTTCGTACTGATCCTCACCAACAACCACAAATTTCATCGCCGTTTGGCCAACAGTCAAGATGGTCAGAAAACTGAAATATCATGAACAAAAGCTTCTCAAGAAGTCAGTGGAAATATTGACGCCAATAATAAATCATCATCAAGAAGTCCTCACACAGTTTTTCACAGACACGATTTCATCAACTACAAGAGCGACAACAACCATCGCGACCATGATGTTATCAGGTCAGTACTTAAATCGCACACATACTGTTTATGAATGTTGCTGCTGACTCGGTGTAGGCGGTATATGATTCAAAAGCCTGAAGATTATGTAAGGCTTCTTTGAAAGGCCTTTTTGATTGTGCTAATACTGATTCCGCGACAGCACAAATACAATAGGCTATGTGGTGTAAGTCTTACATACCGCTCATGTCGGAATATGGAAAGAGTTGGCAGCTAACATAGAATTAGTCCCTCCGGCAATTTGCCCACCGCCTCAGTGTATGTGTCATTCCATTCAGGAGCCATTCGGGTTAGGCTGACTAACTTCGCAGCTTCTTCCCCCGGATAACGAAGTCAGGAGGAAACATGAAACCCTTCTTCTTGACAAGCTTTACGATATGGGTATTCTGTCGGTATGTTGTATATTGTCACATAGCGCATGCACATCATTCTGACACTTTGGTAGACCAAGGCCAAGCTTTCGGCGGTTGAGCACAACGTCACAGTGTCTGCCTTTGCGCGGAGGAGGTTGCCTGTTGTCATGACCCGGTATGTATTCTTCACATCTTGGAGGGTAATACTCATCTCCTAATTCCCTCTTCAGGCTGCGCATGGCCGAAACTGTTCAGGCCGCCACGAAGCTCATCGAGCAAGGCCACGTCCGTGTCGGCGTCGAGGAAGTTCGTGACCCTGCCTTCCTGGTCACGCGGAACATGGAAGACTTCGTCACCTGGACTGTTGGCAGCAAGATCAAGCAGAATATCATGAAGTACCGCGACAAGCTCGACGATTTCGAGCTGCTTTAAAGTGGTCTGTCTTGACCTCAAGTATCTCTCTGAAGATCTTAAAATCTCGGATAACATCGTGTTTTTTTTTTTGCTGGCGTTTAGGGAAGGAAAAGGCCAACGTCATTCCTCTTTTCGGGCACTAAGAAGAAACCAAGTCATTTTGCGATTTCGGGAGAAACAAAGGATACGTCGGATTTCTGGCATTCTCGCTGCTGGTAAAAGATGGCAACATCTATGCCGAAATAGGGCATTAGAGCAGAATGCTGCGATACCCTACCGAGGACATCCGGCTTGGGGAGCATAACTGAAGGACGGGCATTTTTCATCAAGTTCTGCTAATAGACTTCAGAGGCTGCGCATTAGTTGTCAAGCATATTCAACTTTCCTCCTTCCACGATTAAGCGCTTTCCCAGAGGCCTTCCTTGCGTTTGTACCTTCCATCTTCACAATATCCATGGGATCATCGATCTTTCCCAAACCATGGAAATAGTGACGTCCTCCCACGCTATTGCTGAGGTTACTAGTCGCTCAGCAAGGCGACCACTACATCGTTCATGCAACATCACTGGGAGCACACATCTCTCCTCTCCCATTCAGTCCCTGCTCATATGCCATACTCTCTTAACCCCTAATAAACGTTACCTCACGATCCTTCAAGTATTTAAGTATCAATACTCTCCACCCCCTACTTATACATGGTCAATTCATAGGCGAGTAACCTCTAAGTTTTGATCTTCAATGTCCTCACTAACTATCCCCGAAGGTTCTCTCTCTTTTCTAAACCTTGCACAGCCACCTCCACTCCATCATGAAGGCCAATGATAACGGAACACCCAAGGGTCCGCCAAGATCCCAGTCGGGAAATGATCAGTCCAGCATACGATTCTTGAACGGCCCTTATTGCTGTTCTGACGTCCAATTCGATGCGAAAGAGGCCATAGTGGTGGGTTGGGGAGGAGCAAAGACCTACTTCAAGGCACTACAACAACTATCGGCAAGCCATCATGCTCGTCTGGACAACACTTCTGAATTTTCGACAGATCCGGATAACAGCCAAGTGCCGGATACCGATATTAACGACCCATCTGGAGCACCGTCATCCAACAGCATAACCGGCACAGATCCGCAAGCTACGCCCGATCAAATCCTAAACCACGGGCCCGGTGAAGCGTCGAGGGCATGGGGCAGAAGGATCCATCAGCTGGCTGACGGTCGTGTCTACGAGGAACTGGTAAATGTCTCAGCCCATATGTGTCACGAAGGTCACAGCTCCGTGAGCAAAGTTCGGTCTCATCAGCTACCTGAGCATGACAATGTCAAGGATGACCAGCGCCTGCATTCAATGTCTGTTCAACCAGCAAGCACGTCCAGTCCATCGACTCTGACGGCTCAAAGCCTTATGCACAGAATTCGGCTGCCATTCATACGTACAACCATGTCCACTGATGGAAGCTACGAAGTCTGGGACCATTTGGTTGCAGATGTCGGGTATTCTGGCAACAGCTCTGTTTTCGATTCTTTACTAGGAAGAAGTGATGGAGCATCACCCGATGCTGCGATCTCATTTGGCGAAAAAGTAAACAACAGAAAAGGTGGCAACTTGGGCCTCCGTCACGACCACAAGACCGCATCGGAATTGGTTGATTACTGGGAAGGACTGAGTGATTCATCAAGGAAAGACAGGGGATTCAAACCGTTTGTTATAACCCCTCGATCTTCCTCTCTCCATAGGACCCAAATACATGACTTGGACTCGACCCATTGCGCGCTTACTGGATCCTCGAAGCAAACTCAACAGCCCCTTCGCCATGCGGCCAGCTCTGGAGAGGCTTACATTTCGGGATTCGTGGAAACCCCAGAACGAGGGCCTCGACACTCGCCCCGAGAAATTGAAGAAGGGCAATCGAACCTGAGTTCTCGCAAGTCAACATTAGTCTCTGGAGGATCAACCCCAATCGACTTCAAGTTCAAGCGTGCTGTCAGCGATATGGAGCATCTCCTCGAAGAGGTGATGGAGCTGGCGAAGCAAGTGACCGAACAAGACGACAATTACGGCTGCATCAGCCCATTAGAACTCAAGGACGCCCGCATCCCTTCGCCGAGAATAGTTGATGCCCCGGCCGAAGCAGCGCATGGTTTCATGAGCGGCGCTATCATCGACAATCCCAGAGTTGCCGAGCTCAATTTGACGCCACAAGCTCAAGCAAGCAAGCAAGCCTCCACCAATGCCAGACAACAAAAGCAACTAAAGCGCTATCAGTCCGCCCCTGGGATGCGCAATACTTCAGGCAGAGAACATGAAATGATGGCGCCAGTCAGGCTTCGCAGGTCGAAACGCTCCCGGTTGACAATCCCAGAGCGTTGGAAAGAGGATCTTCCAGATGAGCAACCTTCACAAGTCACACAGCGCGATCGCCCGCCGGTCACACTGATTTCAGTTCGGAAAGATTCGGAGCCTCGGAGTCGAGAAGTCAAGGCTGGAGATGATGCTCCAAGAGAGCCTGGATGCTTGTTCCACATGAAGCTGCTACGAAAGTCTCAGAGTTGGAGACATCCCCGGGTATCGCCCAGTCCGCGCCGTACCAGGTCCTATCGATTCGAGGTAAACCCCAGGTTTGACAATGAGAAAGACTGTGTTCAGGATGTTCCAACTATGCCAAGAGACAAGCACTTGAAACCGGTGAAAGAACGGAGGAGAGATACATCAACTGCTTCCTGCTTTGATGGAGTGATGGATGAAGACGACATCACACCAATCGACACACATATCCAGCAACCATCGATGGACAACACGCCGAATATCCGACAACCCTATATGTCCCTGCCACCCATACAGCGGCCAACGGAACATGATCTCAAACCATCTGCAGTCCAGCAGACGAACTTATCCATCACTCCCGAAATACCCTCCTCCTCTGGCCAAATCACCGATGTCACCCCGGCACGAGACTGGTCCCCGCTCAGGAAACGATTCACCGCAACCGTTGCATGCCTTAGCACCACGGCCGTTGGTATCGTCATCGGCATGTACGCAGGTCTTGTCCCTGCCATCCAATACCGCATTGCCGATGCCGGTCATCATGTTATCCTCGGCAATGTGCTTTTGTATCTGGGATTGGCTATCTCCTCGTTCGTAACGTGGCCCCTCCCTCTGTCCAAATCAAGACGTTTGGGGAGGAAGCCGTATGTGGTAGGCGGTCTTGCTGCTGCTATCCCATTGTTGATTCCTCAAGCCATTGCCTCCAGCTACGCCTTGGGTCCTGGATACAGGTACTACCTCGCCGAATATGGTCTTCATTGGTGGAGATGGGTCGTGTTGGCTGTGTCCAGGGGCCTGATGGGCATTGCGCTTGGTGTTCCCAGCGCCAACTGGATGGGCGTTCTGATGGATCTGTTTGGGGCGTCCTTGATGAGTGGAAACCCTCATCAAGAATGGGTGGATGAGACAGATGTACGGAGGAGGGGCGGAGGTATGGGTGTCTGGTTGGGCCTGGGCACGTGGTGTTTCACTGGCTCACTTGGAGTTGGATTCGCTGTTGGTGCTTCGATCATTGATGGAGGAAGGAGTCCGGCATGGGCGTTTGGTGTTGCCGGTGGGATTTTACTGGTCCTGCTTGGGCTGAATATCGCTTGTCCTGAGGTCAGGCCGAGGCTTGACACGGCTGCAAAGCAGCAGAAGAACGGCAAGGACAAGAACGATGCCGTTAAGACACCCTGGTGGCTAGTTGCACTGCAAGGCATGTCACTGTCCGCTGAAATGCTGCGACAGCCAGGCTTTTTGGTGATCGCGGTTTACACAGGCTGGATCTATGCCCAAATTGTGCTCATCATCGTGCTTCTCGGAGCACTGGCGTCAAGATACTACACACTTCGGTCCACGCTTGTTGGGCTATGCGTGGCGTTCATCTCAATCGGCGGCATCATTGCCATTCCGTTCCAGAAAGCCAACCTCTTTTCTCGCTGGCGCCATCACCAGGGACCGACCAGCGCCGACACTCTCGACGATCGCTTTGTGTGGACCTCTCACTTCGTTCGCAGAGCCGTCTTTTGTATCTTCTTGCCCCTTTTTGGAATTGCTTATACTGTGGCATCGGCCGGACCCCCAATTCCGGTTGAGATTCCCACCTTGTTGGCTGCTGGCATTGGTGGACTTTCCGCTTTGGCGATTTCTGAGTGCAATGGCCTTATCATGGAAACATTCGATACCTCTGATCTTCCGGTCACATCGTCTTCAGCATCCCCAAGAAAGGTTGACCAGTCTCAGTGGGTAGATCCTTCATCATACCCACGAGTTGCAGCTGGGTTTGCCGTATGCCACGCCATTGGGTTCGTTCTAGCAGCCATAGCAACCGCAGTCGGAGGGAGTGCACAACGCCACTTGGGACAACAAGCTGCCACGGGCGTCGTGGCCGGCATCTTACTTATCCTAACCGGACTCCTTCTGGCCGTCCTCATTCGCTTCAGGAACGTGCACATCATCCCCAACTGCAAGACCCTCGAAATGGATCGGTGGACAGAGATGCGCAGAGAAAGCCTCCGTCGACAATCCCAGCGCTCATCTGCCCGCACTTCACGGACCTCATCGATGGCTGCGAGCAACCACATCTCCCCTACCAACAACAAGGCCCTTTCTGTGCTCGCAACAGACGATCTCGCGGAAATGGACATGTGGCGCCCCATTCTGCTGGGGAACCCCTCGTGCAAGATGCGCCGCGTCAATGTTCTTGAGTTGGGAGCCCTCAGTCGCTGGACTGAGATTCGCAAAACAAATAGGCTGATTGATCAGCGGGCTGCTGCACATTTGAACCGTGCTGCATTGGGCTCGGCGGCTGTGGCGGTTGAGGAAGCGACAGGGATTGCTGGGTTGGTGAGGAAGGTGAGCCATCGTCGGCGGCATCATCATCATCGTGGTACGGATGAAGAAGAGTTTCATTCGTATAATCACCATTTTGGAAGGGATCTGCCTTTTCATCATGGTCGTCGTCATGTTCGGGGTGCGGAGAATGAGGATGCGCAGGGGATTGAACTTGCAATTCTGGGGAGGATAGATGGCCAAGAGAATCCCCCTGCCCACGCTGGCCTGCAAGGAAATAGAGAGAATGCAGCGGAACAGAGAATCGAAAAAGCAAGGGACGAGTTTGTTGGTTCTTCATTTGACGACTATGGGACTCTGCGCGCCCGTGAGGTGAAGATGAGGAAGGTGACTGGCGGTGAGGTGAAGATGACATTTTAATCTCTCCCTACGCATTACGGATTGTTTGGCTTTAAGAACGGCATGTTTTGATGGCATTATTATCTGCTTACGGATAGACTTCCTTTGTACTTCTCCTCTCCTTAGTGACACCTAAACGTTATGTCAAATGCTCCAATTTCTCATCCACATGTTAGGTGTCAAGTTTTCTCATCCTAAACCGCGTCATCACCGCACCAAGCAAACCCATAACTGGTTGTATCATCATTTGATCATCAGGAACCAGAAATCACTCCTGCTCAGGAAACCCACCTGGCACCAAAAGCGGCTCGCTCTCCCCCCTTCTTCCCTCCCCCTTCTGTCTTAACCATCTCTCCCCCCTCTGCAACACCCATATTCCCAAACCCATCACAAACCCAACCCCATCATTCTTATACGCCACGCCCCCGACCGCTGTTACCATCGTTACCACCCACGACTCCCTCTCCCCCTCCACGTCCTTCACCCCAGGCCTTTCTTCGCCAGGCAAACACCCCTTTGCCAGCTCCAGTCCGGCCAGGAATACCATTACCCCCAGCACACTCTTCGGAAACCCTTTCAACCAGGCTATCACTGTATATTCCCCTTGAGGACCAATAAACGCGGTCCACAGGCCGAGGGCGAGCTTGACTAGACCGAGCAAGATGATGGCGGAGCCGGAGCGCGCACCAAAGAAATATTGCGCTGCGAGACCGCCCGCGCCGTGGCACAGCGGCATGGCGCCCCATCTGGCAGTTAAGGGGTTTATGAGTGCGATGGAGAGGGCTAAGGAAGTTGTTGAGGGAGCGGAGGGTGTCCAGGTTTCTTCGCTGGGGGGTAAACCCAGCAGGGTCAGCGGAGAAGGGGGGTAGAGGGTCTCTGCGAGGGAAGTTACTGCCAGGATGGAGTTGAGCAAGGTGAGGGGGAGTTGGGCGAGGGCGGTAGTGTAGGTTAGGGCGGAGATGAAGTTGGGGGGTGGTATGATTCTGTGTTGTAGTTTGGGAGAGTCTTGGGGTTCGCCAGGGGAAGGGGATGTAAAGGCGGCAGCTAAGAGAAAAAGTGCAAGCGTGGTCGGAAAACGCGGCGCCAGCCTCTGTCCTGCAAACGCCGCAAAAAACAGGATAGCAGCAGCAACCCGGCAATTAAGAAAACCGCCGGTTAAAGAAAAAGAAGGCAGCCAGGGGAGAGGCAGGATGAGGTTTGCTGAGGAGAGGGCGAGACGGAGGGCAGCGCCGAGCTGGATGCCTTTGATGAGGGGAAGGGGGATGGAAGAGGCAAGAAGGGGGAGGAGGTTGGTTGCGAGGAGGAGAAGGAGAGCGAGCGAGACAAGGGCACCGGATGCGGTTACGATTTCGAGGGGGAGTGGGTGGGAGAGGGAGGTGGATGCTATGGCCTGGATGAAATAAGTGAAGAGGTTAGTATCGTGTTGTGAGGGAGTGACTGAGAGGGATGAGAGGACAACGATCAAAGGAAGAGAAAGTGATAAGTGAAAAGAGTCCTTAGAAAGGGATATGGGAATATGCAGAGAATATATTACATATATGGCTGATATAGAACGATAAAGGGACAGATATACAAACCAAAAGATAAACAATGACCATATGAACCCTCCATTGCCAGGTGAAAGAAAGTACGGATCCGTAATCCGTAAACCAGTTCACATACCTTCATAGGCTGCACCCCAACCGGCACCCCAAAAACCCCACCCGCCACAACACTCCACACGCCAGAGCTCACGAGGGTCGCAGGGAGATCAACCGCCCCCTGCAGCGTCATTGCAATCATAATCGGCAGCAAGGTCCCCAAGTCGCCCAGTGCCCCCGAGATCTCCCCCGCCGGGTTGCTGAGTAGCGTCCGAACATTGTACCGGGCGCGCCGGGCCAGCTCGGCGATGCCGCCTTCGGGGGTGGGGTCAGCGAGGAAGGCTATTAGGGAGAAGAGGGAAGAAGGTTCGGCATGGGGCATTGTGATGATTGGGATGGCTATCAGCAGGTTGAAGAGTTAAAGGTTCTATAGATGATGAGATTCAAAGTTGTTGTGGATGTGAGTCGGACCTTAGCTGAGCAAAATGCCTAGTCTTGTGACACCTGCCGAACCCAAGCCTTTCTCCAATCAAGAAGCTAAACAATACAGTCCGGAGATCGGACCGTGCCCATAACATCAGTATCAGCATCAATCCTCACCCTTCAAACCGGACTCGGACTCGGGACTCGGATTCGGACTCGATAAATAACGGTTTCGATAACGACGAAAAGTGGGCCTTGCTATGCTCATCGGAAGGGTGAAGGATTCGCTTCCAACGGAGAAGGCCGCCGCGGCGAGCGAGCGGGTCGGGCCTTACCGAGCGCTAACCTCGAAGTCAACCAACAACAAAGCCGACATGCGCAGGTCTTTGATCCGGGGTTAAGATCATCATTCTGGATCTGGAAAACACTATAGTTTTTACAGAATGGAATTGATACCGTTGTATTAGTCTAGAATGTGAAGGGATTTTTAGTTGATTTAGTTCGCGATTTGACAGAGAGCTCCACAGTAGGCGCAGTCAAAATGATCTTGACTTGGACCGGTAAAAGTCTGTAGGGATGCAGATCATCAGGACACTAATGGTTTTGTAAACATGCCTTTGCGAGTAGTTTCTTAAAACTTTTTTGACTCATTTGGAACATATTGAGAGAGCATGACTACAATAGCTGATGAGAGAGGAGCGTCGAGATCTCATCTCGCTTGTGAACCAAGCACAGCTGGGGCCTAGCGGTCAGCCTCCATCCAGCTGGGGGATCTTCCTAGCATAAATCATCGTGATAGAGAAGCTCCACAATCACAACCTGATCAATGAGTGCCACAGATCTTCATGCTTGCATCTCATATCTTGCATCGCTTGGGGACATCGTTCTGCCCTCAAAGGACGATGCTCCTGCGCAATCCCAGTGTAACTTCGCTGTCTTCCTGAAATCCCTTCCCCTTTATCTCCCAACTCCACACCAGCCCGCCTCGACCGGGTATCGGCGTCCCTGACGATCCCCGACAGACCAGAACCCCGGCTATCGGATCGCTTAGTAGCGCAGCCCTCTCCGGATCTCGGGGTCCGGGGTCCTGGATCCGGGGGTCTTACCAAGGCGCCCCAGTCGGTGTGCTATGTGTGAGGGCGCCGGCCAGGTGGTGACAATGCTGAAGGCTTCAACTACCGAGACATGCATGTCTCTGAGCCACGTGTGAACCACGTGTGTCGTGCATGTTGAGCAGCGCGTATGAGGAGTGTCGGTTGTTGGTTTTCTCGGTCGTTCCGAGAGATGGCAGCCGAACGTATCGAAAGGCCGTTGGGTTTAAAAGCTTGACAAGTAAATAAAGATCAAAAGACCTCATGTCTCGCAAGTTTAAGACTCCTGCTCCTTCTTCTCAGCATTCCTCGCCGCCAGCTGGCCCAGCACGTCCCCAGCCTCCAGCTGCCCCAACTCCCCCCTTTCCTCTGCCCCCCTCCTCCACGCATCAAGAAGGCTGTCAAAAGCCGGCTTATTCATCTGCCTAATCCTCCTAGCCAGCATAAAATCGCGATCCGAATTCAACCCCGCGAGCATGACTTCCTGCCCTTCGACCTGCGCCCCGGACTCCCAATCAACCAGCCCAAACCACGCCATATCTCTTGGCACCGACCGCCTGAGCACGGCCGTCGGGAACGACGTCTGCGAAAACAACCAGTGCGGCTGCGGCCAGCGGCCGAAGAGTAACGATTCGCGCAGGCGTGGGGTATGCTCGTAGTCGGGCTTGGGGAGGATTTTGACGAGGAAAGTCTTGGAGTTGGGGTTGTGGTCGGGTTGTGTGGGCGATGATGATAACGGGGAAACGGAGGAGTTTGCGGCGGAGGCAGCGGGAGCATAGTCGAACTGCAGCGGACTGCGGGCGACTAGACCGCGGGCGGTGGTTTCTGTTGCTGCGACGGAGATGAAGGACGAGGGGTCCTGGATGGGTTAGTTAAGTGGACCATTTTAGCTAGTGTGAATTATCACCAGGGGAAACTGACGTGGAGACGTTTAAACACCTCAATCTCACCGTGCTGCTTGAGGGCTCGCAGGATGGCGCGACGCTCAGAGAGGTTCACTGGTGCCGGCGTCACCTTCAGGATGACAGTGCGCACGTTCATCGCCGGCTTCCAGACGTGTTGGGAGGCCATTGTGGTGAAGGGTATTCGCCAGTTGGGGGCCGTCAATGGCTTGCTGTGATGGCTGTGACCACAAGATGCTTTCTTGTCAAAACCAAGGCCTGAACCGAGCACTTGGGGCCTTGGGAGATCTTTTTCAGATCCGTATCGATCCACTACTGTGCCAAGAAGTAAGGTGATTGGTGGATGCGCGAGCTACCCCAGTCCCATGCTCCCGTGATGGAGGTTCAATTTTCGTCCCACGGTTCACTGAAGGTTACACAAAGTTTGCGGCTGGCCTGCATGTCGGCACTTAAAGGGCATCGGATAGAAGCCACAGTCATCAAAATTAGTATTATCATTGCTCCATCTCATCAGTTTGCATGTCAAGTTTTTTGTGCTTGCTGGTTCTGCATGATGCAGCATTAAGATAGAGTCTATCGATTTGGAATCAACCCAAGCAGCCAAATTAGCTCAACGATAGCGGAATTTGGAGCCCGATGTAGACGACATTCCGCGCGATGGACTGGCGGCGCTATTTGTGTTTAGCCAAACGGTTTATCTGGGGGAAGCCGTGCTAGCTTGTCACGAAATGTTTCACCAAAACTGGCGACATGCACCACCACCATCGACGTGCCTGGGCGAGAGAAGACAGAGAAAACAACATGGAAGAAAAGAGAAGAGAAAAACACGGAAAAGAAAAGAAAATGCTGGAAGAAAGACTTTTCAATGAGGCTGACAGCTCGCAACGAGAGATCTGGCGACAGCATGCCATCCGGGTGTTTTTTGCGCCATCTTGGTCGATAGCTGACACCTGTGGAGATACCGACCCGTCGGACCGTGCCCTGTCTGGAGTCCTGAGGCCTGAATGCATGTCTCACCAATCGCTGTCAGGAAATATGTCCGTTAACGTGGTGTTTTGGACACAGATTAACCTAGCGTGTTACTCGAGAGTACCAAAGGTGTGGCAAAAGTGTGGATTTGACTTTGACATGCTGTGTTGTGTGTGAGATTCTCGGATTGTCAAATTCTGCTGAGACACTCGAGCCAAGGACTGCCGTCCACGATGACAAAGATAGCTTGCCGAGCCTCGTCAGCAGCTCCACCTAATTACAACCCGCAGCCCATCGGTGAGATCTTTGTTTTTCTGCTTTGTTTTGTGACGACACTCGCCAGGTGAGCAATTGACACCTTGCACACAGAAGAAAAAATGGGGCTCCGGGCCCGGCGCGCTGGGATAGTGTCTGAGAGCCACGCCAAACTGTGGCTGGGCAAATTGGAACGAGCTCGCTTCACGCCGCGCCAGTGGTGCAAACGAATCCGCTTCCTCACCTTCTATCGCTGTTCCAATGGCTCACCAGTAGACGAACCAAGCGAACCAGCATTCCACCGACCAGGAAAGCCGCCGATTCGCCCAAGCGAGGTGTTAGCCCCACCGTCTCCCCAAAGAGGCGGTACCGTGCGAGCGATCTGACCAATCAGCAGGTGTGCAACAAAGGTCTCATTACCCTATCGGGAACAGGCACCGGGCTTCTGAAGAGGAAATGGTGTGGCAAGTGGCAGATGAGAGGGTGGGAGCCCCGAGGTTGCGTTGCCTTCCCAAGGCGCTGGGATCGCTATCTTATGCAAAAGGACCGACATGGCGGTATTTCTGGGTTGGCGTTCCGCGGCCATGGGATCGCCGCGAAACAGTCGTCGGATGTGACTTGGAAATTCGATTTCTCGATCGAACGATTTCGACGGGTTGACATTTCAATTGAGAAGGATAGCAGCCAAGGCAATCACCGGCGACGGAGAATCGCTGCTCCAGCGGTTTGCGGGTAAACACAGTGCGAAGCCGCTCACCATGATGTCCGTACCGGCAGGCAGGCACGACGGGCAAGGGCCCTGATTCCCGCCAGTCCCCAGTCACCCAGTCATCTGGCTTCCCATTTTCCAGCGCCGCGGTGGCGGCCCCCCAAAGTGTCCAGCCACTGTCTAGCCAGCGCCAATCGAGCATGACGCTTTTCTCGTCCGAGCCTAGCCTGAGGAACGGCGTTGCTTGGCTCTGGAGCTTGAGCCCCTCTCTTACTGGTTGCTGCTTCTGGGGCTCCTCCTTCGCCCGACCACGCACTGCTTTTTGGAGTTTTGGGGGCTTTTTGGCGTGCTAGGGAATGGATCAAACCAGCCTGGATAGGGAGGTGAAAATGTGGGAGTTGCCGAATCTCTGCGCTTTCTCGAGTCCAGCAGCTTGACGTCAACCGTTCCATGCTTTGGCGCCTTTTCTCCCTGCCACTCCCGCGCCATCGCAGGCCCGGTTTTCCGTTTCCCATTTCCCATTTCTCCATTTCCCTTTCCATCTCCTTCTCCCCTTTCTTCTCTTGCATTTGCCTTCTGTTATTTCGTCCCCTTTCACAAGGCCGCCCTCAAGCCTGAATCGTCAATCCTCATATCGTGGATTTATCCATCGCGAACACCCAACGCGCCGGTGCAATAACGGCATTGTCCCAGATGCAAGTTGGTTCACGCGCTGCCACGGACGAGCAAGTGCAAGTGAGCAATTCGATCGATCTGGTGTGTGTTGCCCTCAGACCAATCAATCACGATTCTGTGCAGCCTGTAATCACGCATCACGCACACATCTCGCATCCACATCCGAATCGCAGAGCCCGCTCCACATTTGACCACAAGCCCACAACGGCTGCCCAACCATCCGATCCTCCACGCCCCCGACACTTCGGTATCAAATCATCACCAGCCCTCACAACCCATCATCACAGCACGTCGACCCAGATTTTGTGCTCCCAGCTTCCTGGTTCCCGTGCTTGAACCGACGCCTTCCGAGCCCCTGGCAGCGACGCAGTGACACACTGAGGGTTCGTGGATAGCCCTATCATCGTATGGAAATTTTCAGCCATCACGAGCAGCGAGACTTTATGCAAAAATGCCCCTGGGCCCATAGCACCATCGTGCTGCCATATTCTCCGTCGCCAACCTGAGTCTGTGCGACATCGCTTGATTCCTCGGACTACTGTTACTGGGATATAAGTATTCTTGACGTTTCACAGCCTAGAATTTCGCCTAGTAGCTGTGAGCCTGTATATGATGGAACGACACGACGCCGTGTCTGCCGGCCTGGCAGGGCAGCAGCAACAGCAGCCAGGTAGACAGACTGAAATCTATGCCAGCAGCCGAGACAGTACCGAAAGTCAACAACAGGCGTCGGTGCAACACTTGACGCTGCAGCAGCAGTGTGATTTCGGGGGCCATCACCCCCAATTACAACAACACCATCACTATTACCAACATCAGAGCTGCTACCAAAAATGGCAACACGACCTCAGTCAAACTCTCTGCAACGACCAACATCAACAACATGAATCCCAACCGCGGACCCTTGACCGGCAGCATTCACCGTCCCTCTCATCTTCTCATCCTCCCTCACAAAGACCGACAACTTCATCGTCTAACTCACTCGTTCCACGAGAGCATTCGTCACCCAACCGCTCTGTGGAACAACTCACCTGCAAATTTAGCAAGCACAATCTCAGGAATCCATCTGACTCACCGCTATTGCCATCTTCTACATCATTACACTCGTCTTCTACAACAGCTCCAACAAGCGGGAGATCAGAAATGCCAGCCGTGCTGTCCTCCTACCCTTTGTCTCACCCTTTTCCTGCACCCTGGCGTCGGGACTATCATCCTCACTCCATGGTTCCCTCGCCTAACAACTACCCGTGGCTCACGGGCCCTATACCTAGCATCGTTGAGCCCAAACCCTCCAAACCCCAGCCCGTCGAGGTCGACTCCATCCCGATTGAACCGGAGCCCATCCGTCCTCAACCCATCGAACCAGACACCTCCTCCCAACAACCGGAACCTATCGAAGTCGACGAAGAGTACATGCGCAATCCCAATGCCGCAGAAGAGGACGAGGCCCGTCTTCGTGCAGAACTGCCTCGTTTGCTGGCCAAACGGCCAAGCGCCTATTTAAGGAGATTAAATCCCAGGTTGAATCCCAAGGTCGAGAAGATGATTGCTACGGGGGATCAGTGCAATGTTCGCGGTGAATCATCGGCAGCGGGACCAGGTGGCCAGCAGCGGCAGCAACATACGGCTCCGAATCCGATTACCGCGTCGTCGGATAATTTGGCAGACGAGGCGTTAAGCAACAGCCATATCTACCTCACTTATTTGGAATCCGATCCGGATTGCGCCATGCCGGATCCTCTGACTGCTCAAGAGGATGAAGGTGTCTCCGACATCTCCTTAGGTAATGTCCTGAACATAAGCCAGGTATCCAGGGCAATCAGCCTCCGCGTGGCGTACCAGCCCGGCGGAATTAGGAGGTACACGGTCGATGGATATACAATAGAATACAAACTGGCACAGGACGCGGCCTTGAGGTGTCAGAATGTTGTGCTCAATCGCCCAAGGATGAGGAAGAAGACGAAGATTCGGGTACAGAGAGAGGGGAGAGATCGGGATAGGGATAGGGATAGGGAGAGAAGCAGGGTGTCGTCGAATGCGACCATCCCACCGAGAGAGCACAATCGAAATCAGGGGTCGGGGCTGACACCCATGGAAGGGGTTACTGCAACATCATTTACGTCTGGTGACCCTAGTGTCACGTCGATAGTGATGGAGGGTATGTCACCATCCTTTTCTCAGAATCAGTCACATGGTTGAATTTCTCTGTTCTTTGTCTTTGAGTTCTTAGCGGTTCTGGTTTTTTGTACAGTTCATGGCTCTGGTCCTGGCTTTGTTCCATTCAGGATTGTGGAATTGCGGATGTGCTAGGATATACCCCAATCGTTTTGATGTGGAGAACCTAACTCGAGTTTGTTGTTTTTATTCTGCTTCAATTTTTTTTTCGCATCCATGTTTGGGATTCGTCATTCTCGGGGAGTTAAACAAACAATACCCACTTACGTTGTTACAAGTTATGTATGCACTGTCAGTATGCAAGCAAGCAAGGAATTGGGGTATGCCAATTAAGGGATTACGTTCTTTCCTACAATGGAGGGAGGGTTCATACCGGGCAGGGGGCGAAATGTTTAAGAGGTTACCTATGGTTGGGTTGCAAAGTCAAAGGGTTTGCTGCCATAGCATGTATTTAACCCATCTACACTCGCTGCGCATATTTGTTTCCTTTTTCTTTCCTTCCATTTTTATTTCTGCTCGTCATATATCATCTATTTACCATATATGGTAAGAGGAAGGAGTGATGGCTGCTCTGCCTGTCTGTTTGTCTTGATCTGAAGTGTACATATGCCCACAGGCACAGTGCATTGGGGTCGGAGAGGGACTTGATGGATGAGATCATACATACGGGTAGTTGCATGCAAGATCTTGCTTTGCGGTGTGTGCATACTTAGACTTGGGGAGAAGGGGTTAGGATGTGTGGATATATACCATTACTACACTAGTGGACCGGAGAATGCCATTTTTATTGTCGTGTCGTGATGCTTGGAATCAGCATCGATCCTTTGCGCACAAAGAGGTCTTTAATATTATTGGTGATTGTTGTGATTAATGTTGTAATTTTCGTTGTTCTCGTGCCCATCCTAGTCGGCATCACCGTCTAGTCATCCATTATCATGGTTATGTCCTGGCTGATATGTGGCGAGGTCGGTGAGCCTCAATCCGAGATAAATGGCTTCCTTCTAGGCTTCTCTGCACCTTGTTGCTCTTGGTAATGAAGGAATGACCCCTCAAGGATGCTGCGGTTGATTAGTGTATGCAAGAAAGGGCGAAGTTCCTTTGCTTGGGGCTTGGGTTGAATGGACAGTAGGTCCAGGAAACACGACATGCATTGTATGACTATTCTATTCTTTCCCTCCTTTTTTGTTCTTATCTTTCACCTATTCTTCTCTCCACCTTCTTAAGGTCTTGTTGAGGTACGTATCGAGGCGCAGTGCAGCTGCTGCGCATCCTCCCCGTCCAGGGTCCTGGCTGACCGGCCACAAGCAGACTCAGCTATCCCTCCTCTCCCGGCCGAACCTGAGATGTTTGCTACCCTTCCCCTGCGGAGGTACCCTACATGACCGATCTGCCTTACATTACATCATACCCCGACGCAGGGCAGATGCAAGGTGGTAACATTTTTGGATCTCGTCTGGCACGGTGGATAGGAGAAAGGTGGCTGCGTAGGCACCTTACATGTGTTTTACACACAGACGTACATGACACTGAAGCTGCAGAACATTGAGGGGTCAGTTGTTAGATGGGAAGCCAGCATCGGCCTCATTGGGCAGCTCTTTAGATCATGATGGGGAGAAGAGAGAGGCAGATATCCCTAGATCGGGTTTCAGATAGATTTCCCATCATCACCATCACATGATGGTTTACGAGACTTGAAATCAGGAATAAACGATTTTCTGCAGATCCGATACATGGACAATGAAGCAAAGCGAACGAGCAAATACGTATGCGCCGGAAGAAGCCGACCACACTCTTTGCCCCAGTACCTTCGTACCTTCGTGCCGAAGACTTGCGTTCCAGTTGATCGGATCGGTCCAACTCAACTACTTCTTTGTTGTTTGAGTGTCCTCGGGTCTCACAGCACAGAAGATAGCGTAAATGCTGGTTTGCAGACGGTGTCAGGCAGTTCTGGGCTGGCCTGGGTTCAATTTGACGAAAAACAAAGGGATACAGGGCTGTTCTTTGTCCACATGCTGCGGCTCCGCGCCAAGTGAGAATAACATACAGCACTTGCATCATCATTAAGTCTGCTAGCAAGGGTTAGAGCGTGAGTGTGGCTATTCACATGCTGTGCCTACCTGTCTAGCATACCTGTCTAGCATATCCATGGTTTTTCAGAGATGATGTTGGATGGGTATTGGACTCATGGAATGTGGTTTTGGTTCATCTGGGACGCTCCCATTCTTCGGAGGACCCGCAAGGGTGTGTGTACCTTGCATCGATGTGTTTCTTGTCTCACGATATACAACTGTCTTCGAGAGGACCCTCTTTCTTCGCCTTCTTTCATTCTTCTTTTCTCTCTCCCTGCCAAAACCTCATTCCGTTTTTCTTACTCTTTCATCATATCTCCTGTTGCCGTGGCGGACTAGATGACTTGTTGACCTTTTTGCTTCGAGTTTGCATCATGTAAACACGTTAACACCACCCACTCGTCTTGGTGATTGGGGGTATCATGACAGATTCGAGCAACAGACACAACTCAGTGACCTCGGAGTTGGACGTAACAACATTAGAATCTAATCTGCCCAATATCCCCTCGACAAGCACTCTTCTCACAACCTCGATTTGATAGCAGCACCGCTACCCAGCTCACACAATGGCCAACGTCGAGGGCGTCTTCAACCCCTCAACCAATGGGCTATCCAAGCCGACGACGAACAGAGAAAAGGGCTCCTCCTGCTGGCCAGAGGGGCCCTCCTCGGCCAGCGAAGTAGGATACCAGGCGGACTTCTACGACCAATACCTCGATTTTGACGACTGCTCCGACGTGGAGTCTCTGTTGGGCGCAGCAGGCGAAAGGCTGGAAAGGTCAGGAGGAGGAGAGGGAAGAGGAGGTGGCGCTCTCGGGCTCTTCGGTGTCTCGCCCGCCGTCTCCTCCTCGCCACAGTTGTCACATTCGCAGGCCAATGGATTGACATTGACTGGGACGGCTGCGCTAGCTGCATCGTCTGCGCCTGCGAGCCAGGGAGAGTCTGTTCATGGCAACAGTTCGGCGAGTTCATCTTCTCAACTCAGAAAGCAACACCCTTCCACCCTCCATCGCGCAACATCAGACACAACGGATTACCCTCACATGCCTGCTGGCATCGCCGCTACCGCTGCTACTGCCGCCCCGAAGATAGCTGTCGACGATGTGCCCTGCCCCAGCGGCGTCTTTGACACACCCACCGGCACGGGGTCCATCTCCGACTCAGAGCTGCTCAACCTGGAGGGCCTGACCATGCGCTCGCCGCGGCTGAACATCACTCACCACCAGCTGCCTGTGTCGGCGTCTGAGCCGGCTTCCCCTCTTTTATCGTCGACCGCTAGTCCTCTGAAAACCCGCTTTGGCGCTCTGCATATCAAGATTAAGGAGAAGGCTGCTGCGACGCTGCAGACAAAGAGCAAGCAGAGTGAATCAGAGCAGGTCGCTGTCTCCGTCTCTGTTTCTCAGGCGACGCTCACTAACCCGACTCTATCTATGGCTCAAATAGAGGGTGTCAAACCCCGGCTGAGGACAGAAAGCCTTGATTTCTCGAACCAACGACTCCAATCGGCTTCCCTGATCGGCATAGAGACAACTCAACAACCACCTTCGAACCTGCCACCCGTCATCAGCCCCAGCTCGGAGGAGGCAATCCTCAACTCCCTCCTCGACAACGACCCCTTCCTCCAGAACCCTCCGCTTCCCGACGTCTCTATGTCCTCTGTCCACCTGACCAACGGCTCAATGACCCAAACTCCGATGCAGACACCCTTGCCGGATCCCATACAGTCCTGGGACCTGCCTCTTACCCTGCCAGATGACAAGGCTCTCTGGACAACGGCAGCAGAAGCGGGGTCTATGCCATACTTCGATAACCTCCCCATTGCGGCCGACCCTACGACTACGGTAGGGACGGCAGCCTGGTGCGATCCAACAACTTCGTTTCCGGACTTGGACGTCGCGATGGACACCGATTCTTTGCCTATTACTACCTCTTCACTCGCGTGCCAGACTTCAACCAACGCTCAAGATACAGCGCTCAGTGTTTCTCTGTTCCTCAGCCAACCACAGCAACCCCAAACAACATTTGACTACCCCTCTCCCCCTATTACGACGGATGAGACCATCCCAACCTTCTCCACTACAAATTCAATGCTCCACATGCCTCAACCCCATTCCATTCTCCCTGCAGCAGCATTACGAGCAGGTGCGGCTCACAACTGGCTAAGTCATCGTCCCAAACCAAAGGCTCCATCTTCTGGAGCGAGACACCACCATCATTTCTACAATCCGCTGAGCATGTCCCTAAGAAAAACGAGGAGTGTGCCTGCGCCGTCAGGGTCGGGGTCACATTCTCCGAAGGGACATTTTCGTACTTTGTCCAAGACGGGGGCGTTCTTCATGCCGGGGGGGAGCGCGGTGCATAGGAGGAGTTCCTCCCTCCAAGGCCTAACTCTCGGCGGCAGCAGACAGGGGTTGTCAAGTTCTCTACCTGCAGTGGGCGAGAGTCCTCTATTAACTGGTGCCGGGCCCGGGGCGATTACGAAAAGGAAGAGTTGGACGGGCCGAAGGGCGGGTAGCTCGGCTTCACTACACTGCCAATACCACGCCCATGCGCTAGCAGCAGCCATCGACGCAGTCCTGTCTCCCCTTCCATCCAGCGCCCTGCCCCTTTCAACCCCAATAACCGGCTCCAGCTCCAGCCCCAGCAAGCGTCGTCTAACCTCCCACCTCTCCTCCCCAAACAACCCTCCAACTTCTTCAACCAGCGGCGGGAAAAAACCAGCCCCTACCCCAACAGACGGATTTGTGAACTACACGCCGCAAGACCGGAACCTTCTCATGACGGGTGTCGCACCGTCGGGTAGCTCCAAAACTAAGGCACGTAGGGAAAGAGAGGCAGCGGAGCGGCAACGCGAGTTCCGCGATAAGCTGACCAAGATGGTTCAGGCGGCGGGAGGCGATGTGTCGAAGTTGGGGTTAGAGAAGTTGGGCATTGAGTTGGGGCTGGGGCCTATTGAAGTTGGGGAGGGGAAGGAAAGAAGGAGGGAGAGAGTGGAAGGAGAAGGACAAAGTTGAGGCGTAGACGGATAATTTCATTTAATTTACACTGGCGTCTTGAATCATTGTTAGGGTAACTGTGGGGGAGTCGGCATAGGAATTTGGTATGTGCTTCTATGACATTGCTGTTTAATGGTGTTGCATCGTTTTTTGGTCTATCTACCCGTCTTATAGCAATACCACAACTGGACCTGGATTCAGCAGACTTTTTTTTTTGGAGAGGGGGGGGGGGAGGAGGGAAGGTGTGGTGGGGGAATATCACGGTTCGGGGGCCAGAAACTTGGAAAACAGGTAAAGGTTAGGACTGGTGGTTTACAGTACTTGAGGGCTCTTACGGACCATGGGTAAAGAGCGACAGAGAAAACTTCAGTTAGAATTCAACTTCAATGGAAAACTTTTATTCCTCATGATATTCTCTAAAAGTTTGACAAGTGATTTAGTCGAGTTGATGTAAAAAAGCTTCCCTATATCTGGAGACTAGGTAGATAACCTTAACGAATTTTACCCTCCGTATTCTCATAGTACTATGTTAAATTCGGGTGTGAGTCAAATGGATCAAGAAGCACACGATAGGTGCATCGTAGAAAGCGCTCTCGGGTTTATACATTTAGGCTTGAACGTTGTTCGTTTCGCAATATACCTATGTTTGGGGTGAGCTCTGGCATCATCCCGTGAGTGGTATAACTTTCTGGAGATAACAAAAACTCACGAGCCTGAATCAAATTCTCCTAGCCCTGATACTGTTGCCAATAGTCAAGCCATGCCGCAAATTACCCACTACTGAAGCTCTGTGGCTGTGTTAAGGGATAATAAGTGGATGTCAACCCTCAAAATCTAAACTCTTTCAAACCCCCAACCCCAATGCTCTTCTTCTCCACACTGGTCGTCATCCTTCCCGTCACCAAATTCTCCGACTTGTTTGCCATGTTCTTACGTGCTCTACGGAATCCTCATCGGAACAGAACATGGCATCGGCACGTCACCGGCAAGAGCAAGCACTGGTCAACCCAGGTGCCCTGACACACCGTCATGTAAGGGACATCTAGAGAATTTCGTAAGCATGATAATCCCGCTTCTCCCGCCCTTGCATACGCTTCTAACGAACATAGGTACGAACAAACATCTCACCTAGGTGAGGGACTGCTCTTGACTGTCAATTAAAGCCCATGAAACGCCAGAATATCACCGCCAAAGTGCACACTTCAAGCTAGCAACAAGCGTACAGCAAGTTCGGCAGCCACAGAGGAAAGCAATTCTTGGAGAAATACACAGATAGGAAAAACTGGTGGGTATAATCCTAAGTATACCAGGTAGGCAGCCCAGCCTTGGGTACCTAGTTAATCTGAACCTTTGTTTCAACAGTTGAAGAGTGACGCATCCCCGCAAAAACCACCAAACCACAAGCCACCCTAAACGGCCAGCCGTCCAGTCCCTCCCTCTTGTCCTGTCCTGTCCTTCCCCTTTTTCCTCTTCTTCCTTTCAACCCTCCCGGGCATAACTCGCGGGTAGGTCCATTTCCCCTGACGTCGGCTTTCCATTGCTGCCGGCTTGCCGTTGGTTGTGGAGCATAGCATAGCGCGGGTGCCTATTGGGAAAAGAAGTGGAAGAATGTGGGTGGAGGGGACCAACAACCAAACAGCACCGAACCATACATATCCTCCACTTCCTGAACACAAACCATCAACTACTGATTAACCAACCGCCCGCAACTGCCACGGCAACCTCCCAAAACATCGACCAAGAAAAAAAAAGACCCAGAACCAGCAGGCATGACAGAAGAACAAGACAGAACACAATCGTGCTCCTAGTTTGTGAGAAAGTAGACAGGATCGAATCGAATCAGATCGAAAGTGACAAAAAGTTGAACGCAAAAGAAGAGATAAAAATAAGAGTAGCCCGTGTTCCATCTAGAGTAGTAATCTCGACCTCAGCCCCGCCAAGTACGCCTTTTTATTCGTAGAGAAATTTCCCGGTGTCAAAACAGCCTCAAAGAAAGTTAGATTTGATGTGAGACGCAGTCCCCGATTCGGTGTCAGAGTATCCCATTTATCATTACGGGAAGGAAGGAAGTGGGATGAGAACGGAAGCTTGCAAGCGATGCCAACACCCCGCCAACCCGACCGACCGAACGACCATGCCCGATGCCGTGTCAAAAAAAGTATGCGTGTGTGTAAGGAAAAATGGTGTGGTGCGTGATATGTGGTATATATAATAGCCTACTATCTTTAGCTGTGACATCAGCCTTAATCGTAACCGGCGCCGCGTTGCCATGGACTGCTTCACTCTCATTAGCGCGTCTCTTCCTTCGCCAAGTACATCCTCGGTAGTAGCGGGAGCTCACCTAGCAACCCCTTGCCCTCCGAACCCCCCACCCGTCGGTGTCTGTGGCCTTCCATACCCCGAATGCGAACTATACGGACTGGCCGGTCGCCCGCCATCATTAAATCTGGGCGGACTCCTGGGATCATCCGCGGGGAACAGCGGCATGCTCGGGGATGCAGGCGTCCTTGGCCTGCTGACACCACCGTTATATGCCGTGTATCCGCCGTTGTTACCTCCCCCGTAACCACCAGGATTGCCGCCATAGCTACTGCCCGCGTAGCTGCTCCCACCGCCATACCCCCCACCGTAACCGTTATTGTTGTAATGGTTGTTGTACTGCTGCCCTTGATTAGCAGCCGCAATCGCGGCCGCGGCGGACGGCAGACTCAGATGATCTCTATCCGTGGTCTGCCTGCGCAAGGAGTCTGAGGTAATTGACTCGGCATCGTCATCCAAATCCACACCCGGCTTCCAGCCAAGCTTATCCCCCCTGGCCGTGGCCGCCAACGCATCCAGCTCCGTCGTGGTAGTCAAATGCGTCTGGCTCTTCATAAACGACGTGCGATCGTCTGCCATGATCTGGTACCTTCCGTCCGGGTTCTCGCGGAAGAAAACGATCAGCGAGCTGACGATGAGCATAAGCAAGAGAATGAGCGAGAAGATGGAGTTGACCAGCCACAAAACGAGGCCGACGACGCCGGTGACGAGGGGCGGCTGGTTGAAGACCTCGGAGAAGATCATGAGGAAGATGGAGTTGATGAAGTTCATGGCGCAAATGGCGATGTTGAAGGAGTTAGTCTTCTTGTCCATCCAGGGGCGAAGGACAGAGGCGCCGATGAGGGCGGCCGCGTCGAGGATTAGGAAGCCTACGGCTTGGACGGTGCCGCTGCTCTGGCCGAAGGCGACGAACATGGATTTCAGGAGGATGTACGTGAGGGTCGGGACGATGAAGTAGTAGGCGGATGCGCGGAACTGGACGTAGAGGAAGCCCCACTTGTTGAGGCAGTGCGAGTCGGAGAAGAGGATGTAGGCGGGGTTGTTGTGGATGGTGATGGACCGCTGGGCAATGCGAATGACCTTGAACGAGGCCCAGCCGAGCGTGATGAGCATGCCGAAGAAGAAGAACACGGCCAGCACCACCAGAGCGGGCGAATCCTTCTGGGTAAACTCCCAAAGGCAGAGGATAGAAATGGCAGGGAAGCCGATCAGCGTCAGCCGGAAGAGGATGCCCTTCAGATAGATGCGCCAGCCCTTGCGAAACTCAGCAAAGCGATCGTTGGGAATCATCCCCTTACCGGCCAGGAAGTCGAGTAAGTACTTGAACCCAGCCACACAGCCCGAGACAACCAGGACCATGACACAAAACCAGCAGATGCCCGTCATGAACAAATTCGTCGTCTCGATGCCCGCCTTGAAAGCCACACGCTGGATGCCAAACACAAGATAACTCCCCGATGAGGTCTGGATATTCTGCCGCTTGACGAGCAGCGACCTCGCAACCACATTCTTCATCGGCTCGACAATGTTGGTCGGCAGCATCGCAATGCCGCGCTTGGCCAGACTCAGAGCGCGTTTCTCGACCTGCACAGAGACTGTCGTCAATGTATGGAAGAGCGTAGCTGGTTTGCCGCCCGTGGCGCGCTGATACCAGGTAAAAAGGTCCTGCATCCAGCCGACGCGGATAACGCCCATGCTCCATTGGAAGTCCTGGGTCCAGGCCATGACGATGGGCGGCAGATGCACGCGGGTCAGGCCCAGCATGGCCTGGTGCTGGAAGTAGCCGAAGAGCGAGAGGGCGTTGGAAGCGACGTGAGCAGCAGCATTTTGATGACCCAGACCGGACACAATAGCCGAAGACGTCAGCGAAAGCACGGCAACTAGCGCCGTGGCCCACTTGACGCCCATCAGGTCGACCGTCTTGCCGTTGGAGATGTCGGCCGTGACGCAGGCGAGGCTTTCGGGAGTAGCAACGCTGTTTTCTGTCCTGTTGATGAAAACTCGAACCGTAGCGTCGAGATCGGGGAACGTGTATGCGATGCCCGGGATTTGGGCGAGGGCCTCATCAGAGATCGGCAGATTGAAGTTAAGCGGGATCTTGCCGGCGGTCATGGGGCAGAGACCGGCGAGGCCGAGCTCGCAAGGGTTAACGACCATGTGGATGACCTGGAAACCGTAGGCGAGCAGGAGCACGTCAAAGGCGACATAGCCTTCTACGGACGAGACGGCGACGATGTCGACGTTAACCGTCTTGTTGTTTGGCGTCAAGGTGACCTTGAATAGGCTGGCGCTGAAGCCCGAGTTCTCCTGGCAGGCGTTGAGCGACATGGATTGGAGGATGGGTTCGGCGGCGGCAAGTGGGCGCCATAGCGCGAGGGCCGCGAGGGCGAGCGGCCGTATCAATCGCATTTTGTTTGTGGGCGAGATGGAAGAACTATAACTATCGTCGAGATCGCGACTAGTTCTCGAACGGGACCGTCAATGTCGATGCCGTCTGTGCTTCGGTCGTCGGCCGGTCGCAGCACGCCACAAGGACGCAGATGGGCATATGGCAGACGGTCGAGTCGTAAAGATCGTGATGGATTTTTGTTAAAGTGCCTAGTTAAATAGGTAATCTATTCTCGACAGCCTCGCGATCGAGGCGGCAGCGAGGCAGGGAGCGTCAAAGCGAGAGTCGTCTGCCAACAGCAGCAGCCAGGCGCTGACACGACGGCGACAAAAGACCGTGCCGGGCCAGCGATTGCCACAAAAAAGCCTAATTTTTTTGGATAGTCTAAAACGATTGTGGAGGAAAAGAACCGGCTTTGCGGGCTGTAAGTGTAAGTGAGGGGTGGTTGTCGTGGAGGGCAACGTTGTGCAATGAATTGAGGGAGCGAAAACAATTGAGGGCGAAGAGAAGGGACGAGCGCTCTGTAACAGGCGCCGCAGTGGGCTGGTGTGACTGAAGGAATGGGGAATGGGAGGATGGACTGAACACACAAGCGCTGGCTGGCGCTGGCGTAATGAGGCGACCAAAACAGGATACCCAAGGGGGACCAGACGCCCGCCAAGTCCCGCCAGTTAATGCGAACGGGGCGGGTGATGGACGGTGTTAGCGTTGTACTTTTGTTAAGCGCGTGACTGCAAACTGAATTAAGTAACTCTATATCACAGCCCATTCCAACCCTCCTGAGCCAAAACAGCATGCACCTTGCGGCCAAGCCTGATCTGAGGCCAGCCGTGGGGGGGGGTGGCCTGGCAGGAGCTGCCACCCAATGGAAACAGTACAGGTCTGGATCGTGGAGACGAGAGCCAATCGATTGCCATGCACGGCGAGGGAACCAAGAATCAGCAAAACTCACTTTGCCCATCATCTCACACTGCGGGAACTCTGCATCTCTAGCGATCTCTCCCTCCGTTACGCAGCTGCGAGCGAATGCCAACACGGGAGCATCTCCGTCCGATGTGGTCCATGTCCCGTCCTTGGTTTCTGTTCTGTGGCCCTCTCTTTGCAGAAAGCTTTGGCCAGGTATCCCCTGAAAAAGGTCCAGGGGCTGCGCTTCTATGTGGGCTGCCCCGCCTTCATTGACGATTTCCATGCCTCGTCAATGCGCCTGCATTGATCCAGACTCAGCAATTACAGTCCATTATTTGGGGGTTATTGGGCAATCTACAATGATATCGACGGGAGTCATTTACTTTTCACGATAAATACAGCCGCTTCCTTGTCCAAAATAACCCAGCTTTCTGCAAGCAGAAGTCTACAATCCAGTTTCCCAGTTTTCAATCCCCCGTCTTTCTGCGACAGCCCGTGTTCCATTTCGCTGCAGCGACACCCCGTCATTGGCCCTCTCCGCCCACTCATCCATCCGCCCATTTGCACAGCCTCCCGTTCCCCTTTCCACTTTGCTCACCAAACTCTATTTAGATTTCACAGCAGGAATTGCCATCCATCATCGAGAATATCCTGGCAGCTCTGTTTGCTGCGCTTTTTCTCCGGTGCCGTTTGAAGTCTTGAAGTCTTGGACAGAGAAGCGACCCACTGTTTGACCGTTGACATCCCAAAATCCTTTCAAAGGAGGCCTTTTGTGGCTTTGGTCTCAAGTTTGAGGCCCGGATCCCACCTTACTTCTTGGCCAGTGGTCTAGATAGATGGCAGCTAGCCTTGCCTATTCTTAAACTGTCACCAAATTGCATCGCCTGTCTTAACGGCGTCTCTGGCTGACGAGATAGAATCGCCTGTTGACAAGGCTTTGTTTTCTATGGATAGACCTGATCAGCCAACCTTGCCCCTCTCTCCAGCGAGCAACAGCCAAGCTTTGCCCAATAAACCCGTATTTTTGGGATCGAGTGGAGGAGCTGACGCGTTTTGGCTTTGTATGGAATGTCGCCATGAAGGCTTAGACCTACATACTAACGTCGAACGACGAAGCAGTATAACTTCCTTGGAACTTGAAGATACCATTTTCCACAAAAGACGAGAGAGTCATACGAATTCCACAGCAGACATGCAAGTCTCGGCGGAATGGAACTTCATTCCACGGCGCTCTCTGGCTGAGCTGTAGTCGTATATACCAAAAAAGCATGTATCATGCATGACATAGACCCAACATCTCTCATATCATTATCCTCCGAGTATTCTCCAAGCCATCCATCCATGAACGCCGTAAATGCAAAACGCACTTTAGATATATATCTCTCTCAAAACTCTCCAACCGTATATACGTCCCCATATACACTCCCCTCTCTACACCTACAACCAAGTAACCGAATCCTCCCAAGGCCTCGTCGCATCCGCATAATTAAACCCCCTCTTCCAGCCACTCTTCAACTCCTCCTCATCGACACCACAATGCCTCTGCCCATCGCGCCCAATAAACCATCCCAGGCCATACGTCTTATTAATCCTCTCCAGCCACTCAACCATCTCACTGTTACTAAATTTTGCGGTCCCCTCAAAATCCACCAACATCTTACTCTGATGAATATACGCCAGCACCGACGCAATGGTATTCGGCTGCCTCGGCAAAAATACATGCCTCCCCCGTCTAAAAAAAACCACGATCCCCGTCACCGCCATAAAAATCAATATCCCCAGCGCGAGCACCAACGAAATCCAAAACGACGGCACCGTCTCCTGCCCGGCATTAATCTTCTCCTCTTCTCCGGACTCCCCATTCTTCACCAAGGCATTCATGAAAACCCTCCCTTCGACCGTCGCCAAGCTCGTCACCAACACCGTCAAGATCTCCGCCAGCACGGTTCCAAACCCCACGCAAAACACCACCCAGTGCCGGTTCATCGCCCCCTTCACAGCCACCAAGCCAAACGGCATGGCCTTGTAATCCAGCGTCAGCGTCTTAGGCGGCGCATGCCGCCGCCAGAGGATGTAATACGGCTCAGTCATGCGGACGTCGGTTTCTAGCGCGGTCCAGTTGAATTTTATGATGACTGCTAACGCGGTCATCAGCCAGGGGACGGACTCGGTCAAAACCCTTAAGCGCGGGACGAAGAGAACTGCCGGCAGGAGGACGGTAAAGCCGACGAGGAACACCACAAACGGGAAGATGCCTATCTTGCGCAGCATCATCGGCTGGGCGTTGCGCGAGAGATGGTTGGCCTTGTTGTGTCGGTCCTGCTCCCTTTGCGTAGGGGGGTTGTTATCGTCCGGGGCGATGGAGCTATTCACCAAAACGTAGCGGTGGTGTTTCAGGCGGTTGTGAATGTCCTGGTGAGTGGCGACGTCCATGTCGCGGAAGTCCATGAGGATGTGGGCGGCGGTCGCCATGGCGGCTATGCCGGCGATGCCTCTCACGTCACCCAGCAAACCGGAGCGGCGGGTCGTGAGCTGGATGAAGAGGATGCAGCCTAGGAAGGCGATGACGCAGAGCACGACAATGAGCAGGCGCGACCAGACGTGGTGGACGAGGACCGACTTTTCTACGCCAGGATTGTTCATGCGTGTTTCCCGGTCGGGGGTGAGACGCAAGCAAGCCGCGCCCAACATAGGCACCAAAGTGTTAGCAAACAGCGCGGCGGTGGTCGCAACCGCGACGGCGTAATGCCTGTGCCAGAGGGCGCGGAAGGGGCGGAGGAGGTTAAACTGGGTAATGTAATCCACATTGATGGACTCGGCGGCGAGGGCGCCGCCGGGCTTGGACATTTGGTAGAAGGCTTCGAGACGCATCACGTCGTAGGTGGTGATTTGCCAGAGGACACCGTAGGTGACGGCGGAGATCATGGGGAGGAACTTGACGCAGAAGTAGTCGAGTGGGGGGATATCGGAGGGACTGTGAAAGGTGACAAGGGGTTTCTTTCTGGCGGAGCGGTAGAGGATCTCGACCCCGACTGCGAAGCCCAGGGAGAGGAGGATGAGGAAGAGGAGGTAGGGCCAGCGCATGGAGAAGGGTTTCCAGTTTGGCTGAGGGGCTGGACGTCCGGCGAGGGGTAGAGTTGACTGCTTCCTAACTGGCTGGGGAGGAGGCGAATCTGGCCTGGATGGTTTGTCTTCGAGAAAGTCTTCGTCTGCTTTCGTAGAAGGGCCAAGAACAGTGGTAAGGTCAACTGGGGGGCAGGCTGGTTCTTCGGGGGTCGGCCCATGGTGCCAGAGTCTCTGAGGTGTCGGGTCTGGCTGAGTACTGACTGGTGCATATCCAGATGCTCCCGTATATCCATTGAAGCCAGCCCAGGCTATGGGCGCGCTCACAAAGCTATGCCCATTGTTCGCTGGCCTCGGGACAGGCTGGGGAGCCGGCCCATGAAAGTAGTAGTACCCCTCGCTGGCTGCTCGCTGAGGGCCACTATACTGCTGGTGACGCACACTACCGTGAGGGCCCTGGTAGTAGTAGCCGTCGGTTTGTGCCCTGTTGGGATTGTTGTTGAAGTGAGCAGGCTGGTTGGAGGGGTGTTCCTGAACAGGCGATTCGGTAAAGTCAAAGCTGTTGAGCTGATGGAAGTCGGCAATGCTCGAGATGCGGCACGAGGTCTGGCTGGCAGCAGAGCGCAGCGGTGGCTGCGGCTGCGTCGAGTAGGGAGTCATCTCAACGATGGCATGGGCTGCTTTGGGTCAACAGACTCGGACTTTACAAAGTAACCGACCGGTTGTTGGGATCAAATGGCACTTCTTCAGTGGCCGGCAGAGTTGAGGGACGAAGAAAAAACTAATTCGAAGGCCTCACACTCAACACCTGTGATACGGAGAACGAGTGCAGCAAGAGCTGAGAATAAAGTTTTAAGAACGAGAGAAAGCTGTGACAGCCGGAATCGCCGTATCCCTTTTGCAACACTCTGTGCTGGGGTCTGGGTTTTGTCCCTAGCGTCCAGCCCGCATGACGAGCCTAACTCGTTAAGTTGCGGCTGAGAAGGATTGGAACGTGGTAGGCCAGCAGCGCACCATCGACGGCTTTTACGGGGCAGACTCGGCCAGGTTGGGGAGAAACTAGAGTGATGTGCTTTGTAATGGTTGGCTGCAGCGCTTAACCACCCTAAGCTACGGATCTGCTAACCGCAGTTTATGTGGTGTAGAGTGGTGTGTACCCTAGTGTAGCGTTGTACGTCGGGCGGTTTGCCCTCTCTGTCAGGTAGGGTAGGCCGTAGGGCTGAATTCAAGAACTTTGGATCGCCTCAGCTCTGCGTCCTCGATGCAGCTGCTGTGTTCCTCGCGTTGATCCCTGAGACAAACCCTGACGATGACACAAAGTGTTTGACTGGTTAAATCAGCTAAATATGTACGCAAATCAGCACTTTATCTCAGGAACCGACCAGGAACCAGCACAAGACTCTCCGCCCAGCCACGCTGGCGATAACATATCGCTGGAACATGATGGACGTCTGCGTCTTTTACTGCTCTCTGTTGCATGTCGTTAGTCACAAGGCAGACAGCGGGGGTGATGCTGCAGTGATAGTGTGATGCAGCCTCTCTCAATTCAACTGTGTCAAAAGAAATCGTCGCGGGTGCTGGTGGGCTGGTGAAGACCCTGTCCAGGAAGCAACACAAAGCTGTACAGTGTGTGTGTGTTGTCAGTGTGCGGGGCGGCTGAACTCTCATGCGTGGATTTGGGTGTTTTGTGCCAAGCATCGTACATTCTTCTTGTAGAGGGCTGTCAACGTATTTCGAGTATCTCGCATATTGAAATCTCACCGATGAGTTTGAACCCCGTCTTCTTGATCTTGTCCAACTTTGGTGGACGCCAAACCCACCAAGCGTCAGAGTTCCACACTGTCCCAGCCAGGCACAGCGGAGAGGGGAGTAAAAGCCCACCCAGCCTAATTATAGGACGCTAGTCTCAATCCAGTTTAACGCCTCTCCTCCCCAGCGTTTCGGTCCCGATACCAGACGCCCAGGCCACCTCTCCCCGCTCTCCACTCTCTAGAGGACGGGACCAAAGCCAACGCTCCTCCAACTACCTCGCCCTTCCAAGAAGCGAGCTCTGTGCTATGTAGGTATGTATGACACCCTTTGGCGTCGCAGCGCCGTGCCACCCAATCAATTGCAGACATTTGCATTATTAATTCTTACCACTTCGTAACATTCTCGCATGCAAGCGGTTGCAGTTGTTACACCAGAGACAGATGTAGGTACGACTGTACGAGGTGGGGTAGGAGGTATATTTGTAGGGCAGAGACCATGTGATGATGTGATACGCATTGAGTTAAATTGATGTTTGTTCTGAAGGGTTGTGGAGAATATTCTTACTTCAGAGCTTTGCCTGAGTCTCTCATTCTGTTGCTTCCATGCTTTATGGAACGGGGTATTCAGTAGCAATTGCTTAGGCACGGCTTATGGTCCAGTGTAAATGGCTCGGGGGTAATATCAACCCCTTGTTGATGACCCGTCCTGCCGACCCATTACCCAGCTTAAAAGTCAACGTAAGGTATGTATTTAGAGCTTCCAGCTTTCAATATTTAAACCAATTATTCGGGGGAAGATAGAACCAAAATCAAAAAGTTTGGGATAACTCTGACATTAGAACTGAACAGGCGTCTTATTGCTTGATGATTCTGTTCCTGGATCTGAGATCATAGAGGCTATTGGTTGTCAAGTCATCCAATCATTTGCCTTATCCTCTCTGTGAGAGGGGATCAGAAGTGAGGGATCAGGCAATGAGCACTCACACATTCGGACAAGGCTTGATGAAATGGAACGACGCCCCGTGAGTACTGTGGTGTAAGAGTTTGTGGACACGGTAACATATTACATGCTTGTGATTCCCAGACTGTCCGTTCGGCAGCACTTTCTCCTTGTCACAAATTGGTATTTGCCAGAATCGCCTTTCCCCCTCGATCCCATCAGAAGTGGACTTCCCGTGCTTCATGCTTCCGTGTATGGATTGCCCTTTCTCCGTCATACAATACCGGAATCCCTTCCAATAGTTGGAGGATGTTTAAGCAGTAAAGCCGTGGGGGGGGGGGGGAAGAGGGGAGCTTTATGTATGAACAAATCTTCTATGATATGACCTAGCCGCTTTTTTTCTCGACTTTTTCGTTTTAATCTTCTAGAAAATTTGAGTGTAACTCCGAGCATCTGCCCAATACCACTTACAAACATCAATATCACCAGTTTATATCTCACCAAAGAAACGAAAACGACACAATGGTCAATTCCTTCGTCTGGACGTCTGAAGAAGCCCGCTATATCAAAGCCATCCTCCGGTGGCAGGCCAACCCACCAGATAACGACAATGACAGAAACACCCCAAGCCCAAGCCCAACCTCTTTGAAGAGTGGAACGTCAAAGCAAAAGACTAAACAACAACAACAACAACAACAACAACAACAACAACAACAACACGGCAAACCTGCTGGCGAGCTCCGCATGCTGGTTATCGGCGCTCAGGGGGTGGGCAAGACGGCGTTGTTGACACGGGTAGGCCTTTTTAAGGGTTAAATCTGTTTTTATTGAGACTATCATCCATAAACTAACGTTTGGTGATGGAACTTTACAGTTCGGCCTTGACACCTCCATAGAAAACTTTCAAGACCCCTTCCACGAGCGCGGGTGCAGGGCTCTTGCAACTTTGACCACTCCAACTCCTCCTCCCAGCGATGCTACATCCAAACCCCAACTCTCCCCCACCACGAACACAAAACTTCAGAAAAAACAACACCAACAGCCCCAACGCAACAATAACAACGATGTCCAGCACGTCCAAGCCGACGAACAACAGCACCCACAAAAGCAAACATACATTATTGACGCATTGGAAATGCCCTCCGACCTTCTCTTCTCCCGCTCTATGCTCGAGGAAGCGTTGACCATCACCGAGGGCGCATTGTTAGTGTATGACGTGAGTGATGAGGCGTCATTTCGCGTGGCAGAGGCAGTTGCGAAGGTTGTTAGGGAGCGGTTTCCTCTCCCGGGAACGATGGATGGTCATAGTAATAGTGTGAAGGGAAATGAGTCTTGGTTGTCATCGCCAACTCGAGGAGGATGGAATACTGGGGAAGGGAGAACTGAAGGGGTTGAGGCAGGGGGAAGGGCGGGGAGGAGATCTTGGAGGCCGGAGTACGCGCTGATGATTGTGGGGAATAAGGCTGACTTGTTTCCCTGTCCTTCTTTGGATACCCATAGGGGCTCTGTCACTTGTGCTGGTTCTTCTCAGCCTCCTGATGCGTTGTCGACTTCCTCATCTTTGGCAGCCTCGATTTTATCCCCGTTGACAACCCAAGCCAACCAGTCAACCAAAACAAACATTTTAACTCCTTCAACAACCCAAAACGCTGGTGACAACATCAGGCCGGACACTAATGAAGCGATCCCTCCAACAGCCCAACAGACGGGCTATAAGCTGCATCATAACTCCCGACTCCCTCACAACTCGGCAAACGAAGAAGACGGTCCCCTTTCAACCCGCGTTTCCTCCTCCTCCGGAGCCCTCCTCTCCTCCTCTCTAGCCAGCATCCCCATCTTGTTCGAGATATCGGCCAAAACCGGCGCCAACGTGACCGAAGCCTTCACTCTGCTCTGCGAAGAAATACTTCGTATCAGACAGCGCGTCGAACTAGAGAGACAGAGGCTTCAAAAAAAGGGGGAAGCCGTCATGGGAGTGACACAAAGAAAGAATAATGCAGAAAGAAAAGCCGGCTGGCCGGGATTGTTGGAAAGGTTGAAGGGACGGAGGGTTAGGGAACGCGTGATTTATGGGAAGTGATTCAGGGGGATTTGAGTGGTTGCGTTCCGTGAATTCCTTTTCAGGTCACTGAGATTATTCTTCGCTTCATTTAAGACTTCTTCAGACTGTACCTATTTTATTGACGTTCCTGAACCTTCTTCAATCATAAGTCAAACATATACGATCGCCCATGAAAAGAAACACTTACCACGCCACCCCCGTCTATGAAGCCAAAAATAAGACATGAGAATAGATCCGTACCTATACACTGAGGTTAACAAACGTTCACCAGAACTGTTTACTGAAATACATTCCCATCTCCTCTAGATAATAATAATCTGCCCTGTCCTTAAAGCATGCCTAAACAAGTCCGCGAACGAAATCGTCGTACGACAATCACTCTCCTCCCTTTTCTTCATGGCCTCAGGCAGCCACTCCTGAATCTTCTTTATCCTGCTGATATTCTACTCAAGTTAACACATATTCCCTTGCGTCTCAAAACGAGGGAAGACTTACCGTCGGATGCGTACTCATCCATTCCAGCTCCTCCCCACCTCCTGTAGCCCTCTCCATCCTCGCCCAAAAGCTCACCGCCTCCCTCGGATCAAAGCACGCCTCCGCCATCATCATCAACCCAATATAATCCGCCTCTGTCTCCTGCAGCCGACTCATCGGCCACCCAAACGCGACATCCATCAACCTCCCGCCCAACCAGTGCAGTATCAACGGCCCCAGTCCAAACACGCCCCCCAATATAACCAGACTCCATAACGCAATGCTCGCCCCAATATCCTGGCTCAACCTCTCCGCGACATGGTCCGCCACATTGTGCGCTATTTCGTGGCCCAGCACGGTGGCTAGCCCGCTGTCGGTGCGCGCAATCCCCAAAATTCCGGTGAACACGAAAACCTTACCCCCTGGCAAAACAAACGCATTTGCCGTGCGCGGATCATCCACCACATAAACTTCCCACTCATCTTTGGCAACCTCCCCGCCACTGAACGGAATGAGTCTACTCATAACCCTCCTCACCCAAGCAACCCTGGGATCCCACTCCGGCAGTATCCTCACCCCCTTCGCTTGCAGCTCATACATAATCCGTCGATACTCCATCTCCCCCGCCTTGCGGACGCTCTCTGGCCCGTATACATTAAATCTTGTCCTGCCGGAGACGGGCACGGTCTCGAGGTTGGTGAAGTAGAAGATAAGGGCGGCGAGGATGGAGAGGGCGATGATGGTGTAGGTGGGGGTGGAGTTGAGTTTGTCCCAAGTAAGGAGGGGCTTTGCGGCGGCGAGGCGGGCGGCGTGAGTTAGGTCGTAGTGGGCGTGCGATTGGCGAGATTCTGGGGGGCGGTGGGAGGAGTACGGCCGAGAGGAGGAACGAGGGCGAATGAGGATGCACTGACTTCGTGCCGGAGGAGTTGGGTGCGGTGGTTTTGGTTTTGGGAGAGTTATTCGCGAGAAGGACGTCACTCGGTAGGTTTGGGCAAATATCACATTCTGTAATGGCTGCCGCGGGAGAGGCTGCCGTCTCGTTCTCAATACAGGAGAGAGAAGCGAAGTTGACGCCTGTGAGAGAGGTCGCGAGCGCAAAAAGACGAGGGGCATTGTGCTGGTCCGCAATCAATCCCGATCGATACGATTCTTGATGTTGAAGCTCAGGTATTTCAAGTATTTTTCAAGATGCTGATGACAGTGGCCAAGGAAGGCCATTGACTTGGGCGCATTAAGTGCGTAATCGCCCAGATGTCGAGATCGTTAGAGCTTTCGCCGCTGCCACTAGGCGTCTCCGAGTTGAATGGAAGCTTCCACCTTGAAGCTTTCAGCTCTCTGGTTGAATGAGGTCATTCCCAGCTCCAGGTCAGCGGGCCCTGCAACGCTACACCCTGGTCTGGTCACCCAGTCAACCTGGAAAGCCCCACTTTCAACGGCTAAACCACCGCTTGACTTGGCTTCACTTGGCGATGGCTTTGATGCACTGGCGTTGCGCTAGCAGGGGAAAAGCTCCACAACGTCCGGTGAGCCAAGACAACGGTTCGGCCTCTTTTCAACGTCATCTTCCATGATAGATGCAGATGGGATGATGGGGTAACAGGGAGTGATCAAGGGAGTTGGAGCGAAATTGTAGAGAGAAGACTGAACAGAGGTTGCTTAGTCGTGGACTATTGAGCACATCGAAGGCAGAGATGTAGACAATGTCCATCACACAATTCCATCAGGCAGGAGGTATTCAGTATCCTCAAGAAACGAAATATATATTATTCAAACCCCCTTCCAACAAAATTAAGCCAACAAAAAGTTCAACTCAATTTATGGTTCGCAAGACCTAAGTAAGATTGTAAAATACATATCCAACCTCCTCCAAGTTCCTTCCCCTATTTACACCCAATTTGTCATATTAAGCTCTAAGAAGAAAAAAAAAAAACCTCATTTTTAAAAATCAACCGCTCAAAGAGCCAGAAGAGCCAGCAAAGCAGTCAGCACGCTTACACCGACCTTACCCGCGCCCGCAGTAACAGGTAGTGTAGTAACCGGCACACCCGGGCTGGTCACGACAGGCGGGACATTGACTCCTGTACCTGTCGGAACAGTCACGTTGGAGCCGGGCACAGCCGGGGTGACGGCGGTTGTCAGGGTGGTTGGCACAGCGGGGCTGGGCACAGGAATGTTGACGCTCGGGGCGGGGGTCGCAATCGGGGTCTCAACGTCGGGGACCTCGACCTCCTCCTCCTCTTCCTCCTCGCCAGGAATCTCCGGGTTCTCAGGGACAAGGATGTCAATACCACCAGTCGGGAGGGGGACGTCGACACCGCCAGTCGGGACCGGGATGTCGTCTCCCTCAGAAGGAACGTCAATACCGCCGGTCGGGAGGGGGACGTCGGCACCGCCAGTCGGGACCGGGACGTCGTCTCCCTCAGAAGGAACGTCAATACCGCCGGTGGGGGTCGGGAGGACATCAGTGACTGGGCAGACGGTAACAACCACATCGACAGTGCTCGTCACCTTAGCTGGGCAGTTAGTGACGACAGCCGGCGGGCATGAAGTGATGGTGAAGGTAACAGTCTTGGAGACAGTCGAGGTGGTAAAGCCATCAGGGAGGTCGATGGTAGCATCAGTAGGGAGGAGGGTTGGGATCGGGACAGTGGTGGTGCCGATGGGGATGAGCGAGGTCTCGGTACGCGCCGGGCAGTTAGTCACGGCCGGGGCGCACGAAGTGTAGGTGATGGTGGTGGTGGAGTAGATGGTCGAGGTGATGAAGCCGGGAGCGTCAGTCGTGGCCGGGACGTCGTCAGTGGTCGTGATGGTGGCGGTCGGGACACCATCAGTGCCAGTCGGGATACCGTCAGTGGGGATATCAGTGCCGGCCGGGACGTCATCAGTGCCAGTCAAGGTAGCAGTCTCGGTGACAGTAGGCTGGACGGTCTCTGTCTCGATCACGGTCGGCTGGACGGTCTCGGTAGAGACGATGTCCTCGTCGTCGCACTCGTCCTCGTCGCCCTCCTCGTCATCGCCCTCGTCACCGCCACCGACTCCGTCAGTGGGGGTCGGCTCCTGCTCGTCAGCAGTGGGAGTAGCCGTCGCGGTAGCGCTCACGCTCTCGCTGGCGGAAGCAGTAGTCTCATTCTCGGTCTCCGTGGGCTCAGCCGAGTCGGTGCAGGAGGTGGTGGTAGCGTCCTCGGTGGCGGTGCTGGAAGCGGCCGAGCTGGACTCGGTAGTGCTGGACTCAGTGGTGCTGGGGGTAGCCGAGCTAGAGGTGCTAGTGGAGGTCGAGACGGCGGTCGAGGACGCAGCCGTCTTCGTAGGCTCGGCGACATCCTCCAGCTGGTAGACCTTGATGCTGCGGACCTCGAAGTAGGTGTTGGCAAAGGCCTCGGGGTTGTTGGCGACATACTCCTTGCAGGTGTCCGTCTTGGTGGCCTTCTTGCAGTCCAGACCCCAGAGGTAGTCGTTGCCGGCGGCGTCACCGCACAGGTTGATGTTGAGGATCAGACGCATGTCCTTGAAGTTGCTGGCAACGTCGCAGGTGCTGCCGAGAGCGAAGCTGGGGGTGCCCCAGCTGGACGGATCGGGAGTGCCGTCAAGAATATCGAAGGGCACGCTGTCGTGGTCCCAGCTCCAAATCTTGATGGAGTCCTCGGTCCACTCGGTAGCATACACACCACCGTTGGGGTTGGCCCAGAGACCGTTGTTCTCGCTGGCCTGGCAGCCGGCGTTGCTGGACTGCGACGGAGCGGCATACCAACAGTCAGTGGCCTTGGAGTTGAGCTCGGCACTGAAGTCAAGAGGGTTGGCCGTGCACACGCCGGTGTTGTCCGGGCTGTCGGTGTGGGCGACGATCATGTTCCGGGTGTTCATGTTCCAGCCCTCGTACATATCAATCTCGCCGTTCTTGGGCCACTTGGGACCGACCATCCAGTAAGCGGGCCAGGCACCGCAGGCTGTAGCAGGGAAGTGGGCGAAGTCGGCGATGAAGAGACCCTTATTGTACGACTTCTTGCTCTCGAGACGCACACTAGGCCGTCCGTCGCTCGTCGTATCTTCCGCGAGCACGCCGAAGCGGACTCTGTCGTCCAGGGTCTTCGCAATGCCCAGGCTGAGGGCATCCTCCTTGGACTGGTACTTGACGAAGCCGTAGTTGGGATCGTTGTCGTTGAAGAAGGTAAACTCGCTGAAGAAGTTGGAAGGAGTGTAGGCCTCGCTGAGCGTGTAAGCTTGGCCCGCAGCCGCCTGTCCGGCATAAGCCAGGGCAGCAGCGGCGCCCAACCTGAGAAAGGAGGGTGCCATGACTGCAGAAAGATCGACTAGTTACTAGTAAAAAGAATGACTAAGCAACGAGTGTAGTTGGAGCTGTTGACGTGCGATACGTCAGAGGACGAGCACAAAGATGCTCTTATAACCAGGCAAAAGTCTGCTGGCTGAAAATAAAGAAGTCAGGCAACGACTGGGCCAGGACAGTGGGTAAGAAAGGAGAGACGTTTCTCCATCATAAGGCGAGCTCGGGGAGAAAGGGGGAGCATTTAAAAAAAGGACACTGGGCTGTCAGGGTCACAATAGCGCACCCCAGGCCAGGCCAGGCCAGGCTCCAGCATCAATTGACCCATCCATCATCCATCGATGCTCCGTCGTCCCCATCGATGCCACCCTCCTAAATCCCGGAACCTGGGACCTTGGTCCTCGGGTGGGCTGGGGTGTCGACTAGCAGGAGGTCATTCCCACTCATCAGGGTCTACACCTTCCAAGTACGTTGCTGCGCAGAGCGCCCCCAGATGGAAAACACAGGGCAGCTGGCTGCTGGTGCTGCATCGCAAACAGTCGACTGGACACGAAGTGCCTGTTTTAGCACACCTCGATCAAGGGAGTGCCTGGGCCAGCCAGGCGGCTCTCCGGACCGAGCCCGAGCTGTGACAACCGCCAGTAACGGCCCCTCCTGGCTGCTGGCTGCTGGTGCCTTGTGCTCCACTTTGCTGCAAGGAACGAACAAGGTGCTAACGAACTCTGGGATTGGCCATATGCTACTGATTGCAGAGGCGAGTTTTAGATGGCGCTTTTCGAACCCACATGTAAGTGGGATGTAACACAAGCAGTGGAAACAGCATGGGATGGATTTCGTTGCTGTTTTGCGCTGGCCTGTTGGTGCTGTCCTCATTTATTCGTTCATTGATTCGGCATTGTTCGGGCACAAAGATTTGGCGTCAAAAAGCGTTGATTCAGCTAGCTCTCTTACGCTGCAATTGGTTATTGGGATTAGGCCATTGTTTTCGATGAATTTCGATGCTATTTTGCGCGGGCGTCGAGGGTAAGACGGGAGAATTGCGGGGGGGGGGGCCTGATAGGGTGTCGCTGACATGGGTTGTCAACCGAGAAGCGGCGAGAGATTCTTGAAGGCAACCCACCTAGCTCGCAGTAAGCCGGGACAATTGGAGTCATGCAAACTATGCTCCGATTGATCTATTCCACAGCAGCACGAATCTTGTAATCTTTTCAATTTTTGAGGTAATTCTGTGCGCTGCTGCTGCTGCTGTCTGCGTGAGTTGCTCTCTTCTGCGTAGCGTGGAGTTGGTCAAGCCAACTCTTTTGGCGGCTGGTCCAGACCACCGCGTCTGCCAGGTGGGGGCCGATGTTCCAAGAACAACAGTGCCCCGAGCCAACCGATGATCGCAATGCCAGTGGGGCATCTTTCAGGGGCAAGGGACAAGGCACCCGCGCCACAACGGTGGGGCCCTCCAGTTCTGCCAAAATCGCCAAGTTTTACCAAAGCGCCCGCCGGCCGTTACAGTTGATACCACGCCCCGTACCATTGCGAGCAGCCCGGTTAGGCGCCGCCGCATGCTTGATACTCCTTGATTGGCCGGGATTCGGCGATGGTGGTGATATTTCTGATCCTTTGGAGATATGTGCAGCTTTTCCATTTTCCGCCATTCGAACATTTGGCAGGATTGAATGAGAGGACGATTAGTCGTCTCTCAATGTGCCTCCATTGTTTGATACAGCATCAACAGTCCCCGCTGATAAGGCGGTATAAGCTCTCGCATACAAGTACTGACCGGAAATATGTAAAATCCTCCTCTTCCTCTAGGCATGCGCAACCGTGGATTCCAATAAAAATCCTTCCAGCATCAACCTGCCAGCTTCCATCACCAATCGGGGTCAATCACCGTCCACTAGCGTATGCATCTAGTGAAACGTCAATCTGCTACAAAGGTAGCATACTGTGTACTTCTGAGCTAAGAAGTCGAGGTTGGAGAAGGAAAGGGGAAGATGAAAAGGAGGAGCGAGGAGCGAACATGTCTGTGCTCAATGTTCCTCAAAAAACACGAGGATTTGACCGTATCTGCCTTGGGTGGCTTGACTGTACGGACTAAAAGAATGCACCCCACATCCCAAGTCTTGTCTGGGCATTGACATTCACATCAGTTGCTTTGACGCTGCCCCGTGCACTCAGGGATTAGGGTATCCTTTGCGTACAGATACCCAATGAGGACGGTATCCTTCTATATACGACCCTGTGCCACACGTGAGCAGACACCCAAGCTCTTGTGTTAGCATGCCGCTCTTTCTTCCCAGGAAAAAAATAGTTTGGCCAATTGGCTCGCTGTTACATTTGTTTGCTGGACCGATCATCTAATGGGAGGAATGCCAATGGCTTGATGAAAGCTGAAAGCAAGCCTCGAGACCAAAAAACACTTTTGCTGAAAGGGCAGCAGTTCAGTTCGAGTTGGGCCAAACAGCCAATCACCATGGCCGTTCAGGCTGACGAGTTCTTCAACTGCGGTGTTCACCGTACTGTGTCTGCGCCAGCATCAAGGAACTTTGTTTCCGACCTCGTTTTTCTCCTTCCTGGTCTGTACGAACCAATCCCCGTAATACTCAACATATTTCCCTGTTCAGCTCTGTACTTGATGAAAATGATGCGTATAACCCAAGATGATCATTATTATCAGGCATCATCTACTTCGACACCGGCTCAGCTAGGTGATGACAAACTCAGCTCTCTTCCCATTTCGTCTTTCGTTCGCCAATCGTTGCTGACGTTTCCGCAGAATCCGCGCCAGAACCACTATCGCTATCACTGACGGGACACCAATAGCCACAGCCAGCCCAACTGCCAGTGTTTTCTTGTTCTTAGTAGGAGAATCGCCGTTTTGGTCGTCTAAATTGTCTTGACCTGACTTTTGCACACCACGTCAGCTAGGACTGACAATCGCTTTTATTATGGCCCAGGCGGGAACCGTCTGTTTGGATGACATGACGAAGCCCCAAAGGCCCGCCACATCCGTCCAAGGCAAACTTACCGAAGATTGTCCGGTGCTTTGCCCATTCCCAGTCTCAGGCTCCGATATCCTAAAAACCGACGACTGCGCCAGTAAAGGCGGCAACTGATCCTCCTCCGTCCACCTCATCGACCACAGCTCAAGCTGATACAACCCCGAGGGAATCCATCTCAATGGATACGGCACACTCGTCCACTCATACGAGCTCTCCGTCATCCCGGCTGTTGTTTTGTCCAAGTTAGCACCCTCAACCTTGATCGACCTCGCGAACCAAGACCCTCCTCCGTGCCCCTTCCAGGAAGTGATTTTAAGCGGGTGGGAGAACACACCTGTAATATTCATCCTCCACGCGTCGGCCCGTATCCGTCCATCCTCGCTCTCCCTCTCTTGTATCACTTGCGCCGTGATGTATAACGGATAGTGTTCCCGCTTGACGCCTTCCCATGTTAATAAGAGGCTGGAGCCGCTGCGGACGTTGTCGAAGGAGTTGGTGAACTGTGCTGCTTGTGTCACCGTTTGGAAGAGACATATTGTGAGGAGAGCTGCCAGCAGCTTCTTTCCGGTGAGACTGCTTAGTGTCATCGTAGGTTATTATCGTCGAAAGGGTGTTCTCTCGAAAACAATCTTGTGCAATTAAGAGGCATGCCGCGCCCGCGCAGCTTGATCGAGACCGTACCGTGTTGATCACGATGTCTGGCTCCTTTACCAGCCTGATCTCCCTTCGAAGGCGACTCGATGATGAGAGAACTCGTATCGATGCTCCCTCAATACAGTAAGATGCGATCCTTAGACTTCACGAAGACGGTATTATCGAGCTCGAATGCTTGCGTGTTGATAGTGCTGTGCGAAACCGTCGCTGATGTTGACTCTGCTTCCCAGAACCATCTATCTCTCTCTGAAATTCCACAACGCGTTGTGGAATGAACAAAATGCCTTGTGTCATCCCATCCACCATCCTGCTCCCTTCCCTCAAAAACTCTTGTTACTTAAAAACCGCGAGAGAGATTACTTCCATTATATATATTAAGCTTTCTCACAATGATTGATTACGAGAACGTGACGACGGCCGGGGCTCATTAGGATAAATTGGCCCCATACTATACAACCCCAAACCCCAGTTGGTCAACCACTCACCTCTTTGCCGGGCCTAAGGGCTTGTTAAAAGTTGCCATTTTATCCAGAAGCGCGTGATGGAACCCCCGAATTGCCGTTTTGGGGGGGGGGGGGGAGACGAGTGCGTGGATCCGGTTTTGAACCCCGGGGATTAAAGTCCATGCTACGTCTCGGCAGGCGTGGCGCCGGAGGCACACGACTCGTGTGTCAATGACGGGCACCAGACATCTTCCCAGAGGAGGTCCGAGTAAGACCCCTACATAAGACTCCGGCATGCGCAGGATGCTCCGGAGATATCGGGTATAGTAGCAGCAGAAGACGGGATGGCTGCCGGCAGAAACTCCGTAATCGCTGCAGGCTGCGGCTCCGGTCGTGGCCGTCTAGTTTGAACGTCGCACCAGGACTGAAGTTAGGCTCTCATCTTTGGTCCCTATGCTGCGTTTCTTTCCTCCATCTGTCTTGTGATGCTTTACCTGATTTTGAACTTCAAAAATTGTAAATCTTCATTGAAGCATGCTTGTTCAGCTTTATTCCCATCGCCATTCCCCTTCGGTAGCTCTATACACAGATTAACCCCCTCGTTTTGTGCCGGCCGATAGACGAGTCTCATATCCGACAACTTAGTAAGATAATGTTTGTAAACTTTGGTTGTTAAGCTGATTTTAATGGTCGTTGTCGCACACGATAGCCGGACATCTGTGACATGTCGGGACGTCAACTGGACCCAGTCGTGATGCTGTCAAAGTAATCTGTCCCCCTCCCCGCCCCCCCCCCCCCCCCGAGCGACAAGACCGTCCAGAAGCTCGGGTTGATGGGAAATAAAATTGAGGCCCCGTAAACCACGGGCTTTTTCCTGTTCCCCATCATTAGGCATTCCCTCGCAGCTGCTACGAACCAGCCTGTGCTGACACGCATGACAGCTACAGACGCCATGGCCCCCAACCTGCCTCACACTGGTCCATCTCCCGGAACTACACTAGCGTGCTCTTACTGTCTCTCAATCACCAATCTCTCGCAGACATTGGACGTTGAAATCCTCATGCCGCGCCAGACGCGGAGCGCCATGTCGTCGGCATCACCCGGTGCAGTGCGAGTCTGCCCCTCGTTCTCCGCCTTTTCTACGCTTAAAGACGGGGACTTGCCTCTATTTCTAACGGACTTGGCTTGCATAAGCCGTCACAGACACAAGCTCCCAGCCCCGCTTCCACTAAACTGTTGTTGGTTTTCCAGCCCTATGGATACTGCACAGAGCAGGTGCAGGATGTCACAGGCCCCTGTCGCAGGACAGCTCTCCCAACTTCTGGGGCGTTTATTTACATACATTGAAGTGACTGGCTTGCTGATTCAGCCGCTGACGCGATGCAGGCCGCCGGATTGCAGAAAGGGCGTGCGAGTGGTTGGTTGTGTAGAGGGGAGAAATGATGTTGATAGGGCTCTGTTTTAGACCCATATTCTGCCGTAATTATGCTTGTGGGGAGGATTAGTAGGTTGCTCTGATGTCCTCCTGCGGTTTTTTTGTTCCATCACGAGTTCCTTTCTCATGTATAAAAGGCTCTTGGTTTCCCGAGAAGGCGTCGTCAAGCCTTCAACTTTCCAACTATCGACGAAATCCTTCGAGCACTATCTCCTACAGGGCGAGCCTTCCAACCACATCGCGGTCGAACCTATCATGTCAATACCAACATCTCCCACAGCTTCGGGGCCCTTCCTCACACCCACAACCATCACGAAAACATCAATGACAACCGAACCTCGACTAACCTCCTCCTCATCAACCTCAACTCCCATCTCCCCCACCCCCTCGACCTCACCAACAGATATTTTCTTGCCAAGAAGCCCAGCAATAAAGCACAAGCGAAGCAACAGCAACAGCAGCATCACACTCTCCTCCAAATCTTCTTTACCGCGCGTCGTGTGTTTGCGGAAACCCACTTTGCAGCAAGGGCAGCTGGTTACGCCTACGAGTTCTCCGGTAGCTATGATTGGGGATGAGTGGCCGAGCAGTTCGCCTTCGAGGTTAACCCCGGGTGGGGATTGATAGTTGATATTGGGCTGGGTGTCAGATTTAGGAGTGCCATGGTTTTCTAGTCTTAGGGGGCTGGATACGGGATCGGGGCTACGGTCCGGGGATAGGGTGCCGCAAACGAAGAGCAGCTCAATATCCTTAGATAAAATAAGGGAGCACCACCAAGATTTGACGGGAACCTGAGGTTCTTCGAATATACAGGCTTGACCTCAATCATATAGGACCATCTTGGGCCACCCCGCCATGCCGATTGAATGGTTTTGGGTTGCTTAAAAGTTGATCATGCTACTTCAGGACCATATCTTGACCAAACATCGGTACCTTTTACAGCAATTCTTGAAGCTATTATGACAGTGGGATGTAGCCCAACTCGTCTACCTAGAGGAGGATAGCTGTCTTGGGGGGAAAGACGGCAATATCTAACCGATCTTAGTGTGACAATCCATTCAGGTCTCCCGAGATGGGTTCGAGAGGTGCCAGGCCTCTGGGCCTGAGAGACAGGAGTTCTCGCACAGTCGGAATGATCGCTGTAATCACTAGTTGAGTAGACAACTGTTTGTATCGCTGACTGAAGAGCTCCTTCGTCCAGATGATCCTGCCTGGAATCTATATACATCTTATACACCCTTGTGGCTTCCCCTGTTCCTTCCTGCTCAATAGCAAAGACTGTTGAGAATCAATGCCTATTGACGTTGAGGAACGCTTGCCCAATACGTTGGGTCATTGGGGGCGGATATCTGGGTTTGATGGGTTACAACTCCCTTTTACTCCGATCAGTTGGTTGTTCTGAACTCACCCGTCTAGATTGAGTTCTTGTTGGTCGTCATACATTATGTTTGTTCTCTACGACGGTGGACACTTCATAGTATGATAAGAATTACACGAATGATTATGATTCGTTGTGCTATAGCGTTGTCAGAGCATATCGAGGACACAGAAGGACAGCACTCAAAACCGTAATAGGAAATATTGCCACTTTGGGAGCTTGAAGGGTATCTATAGATATCCAGATGGACCTTAGTTTAAACTTAGGTCTAACATTTACTAGTAAATAAGGATACAATTTTGTGCTCCAATGTACGAGATGTCCTAGATCTCTTGAACTATGTCTCACGAGAACACCATCTCTTCAGATCATGTAATCTTCAACTTAAGTAGCACTCGTTTGAATGCTCAAAATAACTATGATAAAGGTTAGCATCTCTAGCACATGGGCATGAACTCCACAAGGATTAGCTGCTTTTAAGCACAGAAGCAATTTATATGTCTCAACAGCTGTGCACATCCAAATATCTGATGCCTTAAGGATATTGGAAAGGAAGAAATTCTGAGATGCGTTATGTGTTATAGCTCCTAACCTCCCAAGAATATCCCTTCTACGTGTCTCAATTGCCCACATTTTCATTCTCATTAACAAAGTACCTATGTACATTGCAAAAAACCCTTCACATAATCAAGTTTCCGTCATGTTGTTTATATCAACATCTTCTAGTTTTTCAGTTCAGTATCCACCTCGGTCCTCGAACTACCAAAGCGAAATGCCAGATGTGACAAGGAAACACTCAAATCTGCGTTCAAGTGGACAAAGTTGTGTAAGGCTTCTAACAAAGGCAAAGATCCAATCAGCTTCTTTCGATGTGAAGTCGTAAAACAGCTTTGACACGCAAGCTCCACCCTGCTGTTCCATTACTCCCTGTATCATCATGCAATTCCTTCCCTCGAATTTCTCCATCTAATCCTCCGAGTCATTGTGCACGACCGGCAGTGTAGTATTCCCCGACTGCAGGGTTGCCTGAGCCGCCCTGTCATAACTTGCCGTCTGTCCACGTTGTCGCCATAATCCTTATGCCCGGTCGACATCTTGTCCTCCCATAAGTACGAAACCTGCGAATCGGACTCAGTCAGCATGCTGAATGGATATTCGTGCCTTTTGCATCATCGTCGATGGCGTATCGGGTCAACTTTTGTTGAGCCTTTGCCCACTACGACTGGCTGGATAGAGCTGAAAGGCCAGCTAAAACCCGTCGATTGGCCGTTCATCCTCACCCTGGTCAACCCAAAAAACGGAGGGCCGCCAAGAGATAACCTACGGATTTAGCCCACGAACAGTGTCCCTTCGGGCTGCTGTCGATCTCCGCAGGTTGCTATGTGCCGAATTTCACCCCGCAGCTGTATGTGGGATGTGGTGGTTCTGAGAACGAGTCTGGACAAGTCCAAAGGAGCTTTTCTGGGCCTATCTGGGCCAAATCCAGGTCTTGGAGAGAAGAACTTGTGGACTATGGATTTGGCCCGCTCTCTTCCCTGAGGATTGTGGAGGAGATTCTTTGCCCTGGAAGCTGCGCTGGAGGAGTCCGGCTGTTGCATTCCCCGCTCACAGGCGGACGGATTGCCCCTCTTCACTGTCAACTCCTCAAGCATTCGTAACGATGAGGGTTCAAAACGGATACCCGCCACTGAGCCCATTTGGATCATACCCAAACATTTCCGGTTTACCTAGCGGGTTGGTAATGGCAACAAGTCCAAAATCGATAGCTCCTGATATGGCAGTCCCATAGGCAAGCTCAACCTGCTCCTGCTGCTGAGCATACCCCCCCGGAACTGCACCAGCATCCCCACCCACAGCAAGCTGCGAGTTCTTCAGTGCCATGTACTCAGCATGGAGAGCGGCATAAGCCTGACTTAGCACATCGTTGCGCTGCCGGGCCTCATTGAGCATATGCTCAAGGTCGCGGATGCGCTGCTCTTTGCGCTCGCGGTAGGCTCGTTGGGAGGCACGGTTTTGGGCCCGTCGCCTCTGCGGACAGCATTAGTATACTTGCTCTTGTATTGACGGAAGTTAGAGAAAGAACTCTCTCATACCGACAAGACCGCAGGAGGAGCGTTTTTGTAGCGGTTTTCCCGCTTTCTTTTGAGTTTTTGGTCTGTTGTGGGTTGTCCGGGTTCGTTTTCTTCTGTGTCAGGAGTTGGGTTTCTGCTGGGGTAGTTACTGTTTGTGAAGTCTATCGCCAATGTCATGCCATACTACTGAGTTATTAGATCGTGAGCCAGGCCGGATCGAAGGAACAGCATGCCAACCGTTGAGCTGCCGGGACTTTGGGACTCAGAAAAGTACTGTTCTGGGTCTCCATACCCATAATAGAAGGAATTGTCGACAGCATCTCCGTAGGTCTCCATAGTGTTGGACACTCAAAAAGCGCTATCAAGTTTAAGGAGTTGCTTAACCAGATATACGTTAAAAGCTCCAGAAGTTGACAAGGCCTCTGAGGTTCAGGTGATCGGAAAGAAGGTTAATGAGGACATTCCTTCTCTTGTCGAGATGTTGGTTTCATCTTATAAGTCTCCGCCCAGTCCCCCTGAGCCATCTCTACCGCGAATGACAGCAGACAGCGGTTATGCAAGTGAGACGGTGAGAAGAAGTCCCCACGTGCATCCTGACATGGCTGCGGCGGCGTATTATCCAGCTACAGTGATGCTATCATTTGCCCACACCAACTTACATTTGTGGACTAAATAGGTACATAGATTGAGGTTTTGATGATTTGGTAATACGACCTAAGTCTGATTCCAAGACCGAGGTCGGGGAGTGGATGTAAGATTGGCAAGGGGGTAGCTGTTAGACTTCCGGGTGCAACAGATTCCCATAAATTCTGAATGCTTAGTCTAAAATTCTGTCAGCCACAAATAATGAGACTGAAACAGATATGCTAGTCGAAGAGAGAAGCTCAGTTTGCGATGCGGTTAGTTTTGGATTGCCCTTGAAGATTATCCATTGCTACCAAAATTTTCCGTTTTAAGTTTCATTTTGGCTTTAGTTCATGACAACACTTCGGGAAATCGGGAGCATATCGCATGGCTTAATGCTGCCGTCCGGCACAGCCGAAGCCCCACGAGGCTGTTGGTATCAAGGATCTCAGCTGGATACTACGTCGAGCCGCAGTCAGTCACACATTTCCCACGTGGGTGGAACTTGTGTTCTAGAGACCTATTGGTATGAGATGTCCACTTTTTGGTTTTCATAATCTACACCTAGCTCCGTTATGATTGATCTGTAACCAATATGCGAGGGTCGTTATTTTTAATAGTTCGGTTATTGTGCCAGAACAACCAATGACGGGCTATATTTTGCTATGTGTAAAGTATGCTGAGAGGTCATCATCCATGGCAAAGAACGATGGGGTGAGATGTTGGAGGCGAACGTTCGAAATTACTCGGATTGTCCGCCAATGAGAGGATTAGTTCTCACCATAAGGTCAGGTCAAACCGGACGCCTACAGCCAATACATTATCCGGCAGTATGAATCCTGTCCAATTCTTTGGGCTCATAATGTGGGTGAGGACGCTGTTGTCCGTTCCCCCGGGTGGGTGAGCACTTCACCCCGCCATCGTGAACTCCATCTCAAGGCGTCACCATAAAATCTCATCTGATTCGCCAAACCAGGATCTCAGCACTTGCTGGGTCGATCGTCTGTGCAGTAGCATGGTGCTTGGCCGACATGGATGTTTTTGATCAGCGATTGAACGGGGCGGCATCACCATGCAATGTCATCTGCGGCCATCACCTTCGTTGCTGTCGTCCGGGTATGTAAGACGTTGCGTTAAGCGAGGGGTATTAGCTGGGTTAAATTCCGGAGTAATATGGGCAAAATTCTGAAAAGGGAAACTTATAGATATTGTTGGCTGACATCTGACGTTCCTGAGCAACCGAAAGACGAAAAGAAAATAGGAAATAGCGATTCCGGCTTCAGTTCCCGGGTCGAGGCGCATCAGAACTCGAAGCGTATGACGAGAGTTGCATACGTGGATGCAACTGAGCGGAAAGCAGTAGGGACAATGCTGGAACAATAGATTGGATGTGAGGAGCGTGTTGAAGCTCAGGGTGACTCATTCAGGAGCTGTAGAACCACAGATTTCGTTCTAAATATGAGTTGCACCTCTCTTTCAATCACCTAGTCTTGTACTCATGCTAAGCTCCTCAAAAATTGGATATTAGATGAAAATCCTAGTAGAAAAGTATGGTACTCGGCCCTTGACCATGAGTGTGACCACCAGGTCTTGAGGGATCGCGAGGAACAAGGAGCTAAGAACAAGCCGAACCAGATGCATGTCAGATTCTAGCCGGCCACAGAATCAGGCAGCTGCATAAGAATGCATTTTATTGACTAGAATCATGTATGGATATGATGTTCGGCATCCGAGCCATGTTGATGTCGCGGCGACGGTGTGAATTAGCCCAAAAAAACGGTTTCGATCGTTGGATTAAGCCAAGATCCCCACCTTGAGTGGGGCAGGAGCGGCCCGAATGTTAAGCGGGGCAGTTTACAGAGGTACGTACCAGAGATGTTTACGAAAGATTTTTAACTCCATGTTAATTGTAACCATCTTATAAAGAACTTCCAAGACATAAGTTGAGTGGTGGGGATTTCTTAGGATGTTTCTCAAGGCTACAATCTATGATGAAAGCAGTGTTCCAACTCATGCGGCTTAGCTTCGCTTATTAACCTTTGCCATCTTGCCAAGACTACCATGTGGAGATTCTTCGGGCCATGGATCCACTCAAGGTCGGTTTCCAGAACACCTCTATGAACGCCATTGTTCGCTTTGACATCTTTAAGTCATAGAACAACTGTGTATGTGCCATATGGGAAGTTCCTGAAAGGATAAATGTGATGTTTAGGGTGAACATACCGTACTCTACAGGCGCAATGTACAGCTATCCATCATACTATCTATACACAGTGAACGAGAGTCCAGGTATATCTTACATATTAATTAACAGTCAGGCACTTCGTCTATGCCTGCTTCACACCTCCTTCAAAACTCCTTAACCTCTCCTCCGCTTCCCTAGCACACTCCTCCAGCCCCTTCTCCTTACTATATTTCAGCGCCTGCTCCAGCCGACTCCGCGCCTCGCTCTTCCGTCCCAACATAGAAAGCACCTCGCTCAGGTTCGTCAACGCCGCGGCGCATGCCTGATCACACTCAGGGGTGCGCTTATTGCCGAGTGGCTCTGAGGCATGCTTGAAAGCATTTTGAGCCCATCTCTGGGCTGCCTCGAGGTAGGATGCCCGTTGCTCGGCGGGTGTAGTCCATGTCAAAGCTTCGCCCATCATGCTGTGCACGGGGGCATCGCCGGGACGCATGAGGGGGTGTTCAGCAAAGCTAGATGCGATATTGTTCACTGTTGGTGGGTGTGTCAGCACTTGATGGATTGCCGATACGAGGGGGAGTGTCAGGGGGACGTACTCAGGACAGCAATGTGGCATTGGTCTTCGCAAAGGCGAAGAGATTGGAAATAAAGGGGGAGGGCAAGATGGTGTTGGCTCTTGTCGGTGTAGCTGCGCGCAAGAGCTGAAGTTGATATATTAGTGGGTTTGATATCAAGACGCAACCGTCGAAGACTCAGAGCTTGCTTACCCTCCATGCTGCCACCAATCTCTTCAGGCTTCAACCATTCACCCTCACCCTCTTTCAAGCCTTCCTTTGCCCTTCTCTGTGTTTCCCTGAAGATAGTCTCGACAGCCCAGACCAGCCGCTCATGAGCAAGCTCCCTCTCCAGGACATGCTCATCCGAATACAACTCCGCCAACTTCACACTAATCCCAATCGCCTTGCCCAAAATCCTCGTCCTCTTCCCCCACCACGTCTCAACCGGCAGCTGCTGTTCCGGCGGCGGAGTATCAGGGGCCGGCTCACCCTCCTTGGGCTCCGGCGGCGGGGACGGGGTCAAGGGTGGCAGGGTTCCCTCACGTGCAGCCTTCTCCATCGCATCGACCCAGCGCTTGCAATCACTCAGCAGAGTCTCCAATACGTCAATTGCGTTCCGGAAGCTCTGTATCTTCTCCAGCCACGCAGCCACCTGGATCTTGATGCCCATGACGTCATCCGAAAAGTGGTCCAGCTTAAACTCGTCGCACAGCTCCAGCGCCTGCTTATAATGTTTGAGGGCGCGCTGAGGGTCAATCTCGTGGTTGCTGTAGTAGAGCGCCTTGCGCAAAGCTTGGGCTATTGGCTCTGGGTAGCGGGTGAATTGCGGGCTGTAAAAGTAGTTAAAGTAGATATAAATGCAGTAGCCGGCGACGGCGAGGGCGGCTGCTATACTGTTGCGAGGTCAGCGCCGAATGTATGCTTGCTCTTCCCAGAACTAGGTGTCACATACGCAAAAATAGCACCAAATGCTTCTCCTGGGTGCGTCTTCATAACCTGTCTGAAGCTGGAGCTGCGGAGGTTATGCCATGCCCGCTTGGTGTCGTTAGCGATGGCGCGCAAGATCAAGCGGTTAAGTGAGGGCTTCGGCCCCTGCGCTCCCGGCTGGGACGGATTCCCCGGCGGGATGTTAGGAGGGGACGTTGAGTTCTGGCGACATTGGTCTTTATTTAAAACAACTAGGAGCGTCAAATGTTCATGCTGGGGATGCCTTGTATTTTGAATCCTCAAAATAAGGGGAGAATCGAGACGCGGACCTTGTTGTCCACGAAATCTCAAAGCTCTGGCGGACCGCAAGCTGGCGGCTCTGGGGAGGGGCATGCTGTGCGCTGGGCACACAAGGCCGATCGGCAACCGTGGTCGCCAAATAACGGTTTATCTGGAGAAACCAATCGAGACGACTGTTGGTCGTCTGGCTTTCAGTGTTGCAAAGAGGCCCCTCTCTCTGAAGTCAGAGGCGCAAGCTTGAGCTGTTGAGCTTCCACTGTTGTTCGTAATTTATTGTGGGCTTGTGTGTTTGCGATTGTAAATTTCACTCCGAATACACAGTGAGGCTTCCTTGAGATTACTCTTGCCTGCCTCAGGCATCATCATGAGTCTTGGCCTGCTTACGTCACCTTACCCCGCTATCGAGGCCCTTGTCGGGCTCAAACATCCCGAGGTTCGTCTTGGCTCCACTCGGACTCGAGCCCTCCTTTTACGGGATATTAGAGGAGACCATCTCAACGAGCTCGTCATTGAAAAAGTGAGAAGTGAGAATTAAGTCTAGCAGAACATCTTGAATTTTGAGCCGACCTCCTAGTTCCAAATCCTGATAACCAGCCTCTCCAATTACAAGGTCATCCCATCTTCAACCGCGTAAGTGCCCCCCGCCTTTGGTAGGATAATGAGGGGCAGTACCCGGCTAACAGCATTCTGTGATTCAGCATTCGCTGTTAAACAGACAAAGGCAACATGTCTGGCAAGTTCGAACCCAAGGTTCCGGTCAAGCTGGACCCTCCGAAGGATGATCCTATCACTCCTGAGGAGCTAGCCAAGGCGAATGGTATGCAACCTCATGAGCCCCTAAGCTGTGCTCTGTACTTGTCTTGGATATGAGGAACTAATTCGATGTTTACCTGGACGCAGGCGAGAATGGCGGGAAGTGCTACGTTGCGATCAAGGTATGACATCAGATGTGCCTTGAATATTTGGGGATCTTAATGTCCGGATTGCTAACAGCCCCCTTTCAGGGTCTCGTCTACGACGTAACTGGAAACAAGGCTTACCAGCCAGGTGGCCCATACCACGGTATGACATCCATGTGTGTCTCTCCCATTTCATTGCCCTATCTAATGCTTATTGCAGTCTTCGCTGGCAAGGATGCTTCACGTGCCCTGGGTAAGACGTCTACAAAGCCCGAAGATGTCCGCCCCGAGTGGCATGACCTGTCAGATAAGGAGAAGGGCGTGCTCAATGACTGGATAACTTTCTTTTCTAAGCGCTACAATGTCGTTGGGAAAGTTGTTGGGGCGACCAACTTCGATGACTCCCCATGAGAGTGGTCGTATGTGGCGACCATATTAGGGGGCAAAGAGGAGTACAGAGGGAGTTAGGGATAATGAATTTTTGTCCTTCACGTAAGTTTGCTTTTTCGCTCGCGTCGACATGTGGTTTCAAGGTCAAAAATGTAGCGCTATTTGCCATCATTCTATCTGTCTCTACGTTCAGGGCAAGACAAGGTCACCTACCACTTGTCTTGTTCGAGCTGAAAAGCTGATCGTTGAGCAGACTGTTAGTCAGCCGTGTGACTGTCCGCGTCAGCTCTTTGTTGTGGTGTATCAAGTGTGGGATACCAAACTGACACCTCCAGCGTGACAGGATGACGAAGGGGACGAGGAATTGTTCTGTCCAGGACGCTGTTGAATAAACAAAATTTCATGATCCTATACCGTATCGGATCCAACCAATGTTATTGTTTATTTCACGACGTTCAATATTCACGGCAGCGGGTAGTAATAAGAATCGGCACAGTCCTCCGCCACTTGTGCAACTCGAAAACCCCAGCTCATCAAGCACCGCCTTTGTGTAAGGGACTAGGTAACATGACGATTCCACCCCCGCGCCTTGTGTCTTACCAGCTGTCAATTCCGTCAGAAATCATCAGGGCTGCTTTGAGAAAGTTGGACAGATCGGCGCTCTCGACGCAAAGCTGCAGTGTTGGCCCTATGACTTTTGGCAGGTACACTGTGTCACGAACTAGGGCTGCATGATAAGGTCAACGGTCAATTAGTAGGCAATTGGTTGGATATCAGTTTATCTCGACGTCATTTTCCCGCTTTTATGTCAACGGTCTTGCGTGGTACCTGGCAGAGACGATGCAAACTGAAGAGCACATTGTTTGTCAACCGTGGAGCTGGAGGAAATGACGGGATGTAAGGAAAGGAAACGGCAAACCTTTCGTGATCAGGGGCATGTGCACTGTTTAAGAGACCTGGTTAGGGACTGACTATAGGACCACGATTAGAAGCGTATGATTTGGATCTTTCGGGATATCCGTGAAAACCGTGGTTTGTTATATTTGAAGTCACTTGGGACTGCTGGACAAGGTACGTGAGAGACAAGTAGGTATCCAGACATAGCGACTTTGGCCAACTGAAAGTTGAATCTATTTGTAACCTATTGATAATGGGAATATTGGTTGAGTCCAGCTCCGCCAAGCCCAGGTCATGAAGTATATGCATGGCCATACCTCCAATGCCGTCCCAGACGCCCAATCTAACGGCGGGTATAGCTTTTTGTTGGTAATGGTGGATTTTCCAGGACTCACAGAGTAGTCCAGGCCACCATCCCGGAGGGTTCCTCATGCCCTATCTCCTATTCCAGTCACATGTTAGTTGGAACTGTCTTGAGAAACTCACAGACCATTGGATTGATTCCAAACCTCTAGGTGCAACGGAACACCAACCTTGAACTCATTGTTGGCCCTGATATTGGCCCTGTTGTTGTTCTAACTGAGCTCGAATGCAGTCATCGCATGGGCGTCCCTGCTCGTATATATTCCGGAGTTTCTTAACTCGATTGCACCAGTGCTTGGGATGATTACGGGCGAAGTGGCAGTAGCATTTGAGGCGAAAAACGGAGTGGTCGCAAGTAAAGAGGTATTCGTCGAAGTCGCACATGTCGTGATGGTAGATCGAAATCAAGGGAAAAGAATGTGATTGATGGTGGTGCACGCAGATTGGTTGTAAATTGAACGATTACAAAATCAAGTCACTGACTGAAGCGAGATACGGGACTAGCCTGAAAGTTATGTAATGGAGCTGTTTGATATCATGGGTTAACTCGAGGGTTTGGGCGATTACTTGGCCTTATATAATCGACGACAACAATTGGCAGGTTGGAAACACAAGCCAACTTCACTCAGATACTAGCAGCATTCCTTTTCCATCAATCAGGGGACAAGATCACACACAGCTTTTGATTCTTTGAAGCCTGCGCGACGACGCTTCTAATCCCATGCTAGATAAATCCATTAAAAAGAGTATCACCCAGTAGAAGTGAGAATGGGTGTGAGGGTAAAGGAGTGCTCGACGATTGATTAGAAGTGACAGATCACAATGAGAAAGAAACGGTCCAATGTTATTCGTCTGCAGGGCTATTGTGTTGCATGAAGGGCAATGATGGTCACGGCCTTCTGTCCCAGATATCTTGGCCTGGAACTCGGGCAGAGTACACGTCAAATTGCAATCAGGGGCAAACCGCAGGAACTGGACGTCGGGGTAAGGCAACTCGGTAACAGAGGATGCTAACTGGATGCCGACGGACCACAAAGAATGTTATCATAGCACAAAGAACTATACGATGATGGAACAACGGCCATCGAATGCTTCCCAAAGTTTACGCCCTGCTGGCCAGCCAATGCCCATGTGAACAGTGAATCAAGCATACATCAAGTACTCCTTGGACTTGGGAACGGGTCATGGGCCCTATCAAAGAGCTTGATTTCTACGCCGTAGCATCCCCGAAAAAAAATCAGGCTACTTCGCCCAGAGAGCCATTCAACGTAGGTCAGCAATAGGTATACGATAGATCCACAGAGATGAATTGGGCTCGAACATGTACTCCTAGGAATGCGCAGTGGCTGATCACTTGGCATCAGTCGCTCGATGGCATGATGCAAGCGAATTGAAGGAGTATAGTTGCGGCTATTCATCCGGCCCAACAGCCAGTACTCATAGTTGACATGTCAGAACACCTTACTGAGCAGCGGAGAAACCTCGGTCAGTGATTCTTCACAAGCGGTATTAATATTCACGACAGTAAAGCGAAAGATGCCATTTAGAGCTATGGCGGCTTGACTTCCTGATCAAATATGAATACTAATCGTCTCCAAATACCATAGTGTGTGTAGGAACAGCAAATACAATGCCTACACTTCAAACCCAGACCTATGGGTGTCGATGGCTTGAGACAGGCATCTAGTGTAAATCAGAGGGACCCAACCGGGCCACTTCCATGTCCTTGGTTGCGAAGCCAAGAGGGACGAGTCAAGGACACTACGATGAATAACATGCTTAAGACATAGCTATTGTTCCCAGGTCAATTCAAGATAAAATGTTTAATCGTTTTCTGCAGTAAGCAGGGAGGTGAAAGAGGGGTTACCTCGGCGGCTCTGCTAACACGAGGGATGTTGGAAGGTACGCAAAAAAAAAAAAAAAAGAGAAAGAGAAGAAAAGAGAAGAAAAGCTTAGCATTTTGCAAGTTGATAGAATCCAAGTCAGCGGGTATAGATGTAAATTGACAATTTTATGAGGATGTTATTGAAGGCACGAAATCTGATTGCATCCTAATCCCAACTCTGTTGCTGTGGCTTGAGTTGGCACTGGAGTATCCTTGCTGCTTGCATTCGGCGATCGTCTGGCCTTAACTTCCCGATGCACTTTCCATGCCGACTCGGGTGTATCCAACAATGATACTTCGAAGGAGCAATGCTGCAAGTGTCCGCATGTTTGTGTTGCACATATCTTCATCTCAACAGAGTGCCAGAGTTCACACATTGCATCGCTGAATCATGGCAAGGATCACGTGTATAATCACGTGGGAGATGAGACGGTTTGTTGCCTGTATGTTTAGGCCTCCATCCTTCAATCATCCATCCAATAACTCCCCCAACATTCACCGAACGCTCAAGCCTGGCTTGGGCCAATCATTTCCCTGGGTTGAAACGAGGCTGCTTCTTCCCCGCTGGCCTGCCTGTTCATCTCACCTTCCGCTGCGCCTCTTTGAAGTTCAAGAAGCTTTCACCAGTCACCACACCATTCTCTTGTTTCTCTTCCCTGGGATTTTTGGTGTCGGCACTTGACCACTTTCTTCAATTTGATTGCCACGGCCACCTATACCAGCCCTATTGTTGGGAAAGCCTGTGCTTTCCAACACACCTTAGTTCTTTGCAGCGATACGGCCTATTGGTGATTAAATCGCTTTCGATTGGATCCTGATCTGGGAACTTCTCGGACGAAGATATCAGTGATTGAGCAGAGTATTAGATAACCCATCATACATCATAGCTCCTCCGCCGAAGCCTAGCAGAATACAGTCAACTTGAGAATGCTACTGGGGATGTTTGCGGCCTTCTACATCCAAGCAGGCACAACTCCGTGATTGATCTCAGTCTGGATCGAGCATTGCTGCCGACTTCGGTCGCTGTCTGTTACTGGGATCGACAGGCCAATTCCCCCATCTCAAAGAACTCTAAAGAACGTATCAGCGCCCCGGCATCTTGGTTGTTTTAATGTAATCATCCTTCTTGTTTCTATATCTGTTCTTTTTCATTTTGTTGTCCTCGTCCCGAGCAAGTCGGTTTGGCCTGGTCTTCCTAGTTGCACATTTGTCGGTATCCCCATGACGGGGCATCTATGCTTACGGAAAGCTACAGCCTTTATGGCCAGTCTTGTTAACCTAAACTACATAGTGGTTCTACTCTCGCCTTAAAAGTGCTGTCATTTGTCCGTTTCTCGAGATGCCGCAAAATTTTCCTTTTTCTCGACAGGGTCACCACCCGGTATGGCTTGCAATTCCCAGGTTTATCTATCATTGATGGCTTTCGCTGACCATTCAATCTTTTAGCACTCAACCCTACCTGCACAGTCAAGCGAATTTGCAGATTTGTTTGGCGTAAATGATTCTGCGAGACTATCAGCTGCCCCTCCAGCAGTTCCTGGAGCTCAGTCATCTGGATCCTCCTCTGCTGCTGTACCCTGCAATGCGAACATGGCCATCTTCATGAATAGCGTTGCTCCTGGCAACTTCTCACTCAGCAGCACCAGGGTCAGTTTGCTAAGCAACCCTGATCCTTGGAATCCTCTTCTTGCCGTGAGCATGCAAGGATCGGCGAGCTTGAGCAAAGGGGTGGGCAACTATTCTCAAAGCCAAACTTATCAGCTGAACAACGTATCGCACTTCCGCGACCCAGTGCCCACACCATCAGAGTCATCCGTTGTTAGTCATGGCGATCATGGTGTCCTTTCAGACTCTGGATATGTTAGCATGAATAACAGGCGGAGTGTGGGAAACCGCTCGCTCTACAATGAAGATCCGAATCTGGAGACACAGAGTCTAATTAGTCACTTCCAATCGAGACTGAGCCGCGCTTTTTCAGAGCTGGAATCACGATCGCAAGGAAACCAGATACAAAATGCAGCACCAGCGAAGAAAATTTCATGCGAGTTCCCTGGATGCAAATTTATTTGCAGAACTCGATCGGAATTCAAGTAAACCCTTTCCCACCTTCCTTCATATCCGTATTTTTGCAAGTATGGCTGACATTTCTGGACAGAAAGCATAAGGCCAGACATGAAAGACCTTGGAAATGCCCAGACCCAGATTGCAAGAAACATATGTGTGGCTTCAGCACGCGAAATGATCTAGATCGACATCTCAAATCCGTACACAAGATGGTTACCCCAAACACTAAAACCACGATGTATCGTTGCCCCTTTGGGCAGTGCAAAGATATCCAGAAAGATTGGCCAAGAAAAGACAATTTCATCCAGCATTTGAAACGAGTACACCATCTTAGTGAGCCCATAGATGTCAACCATTTCTCCCATCAGTACGTGTCATCTTCTTTTATTGGTTAAACTGGCGCTAACGTGCTTTAACTTCAGAGTTGCCGCTTCGCCAGCGCCTGAAGATCTCGCTGGCCTTGGATCCCAGCCCCTCACGGTTGGTCAAGATGGGAAAGTCCAGCCATACTCTCAGTGGCCTGGGCTGCCTGCAGATTCTTCCTTCCATCTTGCCTACATGAACCGCGATGATGTTGATCCCCGCGGATATGCTCAGGATGTCCAAGAGGAGCAGCTTTTGCCGATCCCCCAGTCACTGGTCTTAGATTCGATGGCTTCAACCACCGGAGTCCAGTTGCAAGCGCAAGATGTTTTCCAGGGTATTAGACTAAAATCTTCAATATCAGAGTCACATCATGCGGCCATAGAGCCATCTGGTGATGGACTGCATCAACCTGATCCCGTGATAGAACCCAACTCTCACGACTATGGGCTCTCGCAGGATGTTCAACCCCAGTGTGACCAGGTCTCAGCATCACAAAATCCCCCCCTTAACCCATCGGACAACTCTTTGCAAATAGAAATCGTGGTAGATGATTCAAGTCCTAGCAACATGTGCGACCCTCCTGGAGTGGCCCATATTGATACTCCCAGGGCATCACCATCGATTACTCAGCCATTGCCCACTGGTCAGGACAGTTCGGACTTGGCTGATCCTATCAACTGTCTGCCATCAGATCTTTTACTGCAATCACCTGCACAAGAATCGATGACTCGATCGCCCAGAGTCGAAAAATTGTGTCAGGGCTATACTTCATCAGAAAATCAGGACATTGTTAGAGTCGCAGACCAATCATCTGGCCATGACCTTGATATGGGGCGAGAATCTTCATCGAAGGATGGCTCAGAAGGAAGTGATGCTGCGGAAGATAGATTGGGCGGCTTAGATGTAGGACAAGCAGCATCCATTCATACAGATGAAGGGGCTGCTCAAACTCGCCTTCAAGGTTCATCTCCCTCTAAGGGAAATGAGTCGACGCCAAACACTACCCTACAAACCGATCCCGTTAATGAAGCGCAAGCAAGCGAGTTTCTCAAAGCGTTGATGAGACAAGGCATTCTTGACAAACTCTTGACAGACATCGGGTATCATGGCACAAGGGAGTCCCAACCCGCTGGGCAGGAGCCGGCAACCCAAGTGTCTACCCCCTCAAGCATCACAGCTCCCCGCAGCGAAGGCAAACATGCTTGTAAAACATGCAAGAAGTATTTCAATCGACGGTGCGAGCTCAAGTAGGTCAATGTTCTTATTCTTTCCTGTTTGTTGATCCCCTTTGGGCTAAAGGATTAACCGCAAATTAGAAAGCACATGAAACGGCATGATAAGCCCTATGCATGCACATTTCCTAGATGCATCCAAAGCTTCGGTAGCAAGAACGACTGGAAGCGGCATGAAAACACAGTGCACTCGAAACTCCAACTAGAGGTCTGGCAATGTACCGAGCCAGATCTCCCTCGTCATAATGCGGCCAGGTGCGCGAGGATGTACTACCGCAGAGAGTCACTCAAGTCCCACATGGAAAAGGATCATGGCATCATAGATAACGATCTTATCGAGAAGAAGCTCACTGATTACCGTCATAGGGGCAATTTTGAATCGCGGTTCTGGTGTGGCTTCTGCCGGAAGATCATCGAGCCGTCTGAGAACAATGGTAAACCTGAGTTGCTCGAACGCTCACGCTTCGACCACATTGACCAGCACTTCAATGCCAAGAATGGCTTTCCGAAGGCCAATATCAAGGAATGGAAGTACCTTGATGATTCTAAGTCCCTCGAGGATTCGTTAGGAGGTGTTGCACCTGATTCAGAGCGTCTTGCACACTCTGGGAAACGACCTATTAGCTCGCAGGACGAACGGGTCACTAATATTAGCAGCTTTGACACCAATGGAATATTCAACTACAACAATGGCATCGGTAGTTCCTGGATCAGTCAAGTCAACTACAGCGGTCAAAGAGACAACAACAGTGACTCTTACACTAAGAAATCGGGGAGAGAGTACCGTTTCTGGGTCTGCGTACGTGCCATTCTCTGTTCTCCCTTTACTAACTGGCGTAGCTATCTCAAGTGGCTAATCGTCATGCCTGGGTTTAGTGCGGCTGTGGCTTTGTCAATACCATCGAGACCGCAGTTGTATGTGTGAATTGCAATCACACGCTGTGCCAAAATTGCACAAAGAGCCGTTATAAAATGACTGAACGTTCTGGCGATATCACAATGACTACATGATGGCTATGTTCAAAGCACCCTACCATGTTTGGCAATTTTTGAGATGTTTTTGGGCTCGGCTTGATAGACATGCCACTGGATTTGTGAGAGAGTGTACCTAGCTAGACAAGACCTCCCATAACGGTACATTGCTTAATCGATGTTTGGGAAGAATCTAATCACGTTTATGACACTCCTCCTTCTGCCATTACATTCCATTGTAGTCTGAGATTGGATTGAACTACTCCTTCTCCCTTTGATGAACGCTTAAATGTGTTGGACATTGGACTGTGCTGACGCGGTCGTGTTGGCTAAGCTGAGGGTGTGGTGTGCCTGGGAATGGGGGCCGCGGAGAACATAGAGAAATAGGGGTTACGGAGCGCAGCTCGGACCATGCTGAGTTTGGCTCCTCATTACAACGCATTCTTGGGTTTGTATTTCAAACGCTCCTTACTTGGACGTGGAGTCAACTTCGACTCCAATGATATAGTAAACAAAGACTGCAGTTTCATGCCTGGCGGACGTTGCAGATATCCATCGTTCACTCAAATACTTCACATATCCTGTGATCTAACAGATGGACGAAACCGTTGGACAGATACACGTACTGGCCAGTCCATCAGTTTCTTGACGCCTATTTGAAATTTGCTGTCCGATCCATGCCATCTCTCCATCACACCCTCTCAGCCAGTCATTCATGCAGCTTATCCGGCAGCCTTCCCGGTCCCCGGCACTCTACCCACCTCAGTAGCTGGGCAACAGTAACACGCAACCCAGCCCGTAACCACGCGCTCTCTTCCTTGAATAAGACCAGTGCTACCTTTGTAACGGGGGACTTGGTCTGGTGCAGACAGGGATTGACAATTGGTCAAATGGGTTAGATGGTAACCACTGACATGTGGGTGCACAACGAAATCAACTAATACGTGTAATAATCTTTCTTAGTCCTCAATGTCCTTGTGTTAGGGAGGGGAGGAACCAAGAGAAGTCCTTCATCGTGTCCGGGCAGCTTCCTTTAAGGAATCCTCTTGCCCTTATGAGTGCCTTGGCCTTCCAGGCTTTTCAGAAGTCTTGTCCTCCTGCCTCAGCCATCTGGCTAATCCGGTCGTGTGACTCCATATATCTTTCGCGATCAGTCACGTATTTGTGTCGTTAACAATCATTCTATCTCTGGTGTCCCTTGTGTTGGCACTCGGGATGACACCCCTTTTTTTGGACTGCCGTGTCCGTGTGACAACCTTGCCCACCGCAAGACAGACATTGATCGGATGCTCTGACGCTGCTGCCGTGCCCTTGAGTCCATGGGGTGAGTCGCATCTGCTCATGCAGTCGACCTGCCACCGTCCCCCGGGCATCCGGCATCCGATATCCGCCAGCAGCGGCAGCAGCAGCAAAAGCAGGAGACGCAGGGGACGCAGGAGAGAGAGCGGCATCTAAAATTAGTTACGTATGCCGATAACGGTCCATACATGAAGAGTATAAAGACGATGAGGTACTTAAAATAGGCTTAGCTTGGCAGATAGCGGCGAGTCGAGCTAGCGGAAGACAGATGTCGCTTGTCAAGTTGCAGTAGTGGATGTAGAGCGATGATGCCGAAGGGGGAGGAAGGGTGGATTGGCTCGTACAATGGATGGCGCGAGAGGAAGCACTTTGTGAGCTTGGCAACGTACGTACAGTAGCTGGGCTATTCAGCCTGCCCAACCAGGAGAAGAAATTTTGATGCAGTTCCGCTTTGCGCGAACAATGGGAGGTGGGGAGGCGAGGCTTTGAAGGGTCATATTGGGATGAGGAAGCAGAGTCAGGCAAGCGCAGAGACACCGCACACCAGGTTCAGGCTCGCTGTGTTTGACTTTCTTTCTTTGCGAAGCCAAACATTTGCATCGGAAAACGGTATTTGACCATTCTGGCCCGGGGGGGGGGGGCGCGGCAACGGCAATGAAGGGAGAAGGGGTAGGGGAGCATGTTCTAACGTTGTCGTGTTTGGGGTCGGCGAATACAGATGCACTTGGGAAGCCAAGAATGGTAGAGCCCAAAGCCATACAGTATGCAGGAACATATCCTGCGGCAAAGGGTCAACTGTTCCTTAAGAAAATGGTGGGTTGAAGATGAGGTTGTCCTACTTGATCTCCAAGCACCAAGCCAACTTGAGTTGAATCCGGCCTAATGGATGAATCATAAAAGAGCCCCTGGAAAACCCAACACGAGGTCTGTTTCACGTTGTTGAATCTCGATGAGATGTCCTATTGTGATTTGATGTTTTTGTGTGAAATAACGATAGGTCAATGTCTCAGGCCAAGGACTCCGGAACGGGGCTGCGATTCCGAGGAAATGGAAATGAGAGCGGGTGACTGAAACTGGGTTGCCATCCGGCTGGGTTGGGTGGTTGATTGGAAGAGAGATTGGATTGTGGGATCAGAGTGTCAGAGGGGAACAATAAGATTGTGAACCTATGAATGATCTTGCCGAGAGAGTAACGCGTTCCGTGTGACCTTCGTTGATAGGGAGATCATAATCACCACCAGAAGACAAAAGGAGGAGCAGTTGTCTTAGGCGTCGAGCTCCCGGACGTTCTTGGCACGCCTGTCTTCACTTTTGTGATCATTAATTTGACATGACAAAGATCATTTTTGGCATTATCAGAACCATAACAGAAGCCCAAGTGATCTGGCTTTCTATGTGGTCCAAATACCGATGTGGAACCTGTCTCACGCCCATATTTAACTTCGCCATGTCCAATTCGATAGACGTTGTGTGAAGTTATGTGAAAAACGCAAAAAAGGCAGGGGGACTTTTTTTTCTTGTGCTGTCTTTCTCTGCCCTCACTAACTGGACACACGAACAGGGATATGCAACGTTCCCGCCAACTACGACAGGGAGAACGGAATGAGTGGTGCAAAGGTGCACGCCAGATTTTTTGCAGAGATCTCGCTGAGACTGAGTGACTAACACAACTTACACAGGACCAGGGTGCTGGTAAGTATGGTAAGTTCTTCCCAAACTAGCTAGGGAGGTGGCGTGTCATCTCTTGAGACTTTGAATAGTAGTAATAGCACATCCGGAGTTCTCTAACCTGTACTGTCTAACAGCATTTAGACTAGACTATGAGTAAGTGGCATACGGATGTCGACGTCGTCATTGCTCATTCCGAGAGACTAGACGAATCGTGACGGCGGCAAGATGGCTGGGCATTTTTTGATATGTAGCCACCGTTGATGGTATCAAGGAATACGTAACCTGTTGTCGTGACTGAGAGAAACCTTGCTGGTGTCTTGCTACCGGCACTTTGGAGTGTGTCTAGTTCTCTCTTCCCCTCTCGGCTACCGGCACCTAGTATAGTCTAAGATGTTGGCTCTAACCATCACCGCCACACGGGTGGATGCCGCCAATCCCTTTTTCTTTTCAGCTGCTACTTAGCGCTGGAAGACCTCCTAACAGCGTAAACAGTCAGGTAATTGTGTCTATCCCCTTTCAAAAAATCTTCTTACAGCAAGCAGCTTCAGGTTATTGGTCCAACTTACCCCTCCTCATCACCAAGTAAGCAAGTACCCTCTATGCACACCAATGCAATGCAGGATGAATAAAGAATCACAAGGATTGGCCATATATAGCTGCCCTGCGGCCACCTCCCCGCATCTGCGATTGCTTTCCCACCACCCTCTTAGAGGATTTCATTGCCGGGTGTAGACTAGCCTTTAACAACAATTAGTTTATAACTTTGTTTCCCGCAGGAATGGTAAGTTGTTTGGAGATATTCGTCGTAATAGACTGATTCAGCGTCGGAAAGTTCCGAACACCAGCTTCCAGCACGACCAGGGTCTCGATCCGGCCACCTGGTTCTAGGATCTAGCCGCGCATATTAAGCCTTGCTTGTGTCGAGACTTCTTGCTAAATAAGTGATAGGACGCAAGGATACCCTTCTTGCAGCAGATTCAGCTTTTCATGGGTATATGTATGTAGAATTTGCTGTGAATCTCGTGTACATACACACCTGATTGGATCTGTCAAACCAAGTGGATATGGCGCCTATCGATCTTGCATTTCCTTGCAAAGCATGCGTCTCGATAAGCCGACAAGATGAGCAGAAACGTATGTATGGCTTGCGGTGAACAAGAACTTGTGTTTGATGCCATTCTTGGGGTCATATTTCGTAGACAATTACCAAGACATACTACCAGGGACGCAACTGCCTGACAGGCTCATCCGTGGTTCATCGCCTGGCACCAGATCTTTAATGCCCAATGCGAGAGTGGTGTATCAGAGATGTCTCTTGAGCTTTCTGAGAGTCAGTCCTCCGTTTAGTGGTCTGGAAAGAAATTTGGGCACATATTTTGCTCTCAAGTGTGGCTTGAACCATTCATGCTCTTTTACGCGAACGCTATCTTGTGCGCCGTTGCACCAAACAGGGTCTAAAGCTGGGTAGCATGCGAAATCCAGTCGTCGTCCTCTACGCCAATTCTGCTTGCGAAAACACTGATTGGTATCTTTGCAACCAACGATACATCACAACTTGACCGAATAATAGGAATCATAGTCGACATGGACAGCCAGCGGTGGTTGCAGTTATGCCAAAGGCACTGTTGGGCTTCTCCGGAATGTAGGTTCTCTGTAAGGCGCTTCTGACAAGCCATGGGCATTTGATCAAAAAAGGGAACTTGTCTCGACTACTTCATACTGCTTCTTGGACTGCCTACACGGCAAGAGGCATCATAGAGGGATGTAAGCTCGCTCCCAGATGTGGTAAATAAATCACACAGAGAGGTGTGAGTATGATGAGATGCTGTTCTGCAAGCGTTTCCTGGGTTGACTAGGATGACTAAACTCGATCGAAAGTAGCGCTGCAACGGTGGTGGGGACGCGGATCTCCATGGTTGGTACTGAGATTCTAGATGGCATATCACGGTACGTGGGGCGTTCAGGGGAGGCTTTAGGGCTGAGGATGGTGTTATTTGTCCCAGTGCAAGACGCGAGATGGTGCGATCAACTACCGATGTTGGATTTTAAGACTTTCTACTTCCATATCGAGCAAATCGCGGCGACGGTACTTGATATCCTTTTTTGGACAAAGACAGTCGAGATACTGGAGAGTACGGTCTGTCATGCGGGCATTCAAACTCTACTGGGACGGAGGGCGAAGCGATCGCTGGGATCCCCAACAGCTGGGTACCAGCAGGTTGGTGTGACCGAACCCATGTACAAGGCCAGGAGTTGCAACACTGTGGCCGTCTGGGGAGTACGAACCCCACGCTAAGGAAGGCAGGAGAGCATAAGACACGATGCTAGCCAGTGGTCAAGCTATCGAGACTCGACCGGCGGCAGAATTAAAGTGTTCATGTTTCCAGCCCATGCAGGCCTTTGGCAAAGCGATCACGCATTCATGCTTGGTTTAAAAAAGAGTTCACAAGCACAGCCACAGCGGTGTGGCCTTGCGGCAGACTGACTGTGTCGAGTCCGGAGATAGGGTGTTGTAAAGTCCTTACGTTCAAGTGCTAAAAAAAAAAAAAAGGTCAATATGATCAACCACTCCATCCAGCACCGTGCGCTGTTGAGGGGGGCGAGCCCTCGGCGCAGGCCCGAAGCTTCAGCGATTGCGATCCACCAGTGATCTGCGATTCCCCAGTTCCACCCGCCCCATCGGGTCCACTCTGCCCTGTAAGTGGATTACTCAGTGGACCTCTCTGAGGCTTTAGCCGTGGGTGCTGGAACGGTAGTAGCGGGGCGCTCCCACAGGGCCGGTCCGTCTCGCGCGGCTCGGGGTTGGCGTAGTACCCTAGACGCCTTTTGCCTTCTTGGGCGGATGGTCGCCTTGCCTTGGCTCTCTGTCCCCTGTTGTTAACTTGGAATTCTATACACGCAGGTCAGCAGACCTTGGGCACTCTTGTTTAAGATTGTTGCTCGGTGATTGTTGCGAAATACTTCTCCTGACACTACCAGAAGGCCATGAATGCCGGCCAAGAGTGGCATCGATAGACAGTCTTACGATTAACTCGCCTGTGCTTTTTCTTCAACTTGCTCGTTGGCAGCTGTGCCTAGCCAACTATACGACAGACCATGACTTTTCCAGGACTCCGAACCTGAGAAAGCAATCATCATCTAGCTGCCACCGGCTCATTACTTCACGACACGCAACGCAAGGTCGTTCTAACCGAAGACAGGATTGCATCGGTAACCTTATCTGGCCCAGAAACATGGGACGCCTGGTAAGTACACTGCTTGATGTACAAGTACTGTACAGTTTTCACACTGTGACCGACATGCCCTGCGGCCCGCTCTGATCAAAACATCGCGCTCATTAGGCCGCCCATAACAGCCCGGCAGTAATGGGCGCCCAGAGCATCAAGCGCACACGCCCAAGTATACCGTGGAGATCGTTCCCTTGCTGTAACGTTGACATGGTCGCGAACCACCACGAATCCAAGTGATCGTGCCCTCCAAATCTGCCCTCGATTATGGAGCAACTGCGCAGGTTTGTGCCATCCACAGCTTGTGGTATAGCTAGATGTCGGGAGATTGTGCGAAATCTCGTCATATCGATGGTAGATTGTCCTGAATGCGCCTACTTTGCATCGGTTAGAACGAGAAACCCTCGTAGATCAACGTTAGACCATTTCTAGCTGGTCTTGGCTGAAGTCCCCTACTCATCTCATTTGCTGAAAAGCGCGTTAACACGCCATACCGCCCGGCTGGGGGCGTGCTGTGAGATGACTGGCTTGGTCTATGCCAGCCCACGTTTATGCGGGAGTGGTTTGTTCGACACCACCCCCCTGGGGCCTATGTTCTCCTTGGCTCCGGGTCACTCAGAAAGACAAGGATGACGCTCGTTGCTAACTAGCTGAAACCCCCATGCGGCTCTGCAGGTACGTACCTGGCCGGCTCCCAAGGTGCACACCCCGTTCCTCCGGGCTCTCGTTTGGAAGGAATGCCATTCCCAATTCGCTTACAGTCGCATTCTCCCATGCCTACCCGACACACTGCTACCCTCCACTAGTGTGCCGGTAGCGCTGACAACTGCCATAACCTTCATGAGCTTCCAGTCCTTATATACCGACCGAGGTTTGCCACTTCCAGTCTAGTCAACCTATGCCTTATCCCATGATCCTCCAGTCAGGCAGTCCGACGTATAATTAAGTGCTGTGCTACTGCCGCTTAATTCTCTCTCGAGTTGTCTCTCTTTATTCTCAACTTGAACACCCTCAGCATACACTTCACTGCCCAAGTTCTGTTGACCTTTGACAGTCAAAGCTCTACTGCACACTCGCTTCCTGTCACAGTCGCTCAGATACTACTACCCCGCGCTTGCTACCTTTGTCTCTGCCATCTTGCATTAGATAAACCGAACAAACATGGCGACCGTGTACCCCAACCCCATCATGGGGGGTTTTCCCCTTTACGAGCACGGTCATTTCTCCCAGACGGAGAGTCCCTTCGAGTTCGTCGACCCCGTTGACCCAGCGCTGAAAGACTTCGCTCCTCAGATGACCTCGGTGTCTTATGGAACGACGACCTATGCATGGGCACCGCTCCCCAGCTACGTTAGAAAGGATGACCAGCCATGGAGCATGTACCATGCCACTATATCTATGCAGCCGCTGCCCAGCTGCAGCTTGCCCAGCATGGCGACTGTGCCTTCCCCGTCTTCTGCCGCTGCCATCAGCCCCAGACAGTCTCCATCTCTCCTCAGTCATGGCGACACTGAGTCGCGGCACGACAGTTTCCCCAGAACTCCCGACCTAACCTCCTCGCCTGCCACTCTGTCTTTGGATACCCCCTCCGATATGCAGCCCCTGCAGCACGCCGGCACTGGTGTTGGCGTCCCAGATTATGTCAACCCTCAGGACGTCAATTACCAACAAGACTATCCCGTGGCCGAGCATGATGCCTTCTCCCGGTCATCGACTTCAACAAACGGTATCGATTACTATGCCGGCAGCGATGACGAGCCTGGCAATACTACCTATCCGAATTACACCTACAGCAGCGTTGGCGTTACCACGTCGATGGTTTCCAACATCAATGCGGTGACCTCGGGACCCGAATGTCATCTCTCAAGCACGTCACGCTGCCAATCCCCTGTAACCGACACCATCTACGATGTCCGGTCGAAGCGCCATCATGATTCCGACAACGACAACGAGCAGACCAATCGCGAGGACCGCCCTCTCAAGCGATCCAAAACCGCCCCATGCTATCACCTCAGCACTTCCTCAACTCCTGTATACCGCACTGCAGCTTCTATCGGCCGCAGACGCCAGCGCGACTCCCACATGGTCTCAACAGCAAACCTCTTCAGCACTGACGGCGAAGAACACAAACGTCACATCTTCCCTTGCGTCTTCAGGTTCGCCGGCTGTGACGGCGTCTTCAAAGCCAAGAACGAATGGAAGCGGCACGTCTCGAGCATGCACCTCCTCGAGCGCTACTGGATCTGCTACGATTCCGAGACCCCGTCATCGTCTCAATCTCAATCTCAAAAGTCCCATGCTCACCAACAACACGAGAGCTTCTTCAACCGCAAGGACCTCTTCACCCAGCATCTGCGCCGCATGCACTGTCCCGCCGCGCTCAAGCCCTACCTTGACAACGCGACATCCATCAGCGCCATTTGTTCTCTTGCCTCCTCTCGTTGTAAGACCAATAATAAAACAATGGGTAAGACCAAATCTTCCAAGCGCGGCTCCCAAACTCTACCCAATCTCCCGCCTCATCTTCGTCCCCTGATGGAGGAATGGATCGCCTACGTCCAGGAGCGCTGGGAACGCTGCCAACGCGTCCGCAAACTGCCCTCGACCTTTAGGTGTCCTGTCCCAGGGTGCTGCAGCGAGCCTAACGGCAAGAACAGCCCTGGTTCTACAGAGATCGGAACCCCCACAATCTTCCACGATACCCCCAAAAACACGGCCTGGAACCAGCGCATGGAGCACATCGCAAAACACCTCATGCGTTTCGCCCAGCTCGAAGACGAGGGTGCCTCCGCGGAAGAGAAGGCCAAAGAGCGCGTGGAGTTTGGCGGTACGGGCGACGAGGAACTCGTCGCATGGGCGAGCTCGCCCGAAGTAGGGATCATCCGGCGGAATGCGAAGGGCGAATGGGAGTTGACTGAGGCTTTTAAGAAGGGCCCAGGAAATACGGGGTCTTGTGGTGCTATGGAGATCCCTGGGACCGGAGGGGAAATGATGAAGGAGGAGATTGTGGTTGTTGGGGGTTATGAGGAGGAGGGAGATGCTGAGGGTGAGGATGATGAGTAATCTTGTCTTGTGTTTTTTTTTTTTTTTGGTTCTATTTTATCCTGGGTTGTTTGTTTCTCGTGTTTTTTAAGTTTTGTTTCGGGAATGGCACTACTACAGGATTGATTGACTTCTACGATTTGATGTATATCTTAATAGGTTAAATCTTGGATGGGACTATAGGGGTGGATCATTGGATCATGGTTTGGTTTACGTGGGTGATTTCCGAGTTCAGGTTGCATGATACCTTTTACGATGGTTTGTGGATCTCGTTTCTTTAGTTCGAGTTTAGGAGGACATATTGTACAAATTTTGATTTTTCCTCTCCAATGCATATGCCATTTACCCAAAGGTTACCAAATGATAACTATTTCGCTTGCATCATTTTAGTCTCCTGGGTAGTTGGTGAAAGTGCACCGGTCGAATGGGTCCTAAGTACTACGCCTTACGACTGCATACAGAAGATGATGCTCTCTGAGCTTCACTTAACTGCCGGCACCGCCGCATTGGAACGCCCCCGAGTCCTACGCGACCTACCCCTCCTTACAGATTGCTAATCGTTACCGCCAGATGCCTAGCATACTGCCTGAGCACCCACACCTGGCAGGCGGACAAAATAGGCAACCTTGGTCGCCTTTTCTGGCCTCTTCGCTTTGCAGTTCCCACACATACATACATAGACTTGGGCACGTGTGAGTGGCTCGGTAACACAAACTAAGATGCGTCCTGCCGGAGGGGTAGAATGTAATGTAGAGCGCTGGAAAGCCCATGCAGGCGAATGTGTTACAATCACCTCTGCAAAGACGGCAGGCACACCGCAACGTCGGCAGCATCATCCATCTATCCAACAGTGTCCTTTCGATTCACCGATGTTGACCATTTCCAAAAGTGAGATTTCAGTCGAGTTGAGTTTCTTGTCAGGCATGTGCCACAACGTCCGTGGGGGCAGAATAATGATATTTCTGGTTGGGCAAATTTTTTTTTTCAAACAAGAACATCCGAAGAAAATTCCATTCACTACCTCCAGGAGTCCAGTTACATATATATCTTGGCGGAGGAAATCTGCCGAGAAGAGCAGACAGACAGACACCCACACACGCACACACACACACAAACTCCGCACACACGACAAAAAAAAAAAAAAGTCAGCTGTGCTGCATGTCTGCGATGCGATGTCTCAGTTCCAGATGAAAATCCGTGTGGAATTATGTATAGATGGAAGTCCAATGGATATCACTATGCCTACAGATGCGGCCCTACAGAAGACCCCTCCAACCAATAGGTTACGTTGATTTGATGCTTGAAAAAAGATGGTGTCCTAAAGCCGTCTCCCTGTAAACGTGGCTGTGATGTGGGCTGCAGAGCTTACTATCTGCAAGCACTTCGACACACATCTATCACACTTCTCCTCGCGGAGTGTATGCCCGATATCTGGTTGAGGTTAAGATGAATATGTCCAGTCTAGGGCATCAAGGAGGGGACGTAGGTCTAGCCCGAGCTGGAGTGAGTGAGTGAAGTGGGGAGGTAGAACGAGTCATCACTCGGTCTTCTGATGCGGCGTTTCGCCATCATTTTAGTGGTGTAAACCAGGAAATTCTGCCCCGCGCTCACGGATTGTGCTACGATAGAGGGAATCATCAATCGAAACTCGATACCGGAAAGTAAAGGAGGAGAAGCGAAAACTTTTTCGGACAAAAGTTCTTGATAACAAAGGTGACTGTTTTCAATGCATTCCTAAACGATACGAGCAAGTATTGAGCGAAGTGGTCTTATCCATACCATCGAAACTCTGTTAGATAGGAGGTGATTAGGCCATGGGAGTCGGAGTTCGCTATCTCTTCACAGTTCAGCTGGTGCCCATCGACCGAATCCCAACGGGATTTGTTCATACTTGGCAGCCTGTCACTCAGTTTATGCTGCGGATTACTATCCTAGCCACGCGACACTTGCTTCGGATCAGTGACATCCCGGGATTGAGTTAGAGTGCCTTGTTGACGAGAGGGGGTATTATAGATCTGGCTGCGCTTAGTTAGGCAGAAAGGAAAGGAAGTCACCCCAGTCCCTGGGAGTGGTGGTGCAATGTAATGCTGTCAAAAAAAAAAAAACCAGAAGAGTGCTGATAGCAGCGGCACTTGCACCCGTTTGGGCGTGGCCCGTCCGTCATCAGCTCACCCTTTCCTCTCTCCCCCCAGGAACGGGAACGGTACTCTGGCCTGGCTATTGTTTATGCCCCCATGGCCCAATACAGCAGAACGCCATGACGCAGGAACCACGCCACGAGGGAAAAGGAGGGGCATAGGTGATCGTATTCCATTTGAACAATGGGAAAGTTCCCTTCGCTTCAAGCCGTCTCTTCCAGAATGCCCTCTCCCGCGGGGCGGCGAGGGCAACCACGTTTTGTGATCCAGCTGCGGCTTTTGGACCGTTTACCCCAGGGGAAATGATCGTCATATCTTGCGACTTGCTGAGGAAAGGTGCCTCGGTTCGAAAGGTTCAAGACAATCAACCCTGTATCACTCTCACCTCCAGTCATCTGTGATCGTCCTCTGCATATCGTTCAGAGGGAAAAAAAAATGCGCTTGTGCCTTGAGACGCGGCCGCAGACAGACAGCCGCAGTGTCAACGGCCGAGTCACGCCAAATAAGATGTGGCTCAGTTTTTTTTCGGGGCCGAGACGGACACAGACACAGACACAGACAGAATAAAAGAGATAGAGACGATGAACTGGAATTGCCCCGTGGGGGAGTTGCAGAGCGGCGCCGATTACCACGGAGATAGGGCCAAGAAAAAGTGTTGGTGGTCATCTCGACTGCCGCAGTCAAGGCCACATGCTGATAGGTCATGGGTGAGTGTGGTTGCGTTTTGCGGGGGCCAGTGGCAAGTCAGCCCGCGGTCATCCGCGTTCTCGCCCAATTTCATCGCCCGCCTGGGATGACTAGGCACATGGTTGGCTACCGAAAAAGGAAAATCGGTGACAGTTCGTCGATTTTGGGATCTGAACCTCTGGCATGCGCAGACGACAAGCTCGCATTTCCAGGGCTGCCAAGCCCAAGCGCAACTTGGCACGCATCGCATCTCCCGCAGTAAGCCGCGCACGCGTTGATCCCGTCCGTTCCCCTCGCCCTTGTACAGATGCATACAGTGTGATCATGTCCGGATACTTGGGTGAAAGTAGGGATGTGTTGGCATTCGTGCTACTGTTCCGTTACTCCAGGACCAATCCCGAAATCGAGCTGGCGGTAGGCTTAACATGGGAATCTTGCTTTTTCTTTCCCGAAAATATATAGTCTGCCTTAAGCGGTCGGTTCAGCAAGATCTTGCGCATGTATCAGACGACATCTATAGATACGATTGACTGACTGATGCTACGCTCAGATAGCGACGGATTTTGATGTGTTGGGATTTTTTTTTTCATAGCCGTCACTCATATCGTACTCGAGACACAACTCCGTTGTCTTGCTCATCGGCCATGCGCAATCACGATCGTGCCATGCGATGATGTCCACAGGCGGATGTGCCGTCGGTGAGATTCCGCTGAAAATGCTACCCATCAGGTCTTGCCGACACTGGCGAATAAACGATAAGATATGCGCGTGAATCACAATTATAGGGATCGTTGTTGATGTACACCGTTTTTTTTAGTCTTAGGCAGCAATTCAGGGCGTGGAATGTCGTGTCTTCCAAGGGATTTTGTGTGGGATGTCGAACCACTACGATTCAACCTGAGCCAGCTTGCCGAGGTTTTGTTATGATCGGAGAAGCGGCGGGAAAGCACCTGAAATGTGATAGGTTTTCAAAGCCAGTTTGACTTGCTGGTTGCCGTGACATGGTTCTGCAGTGGGTGTTGTTAACCCTGGCTAAGGAAGGACTTCGTTATACTCAACGTTACGGCTACCAAGTTGCCTGTTGGACTGAATCCAGAGTAGAATGTACCTTATTTTCACTGAAAATGACGAATATTGAGTATCATCGAGTTGGATTTGGCGTTGGTGTCCCGTTGCTAAAAAGACTATAGGCTGTGTTGCAACCAAAGGACGAAAGAGGAGTAGACTCCTCTTAGATCACCACAGGGTTAAGAAAGTAGATGGGGCATGATATCCACAGCCAACGTCCGTGAATCATCATCAAAACTCTTTCGTCAGGAACCAATCTTGCAGTGAGAGAGAATAAGATGTTCAATTCCCTACTTCCCTCAAGTTCCCAACTGCCTAGCCAGCAAACACCTTCCAAACATCCCCGGACATCTACTAAGATACCTTCCCCTCTCCACACACATCATCAAAGAGCTCCCCAGATACCTTCCCAGGAAGCTCCTTCTAGCTAGCTGGAGTCATGAAAAGAACTGAAGCCACCAACAGAGAAGCCCCCTCTAAGTAAAAGGGGGAAAAACAACCCTAAGGTTGGATCCTTTACAAAGATTACGGTCGGGGCACTCGATCTTATCAGCATCCTGTGGGGAAATGGCAGCCGAGCCAACCTGGGCATCAAGAAACAACCATGGAACAAGCATGAGGCTGACACCCGCAGTATGAGGCAACACCACAGGGAAAGACTGTAGACTGACACCAGATCTTTAACATCCTCAGCAAGTGAAGAAGAAAAAAAGGAAGTTTGGGAGAGGGTTTGTGAATATTTATACTCATGGGGGATTGGCTTGTGCGTGGGCACGCGCCGCAACTATGGGATTGAGAGAGGTGTGTGTTGATGCTGGATAGGCACGATTGCAGGTAGTGAGATTGGGGGTATACGTTGCGGGAGAGGGAATGAGCTGTGGCAGGCAGTTGGACAATGTACGAGTATCGACAGGAACCATGATTAGGGTCAAGAGCATCAAGAGAAACGAAGAAGTCATCCATGCAGAAGGTCACGTCGACCGCGTGAGAGAGACAGAAGAGGAGTTGTATTAAGTATGAACCAAAAGTGGTGAACGTTGCCATCCTGCTTCCTTTCTTGAGACTACTCAAGCCCAACAGCTGAAGCTGAGCTTCATATATCTAGAAAATGTGATACTTCTTTCTTTATGCTTAAAATGAGCTAGTGAATTTGTGTGCGATATTGTTAGGTCAGGGAAAAAAAAACAACAACTCTAAGCCATAAAATGAACTGCATCATAGTGTCATCCTATGACAACTCATGACGTTCAACATCATGAAATCACGTAAAACTGGTAGCAATCACCATGAAAGTTGTACATTGATGATTTAACGATAGAACCATGATGGAACCTGATCAGATCTCTTTGCCAGCAGCATCCCCAGATAAGAAAGGGGTGCTCGCGTCTACTGAAGTCCGTGAGACCCGCGTGGACAACCAGAAACCAGCACATGACTTATGGACAGAATTCGCTGGATCGCGAAACAGACCATCAGAACTCAGCAAAGACTTTCTTTGATCTTTGAATTTCCATCGAAAACATTTTGCCTCACTCTGTCCCTTTCAGCACACACTTCATCCAGAGAGGCCTGAGCCACCATCTAACCATCCCGAATCGAGCCTCCAACCTGCAGCAAAACCCCTCCCATCAGTTTTAATCATTTATTATACGATAATATTCATTGATACTTTTTTTCGCAAGTTCCTTCCATCTCGCCATGCCCATCGGGATCGGAAAGATGAAGTGGCCCTCCTGGCCGCGCAAGAAGAGCAGGGAAAGGGCGACTTCCCAGACAGATATGCTCAATGAACCCCCATTTTTGGCCTGTCCGCGACCAACTTCGGCCTTTTTGATCGAATGGCCAAGTGATCTCACAGTCCTTGATGATATACAAGACGAGAAGCCCAAGATGGTCGACCGAGTCGACCGAATCGACCCAATTGTTGACCAACCGGATCCCGATGAGAAAAAGCCTAAGGAGGCCGTTTCCCCATCTTCTCAGGACCGAATACTGGATCGAAAAATCGAGCGGCGAGCCCTTCCCGAGACTTTCTCGTCAAATCTCGCCCGGAGGGACATCGACGCCTTCAAGAGAAATATTTCGGACCTGTCGGCCAGGACTACGCTCAGTCGAATCGCAGAGTCTTTGTGCAGTTTTGGCAGCTTGGACCTTTCCCGCTCGACTCTCGGCGTAACTACCGATTCTAGGACTGACGACAAAGATGGCCCAGAAAGTTCTGATGACAACGAGAAACATGACAAAATTGAGGAAAGAACCTCCACCTTCAGTTCAAATCCCCCAAAGTCACAACCCCACGTGGAGAGTAAGCTTCCGCAGCCGATGGTTTCTCCAGCTCAGGTCGGCATCGAGATTGAAGACTACTCTTTGACTCTTCTAAAGCATAAGCGATTCCTTAACAATCGGCCACTTGCGCGTTGTCTCGACAATTACGAAGCACAGGAGGATAGCGCAACAGTGACAAAGTTGGTGGATGACATGCATGATGTCACAATAAACAGTCGCGGAGCTCAGGAAGCAATGAACAAGGATACTCTGTCTGAGAAACACGACGGTGTGGAACGAACTGAGCCCTTGAAGAGCACAACAGCCGATGTTCTCACCCGGAAGGCGGGAGGCAAGCCGTCCAAGGATGAGAAGCGGAACTCAGCAGATGTCAGGAGGTTCTGGAAGCACGTTCGAACTTACCTGTGGATTGACGAAGACGAGATTGACGGGAAGGAGGTTGAGCCCTCACTCAAAGGAGGGGTTTTGGTCCTGTTAGAGGACGGAGAAGTGATGCTTAACTCTCAGTACATCGCCGAATCCGACACAGACTTTGCTTTCCCGCCTGCACCTAACAGACCGGCTCCCCCCCCTCCTGTTACCAGAACAGCAGCTGCTCAACAGCTGTCTATGCCAACTCACCCTAGAAAGCCTTTAACCCCCGGGCTGGACTACTTCCCCGATGCGGACGACGAGTACCCCGACTGGAGTCATCCCCCTCCAACAGCAACCGCTACCGCACGGTTCAGCACACTACTACCTGACCTTGACGATCACCCCAACACCCAACACCCAACTGCTCCTCATCCTCGCCCATCGGCCTCCCGCCCCCCAACTCCCCCTCCTAAATCCCACTCCCGCCAATCCAGCACCGCCCACAGCAGCGGCAGCTATAGCGGTCCCTGGGTGCGCCCGCCCACTTGGCGTTCCCCCAGCATCGAGCGCACACCACCCGTGGTCCCCCTTATCCCTTCCTCTCCACCCCTCCTCGCAACCCTCACCCCAATCCCGACCCCATGTAGCTCCCACCGAAACCAGCACCACAAACGCACCGTTACTCCGTACTGTCATAGTCGTAATCGGCATCAGCGTTCCAGGACGTCTGTCACGTCGACGTCGGGAAGTGGGTCGGCGGTGAGTATACCCGTTGATGCGCTTGCATCGGGGACGCCTGGTTCCGGTACGGGGGTTGTGTATGGCCATGGGAGTGGCACTGCGACGAGGCAGAGGGGTGCTCATGCTGGGGAGGTGTCGAATGGTTCGGTGGGCAGCACCACCGTCATAGGCATAGAGAGGGGCCATACTCCTAGGTCAAGTACCGAGTTCATGTCTCCCCAGGCATCATCAGGACTATATATGGGAGGTGGAGGCGGTGGTGAAGAGAGGGGCAGGAGGCTGACGACAGTGGAGAAGCTGGAGGAGATTGATGCTTTTTTGGGGCCAGGGTCGGCTAAGGAGGGGGGGTTCTTTTAAGTCGGGTGAAGAGGAGAGATAATGAAAGTGTGAGCGATGGTGAAGTTCTTTCTAACTTCAGGAGAATTGAGTGGTATTGACTGGGATTAGACAGTGTGAGTGCTGAAGACTTTGCTGGCGTATGATGGTAAAAGATAGTCTATGGCATCTGGCTGTGCAGACTCAATTGCTTGGGAACGCGGGCTAATGGTCAATGATGTGAAGTGGGTTATTGATTTCATGCTTCCTTGTTTGATGAGCTTGCTCTGATAGATATAAAATCTGAGAATCATCTTTCACATCATCTTCCTCATATCCAGTCGGCTCAAAGATATGGATGACTGTAGGGTCAGCTAGCTCCCATAAGAGGTTGTGCACAAGAGACTACCTAGCAAACTGAAGATGTTGATGAGACAAAGAATTGTAGTAGCCTTTGACCAACACAACTCTATGTTACAATCGTCCTGCCCATTTATGTACCTATTGGTGTATAGGTCCAATTTGTACAATATACTACAATATACCCTTCCACCATCTTCTTCAACTCATCCCCTCTTCAAAATCTCGTCGTCTTCACATCTCTTCGAAACCCTCAATCTTCTCTTAAACTATATATCATATATCTCATCAAATTCCCTAACTGCCCCCTTACTGTTCATTCTCAGAATCCAAAAGCAGCTCCGAAAACGCGTCCGTAAGCTCCGAGTCCAGCTTCCGCTTCGGCCTCCGACCCGGCAACGGCAGCACCGGGTCGAGCGGTTGTAACGGCAGTTCGTCCAGTTGTTGTTGTTGTTGCTGTTGCTGTTGCTGTTGCTGTTGCTGCTGCTGCTGCTGCTGCTGCTGCTGCTGCTGCTGCTGCTGCTGCTGCTGCTGCTGCTGCTGTTGTTGTTGTTGTTGTTGTTGTTGAAAGAAGGAATCATAGTCTGTGGGGGGTACAGCGGATGGGCCACTTTGCTCCTGCTGCTGCTCCTGCTGTTGTGTTCGTGTCTGTGCCACCATCGGCTGGTTACCCCCTTCAAGATTAAACATCACCCCATCCGCCTCCTGCACCGCGGCAACAATCGCATCCCAGCTAGCCCTCGCTTGTTTCTCTCCATGATTCCTATTATAAACCTGCAGCGGCCTCGTTGGGCGCGGCGAATCCAACTGCTCCATAAGCAGCGGCACCTGGGTCTCCAGCTGCTGCTGCCTGATCCGGGCCATCCGCTCCTCGGACGTCATCATCCGCTCGTCACGGTCACGGTCATGGCGACGAACTCTGTCTTGAAGATCGAGCAGCATCTGCTGCCAGGGTTGCAGCCGAAAGTCCTCCTGCTCCTTCTGTTCCTGGCGCATGCGTTCCGCCAGCTTCTCGTAATACCGTAATGCGCGTTCCTTGTCGGCGAGCTTTGAGAAGGCACGCATGGTGTGTCCATCGCCTTCTATACCGGCTTGTTCCATGGCGACGAGGGTCTTGGCGACTGACAGCGGCTTCTGCTCGCGGGCGAAGGCCCAGAGGAGGACGTTCCATGTCGCCTTGGTGGGATGGATGCCGTGGCGGCGCATTTCGCGCCAGATGGCACCCGAATGGCGGATGCCCTTTCTGTTGGCGGCTGCGATGAGGATCGACCAGGTGTAGACGCCGGGCTTGGGGAGCCGGATTGGCTCGGGCGGAGGGTCCACGGTGAAGTCAGGGTTATGATCATAATTAGTCGGGATATCATATCCCTCCGACTTGTGTGGATACGAAGCAGCTGCTCCGTTCAGCATGTCGCGGATGATATTCTGAGCGAGACGCAGGGTATTGTCGAACTGGGTGAGGGAGTAGATGACGGAATCGTAGACAAGAGAGCCTTTCCGCAACATCTTGACGGCTATAGGGTCCCGAAGGTTGACCAGCTTTTGGAAATGCGAATAAAAGGACATGATGGGCTGAGCATCTGGGACGCTGCGGAGGTAGGTGAGGAGCATGATACCCAGGGTGTAGATTTGAGGGTCAACGGACGCTTTTGGCACCGGAGCCTGTGATAGTCTGTCGAGCACCGGCGCCAAGGTCTCTTTCCACCTCCAATGCCTGTCATCTTGTTGAACAGCATTGTAAAGGTCGCTTGGAGAGGAAAATCCAAGCAAATGGCAGAGAGGTTCCGGCTTGAAAAATCGGGAGTATAGCTCCAACATAACGTGGAACCCTGGGTGAAGGGCAGGTACCCAAGTTGATCGCTTCCAGGCAAACGGTCCTATATGCTCGTGATCGAGCACTGCTCTTGTTTCACGTATAGTCCTTTCTATGGCTTCCCGGGAGGCGATCCGGTGGATGATATGCAGAACCTCGTTCCAGACGTAGGGAGACTTGAGAATATCCGCTGGTGCTTCGTCGAAGACTCGAATAACCGACTCAACATCGCTAGTCAGCTTGGCCCCATGCAGCAAGACACCGTAGACGTTGACGTCGGGAACGATGCCCTGGTTACACATCTCATCGTAAACGCGCCAGGCTGTGGACATCTTCTTGGCCCAGCAAAGACCTGTGATCATGGCCGTATAATGGATCAGGTTCGGCTGCAAGCCTAACTTGGCAAGGCGCTCATATAAGACCGCTTGGAGTTGAGGGATCTTATTCGGAGGGAAGTGTTTTGGTTCCAGGCTCCCCGGGTGCGGTTTCGGGAATTTCAAGATGGCTGTGTTCAAGGCCAAAATGGTGGCATAGTGCGGCTTGAGCTTGCGATCGCACACCAGGTGCTCGAGGATATCAGTGGCAAGCAGTTTGTAGTGGACATCTTTGGCGAGACGATTTGCGATGTGAAGAAGGGTGTTCGAATGAAGGTGTTTTCTGCGTTGGAGGAACTCTTTGTACAGCTCGGCGATCATCGGTGCCTTGGAGACGGAAACGACTCGGTAAATGGTCCATTGTAGCCATGGAATCTGTCGATATTCGCGGGTTAAGCGAAGCATCAGAGGGGCCAAACGGGCGTGGTACACGGGACGACACGATAGTGGCAGGGATAATGTCCAGTGGATGATGTAGTTGAACATGTCGAAAACAGCATATCGCGGCACCACTCCATATTGAGCGACCACCTCCAGCACATCGATCGCTCTGTGAGGGGCGTAGCCCAGAGTAGAAATAAATATTCCCCTCCATAGCCTTTTGCGCTCTTCAACGGGCTTCATGTGCCACCATACATGCATTGAGGCGACGTCTCCTTGGGCTAGGAACTCCTTGAGCAGAGGACTGGAGCCTGGAACTCCGAAATTGTCGGGCGCGCTTTCCAGTGGCATGTATGGCTGCGGCCCATGTGTCTTTATGCGGTTGAAGCAGGGGAGATATCGGTGCTCCCATCGTCGATATTCTCTCTTCTCGTGCCTCATGGTCGTCCCATTCAGACGTGCAAGCTCATAGTAGTCCTTAGTGAACGGGCGTCGCCGTCGAATTCTCCGACGCTCATAGGAAATGTAAGGAGGAGCAGACTCTCGCTGTTCGTAGGTTGGTTTTGGAGGGTTCGTGTTGGGAGGAGCCGCTTGGGGAGGCTGGAAGTTTCTGAGTGTCGCGGGGTGGAAGGGTTGTTCAAGCTGAGCATGAAAGCTGGACGCAATGTGGTCGGCGCAGTGCGATGGACTGGGAGACGCAACGGTGCTAGCATGCTTGGGAGTATCTGGAGTGTTGCTGCTTCTCTGTGATGCGCCAATGGCTCTGGCGGCACGACCGGTCGCCCCTCCGAGGGGTCGAAGGAAAGGCCATTGCGGCTGTCCTGCGCGGGCGGCGCATCTGCGACAGACGAGACCAGCCCGCTCTAACATCCCAGGTCGATTGGGCAGTAGGCTGCCTGGAGCGAAGCCGGTGTCGTGTGACCCGTCGTGCTGTTGCGCCTGTAAAATGACCTTGACTTGCTGTGCGGGGTGGGCCTCTGCCGTCGACTCTTCGCGATGCTCAAAGGGGACCCCGAGGCAATGGAAATTATGAAAGTTGCTATCGGCGATAAGGTAAAACCGCGTATCGATAATCGTAAATTACCGAAACGCCAAGCGTAACAGGTACGGTTTGAAACGGATCGCGGGAGCTTGTGTCAGGGTGGTCGCAGACAACAAGTGTGTCGACGCGTTTGGCCCGTGCGCGTCCTGACTTCGATCTTGGGTTGTTGCTTGCGATTGCGATCCGACAACTGCCCCATATCCTGAGAAGACGTCACGGAAATATTCTGTACTCGTATCGAAACCTTCCAGATTGGAAAGATGTCTTCATACTCCTCTCTCAGCGCAGCCGCCGACGAGCGCAAAGCTCGTCTGGCTAAGCTCGCCTCTCTCAAGCGCAAGCAACCCGAGGACGACCACCCACCATCACAGGACCAGCAGCCAGAGCAGTCAGCAGCAGAATCAAAGCAAGAAGGCGACTCTTCCCAGGCCTCCGACCCCGTCCTACAACATCTCTCCCTCCGCAATTATGACCCGGTCACGAGGGGCCCCAAACTCGGTTTTGAAGCCCCTCCAACCGAAAACCTGAACACCCTGACGCTGGAAGAAAAGGCGGCAGCCCTCGAAGCAGAAGCACGACGCAAGGCGCAGGAAGAGCAAGAAGCCGCGGCGCAGGCGCGAGGTCTGGACATAACGACGCTGCAGCCCAAGAAGCCGAATTGGGATCTCAAGCGAGAGTTTAAGCAGCGCATGGCAGTCTTAGATGTTCGCACCGAGAACGCAATCGCACGGATGGTGAGAGAGCGGTTGGCAGAGAAGAAGAAGGCTATAGTTGGTGCCTCTGCTGCAGCATCTGGGGCTGCTGACGGGGCTGCCAGCGGGGGGGGAAACAACGGGAAGGGAGAAGAGGGCGTGTTGGAGGGTGCAGAAATTCTGGAGGGTATGAGGATGCGAGAGAAGGAAGAGGAGGAAGAAGCGAGGAGGGAGAAAGAAGCTGAAGAAGCCGAGTTTGGCACAGCTTGATCAACTACGTTCTAGGATCGATGGCCGAGCTTTTCCATGGCGTAGCTGACTGTTGGCTGCATAGGGAGCACTGCAAGTGGGATGGATCACATAGAGCGGGATGGCGCTTCGCTAGACGGCTTGCGAGTTGGCAGATTCGTGTTTCTTTTCTTCGCCTGGCGTATACTATCTATTTGCCAGGCCGATCTGTGAAAAAGTATTGCACAAATGATGATACCCAGATTTGCTTCCCATCCTTCCCTGCCCTACATCGCATGTCCCCTGTTCAGCGCCCGGGTCAAAGCTAACCGTTTGCTGAAAGGGCTCAGACTTCTCTCGCGCTCTGGAGACTGCTGACGAGGCACTGGCGGGGGCGAATCCCTCCGGCCTCGCTCATCACGATTCCTATAATCCGCGCTCTCATTCCTCCACGTTCTCTCCCCACGCCTTGGTGGCGACCTTGATCTGGACCGGCTCCTCCTTCCGTACGAATTCCTGCCACCATATGTTCTATCATCGGCACGTCGCTCGTATCCAGGTCTCCAAGCAGCCCGGCGATCGCGTCGGGGAGATGGAGACCGCTTGGGAAATGGAGAACGAATCCTCCGCCCTGGGCTCTGCGACGGTTGGCGATAACGTCGCGGTGGTGACGGCTGGAGCGACGGGCTGCGTGGCGAACGGTTGCGGGAGTAGAATTCCTTAGTCTCTCTAGGAGGAGGGCTTGGACTACGGGAGTAGACAGGCCTGGTTCTGGGTGGTGGGCTGGGGCTTCGAGAATTGGCCTGCTTGCTCCTGGGTCGAGGGCTAACGCTGCGGGAATATGGCGATCGGCCTCTCGACGCTGGGCTGGGAGTCCTGGATCCTCGCCTTTTGGGTTCGCGTGGGGGGCTTCGCCCTCGTTTAGATGCAGGCGAGGGGGATTGGGTGGAGATGCTTGAGACAGAATCATACGAAGCCGACCGGCGGCGCCGAGGTGGTGGTGACCTTGGCAGTTTGGCATCCTCCTCTACCTCACGCTCGTGCTTCCGGGCCCTCTCGGCTTCTCGTTTAGTTAGAATCTCGTCTGCTGTACCCGGCCTATGACTCAATGTCAGTTCATTGGATCGAAGATGTCAATGAAATCCAATAGTAGATATACAACTCACTTCTGCTGGAGATGATCTGGAACTGCATTTGTGAGTTTAGGGAGCAGCTTCGGGTTACGTAGTTGCTGTGTACGAGAAGGCCTTGGGATGTATGGCCGTTCTTGAGGAGCTGCCTTACACTCATAAGTGTAGTGGCGTGCCGTGAATGTCAGTGTGTGTGAACTCAGTTTCTGAATCATGGGGGATAACTTATCTCGCTTGAGACACTTCTGGCATTGTACACTTTCTGGGGTTTTCTTGGGAGGCCCAACACGGCCACGGTAGGGATACATGGCTGGTACAAACTTTTCCGGATGAGTATGATTGCAATCAATGACTCTCAACCAAATGCTCGCCACACAAAGTATCCTGTCCTGTAGCCCCCAATTTCACAGTCACAGAATGCCAATAGGTTATGTCCGTGACGGCAGGATGCAGATGGCACGAGATCCGATGGAAGCACTCGACGGTGCTGTGGTGTTTGTTCAGTTGATCAAGTTTTGTGTGACTTTGCGGACGGCGTAAAATTCTGCACTTTAAATTGAGTGGCATAAAAGAGTTATAAGCAATCCAAAAGTAAATGCTCTATGGCAATGTTAAGACCGACTCCTGGGTGATGAAGTGGATAAAAGTGTTGATGTTTGGATGTTATTTTGGTTGTCGGAGGCTTAATCATCGGGGCTGGCCTTGCAACCTTGTAATTACACATACCTGTATCGAATTGTATCGTAATCTGTTATCAGCCTTTGCATATCGATGTAATGGCAATTTCACCGCCTTTTTTTTGGGTTCACCAGACGGCAGAATCTGATCCTTTCATAGGTGCACAGACAACAGGCGACCGGCGATCTTCCCACTGTCTCATTATCCGTCGGCATTTCCGCAAGGAACAATGCTGATGAGGTTTTGGATTTCGCCTAGTCCGTAGTCGAACCTACGTTGAGTTCAACATCATTTTGCATTAATACGAGACTGATACTTGGTGAGCTATGCACTACTCTTCACAACTGGAACCATATGGAACCTCTATACTTGGTAGATACCAGGCCTTGCCCGCGTGATTATCGCATGCCATGTACTCTGTTAACACAAGCCCTTGTTGTGTCGATGGTTTTGCAGTACAAGATACGTGACCAAGAAAATCCAGATACGCTTAACTTGACCTTGCAAGTGAAAGATAGTCTCTGTTTGTTGGTGCAGCCAACTACACCACAACTGATACTTTGTCAGCTTCGAATTGGCTGAACTGCTCCAGCAATTCGTTTTCTTGAGATCGCTTTCCATGTGCCTAGCTATACTTAAGCCTCGCAGTTTGTTGAGTGTTAAGGCATCATCATGAGCGCCTGCTTGCGGGTAGACTAGCTGGGGCTTAGCCCCACTGTTAGCGGACCATCTTAACCCTTCGGAAGGAAGAGAAGGCAAGCAACGACAGTCCCTTCAGCCCTGCGTTCTAACTGCCCCCATAACCTTACCCCATAACTGCACATGATCTTGCAATCCGCACCTTGGAACTTGCGCCAGGACTGAAGGCCTCTTCTCGTCACACAATTTCTCCTGTGCAACCACATCCAACCTGCGCAGGTCCGTCATCGCACGCTCTCCCTGCTGCTCGCCAGCATAGGGGATCTGCCAATTCACCATCCGCCTTTGATTGTGGCGGCACCATTCCCATTTGAGCACGGACACTGTTTGGGGCCGCAACGCTCAAACGGCTGCAACCAGGCATAATCACTTCACCTCCATCGCTTTTGCGATCATCTAGGCATCTACAGCGTTACGGCTCGGCCGGCCTACACTCTCTTCCTGGGCTTCCAACCACAGCAGCAAGCAGCCCTTGCAATTCAGCATTGATCATCCTCCCGACTCTCGGGCCTATCTCGCCAACCACAACCAAGGCCTTCTCTTCATCCTAGTGCCTTCGTCCTCCACTCTTCTATCACCTTTCCCGTGCAGCCACTGCACTTACAGAAGCCAACATCAAGCTACCTCACCTTCATATCTTCCTCTGTTGCCCAACAATGATTACCGGCGCCTTCCCCTCGCTCTGGACCGCTCTGCTCCGTTTTGTCTCCTGATTATCGCACCTCAACTTGTGTCCACAAATCAATCAGCGACGCCCTCCCCGCCGTCTCTATCATACCTTCCGCTTGAACCGGTTCCGTCATCGGCTCTGCTGGCCTTAATATATCTGGAGGGCTTGTACGTTTCTAGCGATCTTGATAATAAATCCTCACAGTCATAACCATGGCGACCGACGTCACGAAGATGTCGTTTGCGAAAGTATGTGTTCTACTCAAACCAACTGCCCGCTATCGGGATTTTACAGGGGACTAACTCTTTTGTTGTTCCAGGTCGCTGCCGGCTCAGTGCAGAAGGGCTCCAAACCTGCCGGCGCTGCTCCCAGGACCACCCTTGATCCGGCCACTACTGTTAAGGATAGGCGAGAGGAGGGCACACCTGTCTCTAAGCATGCCCCTTCATCTACTGGGCCTAGTCCAGCAACTAGCTCCGCGGATACTACTGTCACTACTTCAGCTGCCGAACAGTCTGCTGTCACCGAGGGAAAGGTCGATGACGCTAAGCTCGCCGCCGATTTGAGGGAGTTGAAGTTGGAAACGTCAGCTCCGAACCTCGTTGTCAACGGGTCAACGGTTGAAAAGTCGACTGCCATCTCGAACAGTCAGACACCTCCAGATGATGCTTCTCAGAGAGCCGAATCTGGGTCGGAATTGGGAACAAAGCCTCCAAGCATTGATGGCAAGAGCATCACTTCGGGAACCACCTTTGCCCTCGATGAAAAAGACTCCCTTCGTCCCGATGACAGTGCCAGCATGAAGGCTGCGGCCGAGGACGACGACTCGTTTTCAATTCGTGGATCCTACATTCCTGGGTCACGTATGGGCTCCGATGTTGCCGCTCGCCTTCACCGCATCCAAATCGGCGACATGCCCCCACGGGCTCTCACATCACAACATATGCTTGCCGGCGACAAAGGCCAAGGCATCGTTACACCTCAGAGCGGCATATCCGATAAACAAGGATCTGGTGATCAGAAATTACCGTTGCCTGGAGGCACTGCCACCCCTGATAGCCTGGGAGCCAACAGCTTCTACAGCCAAAATCCGGATGAAAAGCTTCTGGAGGCAATGCAGTCGCCCAAAGATCGTATCTTTCTGCTGAGGCTGGAGCAACAGGTTATTCAATTTGTCCAGGATTCCAAGTATGCTTACTCCCCCTTTGGCTCTTTATTTCGCCTAGCCAGCTACTAACTAGTCACCCAGAGAGCCATACATGGATCTCCCACCTTGCAATTCGTTTTGCAGGATGTTGACGCACCGGCTTGCGGACTACTACCACATGACGCATTCTTACGAGCCTTCTACGGGATCGGTCCGCATATTCAGGACTCCCTTCTGCAGGATCCCCCCTTCGCTCTCTACTATCGCAGGCCCCCAGGCGAACAATTCTGCTCCTACCCAGCCAATTCCCCGAAAAATCATGCGCCGCGGCGAGGATGGCGAATTTGCTCCTCCAAGCACGGCACCTTCTAAGCCAACTTCGGAAGTTGGCAGCGAGTCGAAAGACAAGCCAGCCCCAGTCAAGGAAAAGTAAGCTAGAAGTTGTTCATAGGTAGCCTCAATCTGCTTTACTAACCTTTGCCCTGCAGACTGACGAGGGAAGAACGTGAGGAGGCTTATAACAAAGCTCGGATGCGCATCTTCGGCAGTGCCGAAAAGTCAGAGAGCGGAACCCAAGGTAGGATCCACCGTTAAGCTGCGTTGCCTGCAACCTGAACTAACCTTGCCATTAACAGAGGGCGAGGATGCCAACGGTGTCTCGCGGGCCAGCTCAGTGTCTGCTAAAGACAAGCAAAATGGCGGCAAGCGAAAACCCACCAAACAGCGGCGAGATGACTCGGAAGGGTTCGAGTCTCGTTCTCATTACGTTCAATGGTGCCCTGGTCCTCACCATCCGACGTGGGCGGCCCCTGTAACGCCTCAATACTTCCCTATCAGTGCGGCTCCGTTCAACGCTCAATTCCAGCAGCCGTATCCAAATGCCCCGCAGCCCATGTATCCGCCGGCGCAGCCTTATAATCCTCAAATGATGCCAAATGGCCCCTTTGCGCCACAGTACACTACGATGGGACCTGTAAGCTCAATTCTTGAAGAACGTAGAGTGAGGAGATACTGATCCGGTTGCAGTACCCGGCTCCCCCCATGCCACAGGCCATTCCTCAGCCACCACCTCCTCAGCCACCCTACCGCTCACCCAATCCTCCCATGGCTACGCCGTACGCGAGTCCCGTTCCCATGCCAAGCATGCCGCAACCGACGTGGCCGCAGCAATCCTACGGCCAAGCCCCGTACGGACCCCGTGCTCCCCCGGCACCTGCTGGGATTCCCTATGCATATGGACAACTCCCAGCCAATGCCAATCCCAACGATCCCAAGAGCCAGCACCCGATCCCAGGCAGCTATAACCGGCAGGCTTTCAATCCAAAAACTCAGTCATTCGTCCCTGCAAACGGCATGCAGCCGATGCAACCTCCTCATCCACCACCGCCTGGTCCATTTGTCGGGGCAAACCCTCACCACGGTGGCAGCCCCCAATTTCACCCTCCTCATATGAACTATGGCGGCTACCAACAGCCGATTCCCCAGGCTGGTTATGGGCCGGCCCCAGGTCCCTACGGAATGGTTAGACAGGGCTCTAACGCTTCGATGCCTCCATACCACGGTCAGCCACACCCTCCACATGGACCTCAGCATCACCCCCCTCCGAGTGGTCCTGGCTCCATGCACATGCCAAACAACAATAATAACAACAACAAAACTGGCGGCCCCAGCGGCTCCGGGCCGCAGCAACAACAGCAGCAATTCAGTCACTTACCAAACTACGGCAATCCGGCTACTTTGCCACAGAAGCCCACCACTACTAATCCTAATTAAGTGCATGCGGTGTTTGAGGAGGCATCATCTGCCATGGCCAGGTCGGCAGGGGTTCAGAGCAGATAACGAATGAACATGGTACTTCCTGCTAAGTTCTCCACGGACTAGACAAAGGGATAAACAGGTCGATGCGGTGGTGAGCTGTGGCATACATTGAAGCGTTTTTGGGAAACTCGTATGCCTGCCTATAGCCTCCTCGGTTAGTTAACCTGCTTTACGTACGTAGACAACAATACACGCACAAAGAGGTTTGGTTGTTGGGTGCTTTTGTTTGGTGTGTGAGAGATTTGGTTGATCAGGAAGGAAGAGAGAAAATGGATGGGTTACTGTCCTCTGTCAAGTGTCGGACAACACTCAAGATAGAGGCTGGACAAACGCTTTCTTTCTCGTCAGTCAGGAAGTGACGGTGGCAGGTAGGTGGGTAGGTATGGATGGACAAGACAGGGAGATATGGAGTATGTAGTAAGACGGTACAGGAAGGGTATTAGGGAAAAGGAAAATATGGGTTCTCTCAACTCAGGTGTGACGCCGCTCGCTCTGGCCTAGTGTTAATTGACGTGACATGTTCGACAGTTCGAATTCTGCCTGCTTTTTGTAGTCCTTACCTTCCTGTTTCTGTCTTCATAAGTGAGATGAGTGAATGTGCTTCAACAAATAGCTTATGTCCTCTACATATATTTTGTGATTTGGCCTATCGTCCAAATCGAAAACCAGGCATCTCACTGTATTACATAACAACAACACTATGAGGCAGACACTTAACCGACAAACTTTTGATCTTTTCAGCGTGCAACAGAAATCCCCGAAAGATACAGAACAGGAACCGGGACTAGATTTGACGGGAATACGGATGATGAAACTTTTTGGCGTTCGCATTGATGGTGAAACATGCCAACCAAATTATCTAGGAAAAAAAAACAAAAAAAAACCCGAAACCCATCGCCGCCTCTATTTCCCATTTTAATCCCCATTCTCTCTCGGCTCCCTAGATTCCCTTTGCTGGCCACCACTCCTCGCGCCGCCGCCACCAGTGCGACCGCCGGCTCTCTTAGTTCCCCTGCCGCCGCTGGAAGCGCCAGCTCCACCGCTGCCGCCGGCACCCGACCGACCGCCCTCCTGCTTAGAACCGGAAGTACCCTCTCCGCCGTCTCCCTTACCCTCTGAGCCGAGGAGATCCTTCTCGCCGGCCAGTGGGGCAGTCGCCAGCCGCTGGGCCAGGTCGATCTGAGTGCGGATGGTGTTAGCCAGGTACGAGACCATGAGCACGTCTTGGATATGGTTGTTGAAGTCTTGCTCGATCTGCGTCTCGGACACCTTGGGGGCCAGGGACAGCGCGTTCATAAGGTACTGTCCCAGGGCGTGATTGCCGTCGCGCTCCTCGTCAAGGACTTCGCTCACGTAAGTCGACACGCGCTCCAGCATGTCGGAGACGGACTCGAGGGCTTGGGCTAGAGACTCGATGTCCGAGACGACGGGGGCGGTGCGGTGATCGGAGTTGGCGGCCGCCTGGATCGTGCCCAGGGCGGCGCGCTCGGCGTCGCTGAAGAGGATCCTGTGCGGGACCTCGACAAAGAGGCAGGACTCGGCCGCGCGCTCGGGAGAGACGGCCACGGGGGCGGAGATATAGGTCTTGGTCTCGATCGGGGCACCAGGCTCGGTCGAAATGGTCAGGTGGATGGCTGGGTGAGGGAAGGTGCCAGTCTCGGGTGAGGCGAAGAAGTTCTGGATCAGGGCCGAGAAGCTGTTAAGCTCGTGCGACGTGGTGTACCAGCCCAGCAGGGTCTCGCGGGGCGAGGCGCGCAGCGTCAGGGCCAGCATGTTCTTCTGATACTCAACATCCACCTCAACCTGATCCTCGTTCTCGGTGTGCGGGATGGCGAAAGTGCTCCGCACCTCGACCTCGCTGCCATCCTCGTTGCGCGTGCCCACGAGGGCGCCGATCACACGGGTCGACTGTGTGTCCCGAATATCGCGGCGAACGGCATGGTCGATGATGGAGAAGACAGCCTGGGGAGTGTCAATGACTGGGGAATATATCAAGCAGACGAACGAGCCAATGGGCAAGCCGACAAGCTACTAGCAGACATGCCCATACGGGAGCACCTGAGCAGCTACAGGTATGGGAGAGACGGGAGACGGGAGCAGGCATACTTGGGGCTGGATGTTGACGGTGAGCGGGGCACTGCCGACAGCAAAGCCCACGGCAGTGGGAGCCAGAGGACGGGCGAGGTGGACGAATTGCTCCTGTTCGACAGCCATGCTGGGCAACGGTCAGGATTAAAAAGTATAGGATCGATCGAGGTCTCGAAAGGGGCTAGTAGTTTCTTTGTTTGAGGCCGGCGATTGACAACAGACTTGTCGATTCCCCCCACAGGTCGCAGAAAATTGGCGGCAATCGATGGGGCGGGCAGCCAGGGATGGGCGGGTCACGAAGGTCGGACTCGGAGGTCGGGCAGAGTCGTCACAGGCAAAAAAAAAAATGGACGGGAAGAAAGCACAGGCGCCGTTCTCTTTTTCTTCGCAGGCTCGCAGCACCACCAAAGGACTGGGCTCCAGGCTCCAGACAGGGCTCCAAGGGCTCCAAGCAGGTGGCAGGCAGGCAGGGCTCCAGGGCTGTCCGCTCTCAGCTTTTGGCACCCTGAATTTTTGGATTTACAGCTGATGCGGGACTGGGTTGTGCGCGCTAAGATAAGCCGATAAGCACACGGCTGACGGATTAAGAAAGTGGGGTGATAGGCAGACATGAGGCTGAAGTGGGGTTGCATTCTGGTTCCACTTCTAGTCTTGGCACTAAGCTCTGACTGGATGCTCTCGAGAGCCGTTTTGCAAGGCTGAACTGCATTCGCATCTCAACTTTCATTCCTTTTTTTTTTTTTTAGCTGTTTCTTGTCGAGACATTTGGAATCTCATAACCACGATCTGATCATTGGCTCAGAATCGATACCATCACAACTGAATCAAAGTAATTAATATCTTGAAAGTTGAGCAACTCACAATGGCCGGAGGTCGTTCAGCAAAACGGAAAGGAAGGAGTACCGTCCGGGGTCGAGCAAAGGCCGGAAAGGGAACGGCTCCCGTCCGGAGTGTGAAGTTCCATGATGCTCGACTAGATGATGAGTACGTATTTCTTTATGATTAAAGTGCTGCAAAATCTCAAATCTCTCATAGTTTTCCGGTTTTCTAATTCAAGGCTGCTGACCAAACAGTAATTCTGAGAGTGAGGCCAGCGCCTCTGAGCCTGAGGCTGAAGTTATGGATGTGGACTCGGATGAGGGAGAGGAGGAAGAGGCCAAGCAGCCTGTTCAGCCGTACATGGCATTGTTGCGCAGACTAACTGAAAGCAACCCGCATAAGGCAAAACGGAGAAAACTGGATCATCCGTCAGGCGAGAATCAAGAGCGCCCGCAGGAGGTCAAGGAGGAGTCGGCACCCCAACGCCAGAATGGGGAAGACGAAGAGGATCGGGATGTTGACCTGGTCGAAGAGCCGGAGGAGGACCCCAGCAATGCACCCCCCGAGGATCTGTTTGATGATGACGACGATCTCGATGACACCGACCCATTCGAGGTGCATTTCTCCAACCCTAAGGAAGACATGGTGCAGCCTAGGATCAAAGCCATCCAGGAAGGGAAGTGGCGCTTGGAGAGGATATCGTCATCACAGACGAGAATTTTCCTTAACATGCCTGCTGTGGACGGTCTTGAGGGGAAGGCTCTGATCCCCCCTCCTGTGTCAGGAATTAAGGATCTCAAGCTTAAGAAGAAGCTACGAGAGTCTATGGAAGCCAAGCACCCTGAGTTTGATCAGGTTGAACAGACTATTGCCCCCGCGCTTTTCAACTACCAGGATCTGCTATTCTGCAACCGGACGGTCGCAAACTCTCAAAGTCTGAGGAGGATGGCATGTCTTCATGCCCTCAACCACGTCTTCAAGTATGTTCTTCGCGAAGTACTTTTTAGGCCAAGTGATACTGACTTGAACAGGACCCGCGACCGCGTCATCAAGAATAACAGCAAGCTTGCCAAAGCCGGAGAGAACGAGGATTTGGAATTCCGCGACCAAGGCTTCACCCGCCCCAAGGTTCTCTGGATCATGCCTACCCGTGCGCAATGTGTCAAGATGCTCGACATGATTGTTTCAATCGTCCAGCCCGACCAGCAAGAGAACCGCAAGCGCTTCGAGGATGGTTACGTAGACAAACTAAGCAAATTTTCGGACGACAAGCCGGAAGACTTCCGTGACCTCTTCTCCGGCAACGATGACGACCTGTTCCGACTGGGTGTCAAGTTCACACGCAAGACGATTAAGTACTTTGCGCAATTCTATAACTCGGACATGATCTTCGCCAGCCCACTAGGCCTTCGCATGGCCATCGGGTCTGAAGAAGAGAAGAAGCTCGACTTTGACTTCCTCAGCTCCGTCGAGCTGGTGATTGTCGACATGGCTGAGGCGCTGTTAATGCAGAACTGGGAACACATGGAATTTGTCTTCGAGCACCTCAACATCCAGCCGCGCGACGCCCACGGTTGCGACTTCAGCCGCGTCCGCAGCTGGTACTTGGATGATCAAGCTAAGTACTTCCGGCAAACCGTCATCTTCAGCGCCTTCAATACCCCCGAGCTAGCGGAGCTTGTGCGTGCGTACTGCCACAACTGGGCGGGCAAGGCGCGTCTACAGCAGGAATGCCCGGGCATGATACAGAACCTGCCTGTGAAGGCCCGCCAGACGTTCAGCCGGTTCGATTCATCATCGATCGCGGCAGATCCGGATGCTCGGTTCGCCTACTTCACCAAGGCCATCGTGCCGGCACTCACACGACACAAGGCGCGTGATGCTGCTGGTACGCTCATCTTCATACCCTCGTATCTCGACTTCGTGCGCGTGCGCAATTACTTTGCGAACAACCCGGCGGTCGAGAACGTTTCCTTCGGTACCATCTCCGAGTATACCGACGTACCGGATGCGTCCCGGGCGCGGTCGCATTTCCTGAACGGCAAGCAGAAGGTGCTTCTGTACACGGAGCGCGCGCACCACTTCCGCAGGTACAAGATCAAGGGCGTCAAGAGGGTAATTTTCTACAGCCTGCCCGACAACCCCGTCTTCTATCGCGAGATCGCGGGCGACTATCTGCAGAAGAGCGAGCAATCGCTACTGCTAGAGCCCGGGCAGGGTGTGATTAGGGTGATGTTTTCCAAGTATGATGTGATGAAGTTGGAAAGGATCGTCGGGACGTCGAGGGTAGGCCGGATGCTTCACGAGCAGGGTGACACATTCGATTTTGTGTAGTTTACTTTTTTTTTTGTTGGTAGATGATGTAGCGGCGTTTCCTTCCTGGATGCCTACGTAATAGAACCAAAGAACAGACAGACCAGCCATTTCCCCCGTGTTGTAACTGAACGTACCTATATCTTACATGATGCCGTGATGTACATTCCTAGGTTAGGTATACACTAATATCAACCACCCAAACACCAAACATGCCACTCTTCCCTTCAACACACCCATAGCCCGTGTTGATGTCCCTCCCCCTTACTCAGATGCAACAGCAGCCGTAGCCGCGGCAATGGGGTCGCACAGATTCATCTGATAAATCTTCTCGACCAGCTTCTCGAATTCCTCCTTGCCGTTCTGCCGGTACCGCGTAACCTTCTCGATATTCTTGAGCGTCAAATCAGTGTGCGGCTTACCCAGCCGACGATCGCGAGCCACCGTCGCAGCGGTCATGTAAAACCGCATATCCTTCGGCCCGTCGACCAGCTCCAGAATCGCCGAGGGGGCCTGATCAGCCCGATTCTTCGGCTCGGTGCGCAGCACGCGGGTATACCCGCCGGGACGATTCAAATACCGCTCACGGATCTCGCCAAACAGCTTTGGCATCAGCTCGTGCGGCGTCTGAAGATCTTCCTGTATGTATCATAACACCCGTTGATCAGTGGGGAAATGTTCTGGGAGAAACGGGAAGTGCGTACGTATAGAATGGCCTGTGCCTTGCGCCGCGCGACCTCGTCGTTCTTTTTTGCGTGCGTGATCAGCTTCTCGGCGAGGCGCTGGGCTTCTTTGGCCTTCGGCCAGGTTGTGTGGATGGCTTCGTTTTTGATCAGGGAGGTGACGAGGTTCCGAAGCAAGGCTTGTCGGTGCGCGCTCGTGCGCGAGAGTTGGCGATATTTCATGTGACCACCCGCCATTTTTGGTTATTTGCTATGTCGTTGGGGGGGGTAGAGAGCGAAAGCGTAGGTAACGTTGAGGAGATGGAGGGAGTGAAGGAGGGGTCCGTCGCGGCCGGTGTAGTCGACTTGTCGTTGGTGACTGTCGGTAGCTGGGGGCCAATTGAGCTTATGGGATGCGGCTTTCTAATCGCGGAAGGGCAAGACGGATCAACCTCGAGTCGTCGGGATATCGTACGGTCGGCGTGCGGCAGCGGGTTGGGTGGATAGATGCCACAACTCGCTCGGTCTTCTGCTTGCGATGGCCGTAATACCGAAGTTTTTTTGGGTCCATAGCCAACCCTTGGCGTTCAACCCTGACCAAAAGCCGCGCCGACCCCGGTTGCCAAGAACTGACGTCGGGAGTCTTGTGGGGCTTACTGGTCTGTGCCTTGCCGGCGAGCCAGGGTGGGATGTCTTGGCACTTGGTTCAAGTTGATGTTCGGGTTGAAATGCAGCGACGTCATCACCATCTTGTGATGCCGCCAAACATGGCGATAACAAATTTTCGATGACTCGAGTTTTTTTTTCACAAAAGTCATTCATTTAAACGTCAATTTCTCATTACTGCGAAAATTAAACTTTACTTGGCGATTTTTATTTCAACCAATCTCCTGCCTCTCATCAAGAATTACCTCATAATCTCAACGAAACTCGCTCATAACCCACCTTCAAGATGGGGTTTCTAGCCGGCTTCGTATGCATCCCGTCCCCAATCATACAACTCTCTATACACGCTCACAATCCTGTTGTAAAAAGGCTGGCGGTGCCACCATAACCCTCGCCGCAACCTACCTTGCCCTCCACACGCACTCCCAAAACCGCCTGGCCCAAGCTACTATCCTCCGCTCCCAAGCAGCCACCCTCGACTCACTCGTCCCTCCCACCGACGAATTCGAGCTCCGTCGCCGACACAACGCCAGCGTCATCCTCCCGGACGGTACCTACCTCCCCCGCCGGAGCCTCCTCTACTCCAGTCCCGATGACGCCACCGCCGTCCTGGAGTCTCTCCGACCGAGGGGCCCAACCCAGGGCCCCATCTCCAAGCTTGTCGAGTCCGCAAAGGAGCGATGGAACGCCGAACTTCAGGGGGCCCTCCGCTGGGCGATGGAGACAGACTGGCAGGGCGTGAGGGAACACTTGGAAGAAAATGTGGCGCGCATCATGGGATGGGAGGTGCCCAAGACGGTAGTGGAAGAGGTCGTGGTAGTCAGGCGACCACAGCAGCCGCCACAAAGGGTGCAAGAGGTGGAGTGGGAAGAGAGGAACCATGAGCCGGGGCTGACGGTGCAGGCTGCTGCACTGGCGTCGGCAAAGACAAGGGCGGCGCTGCATGATGCTAGGGAGAGAGCGGGGCAGGCTGTGAAGGAGGCGGAGAGGGCTGTTGTGGAGGAGGCGAGGGAGGTCAGGGACAAGATGGTGAGGGAGATTAGGAGGGATGTGAAGGTTGTGCAGGAGGAGTTGAGGCATGCGAAGGAGAAGGCGTCTGGACTTATTCATGAGGCAAGGGAGAGGGTTCAGATTGCGGAAGATAAGGCTGAAGAGAAGCTTGAGCATAAGGTTGTTGAGAAGGTGCTTGAGATGACGGATGTGCAACGAGCGCTGGCTGAGCGGTTTGATAGCCGTCTACGCGAGGAGAGGATGAACCGTAGTGTTGAGGAGGTCCTACGGGAGCGGTATGCGCCAATTGGACAACGAGATAATGGAAGACTAAGGGGGCTCTGAGAGTATGAGCTCATTCTTGTCACACTGCGTTCGAGGAGAAAGTCGATGTCGGGGAGCTGGAGCTGGGGGCTGTTTGATGAAATGACTGCAAGGTTAAAAACATTTTATGTTGAGCTGCTCAAGCGTCGGTTATCAGCGTTTATGGAATCTTTATTGAGGAGCTAAGACATGTACGTATTTTACCGAAGTTCACTAACGTTATCCGGGAAGAAAAAGGAAAAAAAAAAATCAATGGATATCTCTTAATTCTTATGTTATCCAAGAATAAACAAAAGCACCTACGCGATCATGCGCGAACCTCTCCTCTCTGCTCCGCCTCGTCCGCACTCACTTCTTCCCCTCATCAATTGTACACTTCCCTTCCAACCACTTAGCAAACTTGACACACTGCACATCCACCACTCGCCAGAACACATCCGACACCCACAGCACCAACGGCACCACAATCCCACACGCCACCACAAACCCGCCCACATACCTCCCCGTTGTCTGCGTCCCTGTCAACCGCCACACCCATCTCTCTACTGCATACCCTAGCGTATGCATCACTGGCCCGTGGCACAGATACACCGCGTAGCTAATTCTCCCCAAGTACTGCGCCACGGGGCTCTCAAACACGTTCCTCTGCCACCACGCGCAGCGGGCGGCTGCCGCCACGAAGAGCGCGGCACCCAGAGATTGCAGGTACCGGTAGTGGTTGCGTGCTGCCTCGCGGCAGTTGCCGTGGAGAGCTTCGTCCGAGCGGTCAGGGTCCGAGACGTCGATGCCCCACCAGCAAGGGATCAGGAGATGGACGAGTGTCTCGTAGCCCGGGGTTTCGTCGGAGCCAATGTCCGGTTGGGACATGAGGTAGAGGGCGAGGATGGAGATGGAGGGCCAAATGAGTGATTGAGGGAAGGACGTGTACGGGTTTGGATTGCGGCGGCGGGGAGGAGATGATGGTTGGGGTTTTGCTTCTTCAGCTTCTTTGAGCTGGTGCTCTGGCTCCTCTTGCTTGAGCGCTGGCAGGCAAAGAACACTTGACGACGATGCCGGTTTAAGGGTAAATGAGAGGGGTGAGTGAGCCCGAGAGATGTTTGGCGTCGGGTACGGCGTCGGAGCCAGCGAAATTGACGATGAGAGCAGCGACGTTGGGGCTGGAGCTGGAGCTGGAGCTGGGTCGTGTATGCCACGGATGAGATCCAGTTCGGCAAGGAGCATGCCGACATAAAAGAGCATCATCTCCCAGCGGGAAGCGCGGTATGCGAACAGCATGATGGCGCCGACAACCGCGAATCGGGCACCCGTCCTTAGGCGTGAGGTCGCGATGATGGTCATAAAGAGCATCATGGACGCGCGAAACTCGACCGGAATCGTCCATAGATGCACGTCAATCTTAGTGCTGCCGCCGAACGCATCCCAATCCCAGATATGAATAAAGTTGAACATCGCCCAAGCCCACTCAACAAGCTGCTCCCGCGTGGTCGGCCGCCTATCGTAATGAATCTCCTGCACATTGCGCATGATAAATTCATCATACGCGAAGTCCCTCGTCCATTCATACGCCCCAATCCTCACCAGAAACACAACGCTCAGCGTCGAGATAGCAGTCGGCAGGAACAGCCGAAAAAACCTCCGAAAAGCCAGACTTGCCATAGTCCCCGCAAACTCCCCCCACCTCTTCGAGCGCAGCAGCTTAAGCGGCCTTAGGCTGAGCGCATACCCCGACACGACGAAGAAGACGCAGACCATCGGCGGCCCGGAGAACCACAGCCTCACGAACGGCAGCAGCAGCGGGTTATAGTGGTCGCCGCTGGTGCCGTAGCCTGGGGCGATCTCGAAGCAGGTGTAGAGCAGGTGGCAGAAGAAGACGAAGAGGGCTGCCACGCCGCGGATGCCATCCAGGTAGGCAGTCGGGCCCAGGTTGTTGTTAGTGCTGTTGACGTGGGAGGAGCTGCTGCTGCCATGTCGGCCGGTGAAACGATCTTGCAGAAAGCTCGGGATAAAGAAGATTAAGAGGCGAATGATGAGAGAGCGGATCTGACGCATGATGCGACGAGTGGTCCGGAGGATTTGCTGGAGTTGAGGTTCCAGGGCTTGTGCTATTACTTCTTCTCGGTCGTTATCTCCGGTCAAGATGTGGTTATCACTTCCTCTGAGGAGTGCCTTCCTCTCGTGTTTTTGACTTTCTATACGGTCTAGTTCGCTGGCGACATAGTTGGCGTCGTTTGTCTCGCTGGGACCAGAAGACGATCCAGAGCGGTCTCCAAGGAATAAGAGCGGCATCGCTGTGTTGAAAGCACGTCTCTGGTTAATAACTACCTGGTGTTACGCCTCTTCCGGAAACGTATGCGTATGAAGAGCTTGAGTGTTCGCAATGTCGGTCGAAACACAAACGAAGCTCCGGCAGGAGAAAAGCCTCGGGGGATATGAACAGGAGGAAGACGGTCGAAGTAGCAAAACAGAGCAAGCTGTGAGAGATATTGTTGCTTAAGAAGCCCGGCCATCCACCCTCAATCACAAGCAGCGCAGCCATGGGCTTTTATGCATGTGCTTCTCAAGCCAAGGAGCAGCCTATATACACAGCCCCGAGTCTCAAGTTCGGATCAGCGAGACGCATGCATGCTGATGGATGACATCAACAGTCAGGCAGTCAAGAAGACACACAATGCATCGAATGAGTCTCTCATTACGCTTAAGGCCTTTCTCCAAAGGGTCATCTTTGACGGTGCTGGTTTGACATGTGCTATCTGCAGCCTGAAAGGTTTGCCGTTTGCATCGCCGTCATGGAGCACGACAATATCATTTCCATTTTGCCGGATACCCGATCACATGTCAGTTATCTTGGCCTTGGCTTTTAGATCTCAGAAGTGGAAAACTGAGGCTAAGGTGCTGGAGTTTAACATAACCTTCTGTCAGCCAAGGGCTACTAGTTCAGGACTCGTTGAAGGGGACGGGAGAGGTTGGCGTTAATGAGGGTTTTGAACTCGTTTGAGAGCGACTACCATTCGTTCAACACCTCCAACCAACAGCCTATCCTACACATCGCAGGAAACACACATAGCAGACCGCCACGCCGTAAGTATCGAAATGATAAGACCGGAGATTAGTAAGTATATACACGCCAAACCGGATGTCTGCCCAGTCTGTCCAGGCAGAGAAGGGCCGATCAAGCATCAGTTTGACGACTTCAACACAAAAATAAAATTACCGAGAACAGTACACATTCTCCTCCCACAAAATAGTCCCGTTACCCATCCGCGTTATGTTTATGGATATCCCGACACCTCTACACCTATACTCCAGAACGCCTCTAATACTCTTCCTAAAGCTACACTCAGTTGGACAGCCAATCCAAAAGCTCGGGCGTAAAGTAGCTAATAATAATAGTCGCGCCGGCGCGGAGAATGCTTTCGTGGCTCTCAAAAACCATGCCCTTGAGGTCAAACACGCCAGCTTTGGCGGCCGCGTGGATCATGGCAAACTCGCCGCTGACCTGATACGCGGCGATGGGCAAATCGCGGCCCAGCTCCTTGGCATCGCTGATGATGTCAAGGTACTGACCCGCGGGCTTGACCATGATGATGTCAGCACCCTCGTGGATGTCGCGCATGATAGCCCGGCGAGCCAGACCACGGCCGCCGGGAGGAAGCTGGTAGCAGCGACGGTCGCCGAACGAGGGAGCCGACCCGGCAGCATCACGGAACGGCCCGTACAGGCAGCCCGAGAACTTGGCCGCGTACGACATGAGCGTCACGCTATGGACAATGCCCTCCTCAATTAGCTTGAGCTTGATCGCGCGGATGCGACCGTCGTTCATGTCGGAAGGGGCCACACAGTGGGCGCCGGCCTTAGCATAGGCGACGGCCACATCCGAGATGCGATCGACCGAAAGCTGGTTGTTGAGGCTGCCATCGTCGCGCAGAATACCGCAGTGGCCGTGGGAGGTATACTCGCACAAGCACACGTCAGCTATGATGTAGAGCTGCGGGAAGCGTTGGCGCAGCAGGCGGATGCTGCGGATCACGGGACCTTCCGGATCATCGGCAGCAGTGCCCAGAGCGTCCTTGGTGCCAGGCTTCAGGGGCACGCCGAACAGAATGACGGAGCGCAGGCCCTTGCGCACAAGAGGCTCGAGGAAGGGTACCAGACGATTGATGCCGCGGCGATATTGGTTCGGCAACGACGGGATCAGGGTCTCCTCGTCGTCTTGATCCGAGATGAAGAGAGGATAGATGAGCATGGACTGGTAAAATGCCGCGCGTCAGCCGAGTTTGTTTGCTTCCGTGAAGACACGCATTCTGCTAACCTTTGTAAGCTGACGCTCAGCCTGCCATGTTCTCGCCAGCGGGTGGCAGTAGCCGGCGTGGAGCTGGCTCGAAATGTCGCCCGAGATGCTCACGCTGGTGGCAGCCGTACTAGTGTACGACTTGGCCAGCGAGATGTGCGATGCGCGGTCATCGACGGTCGAGACGGAGGCATCGCCGCGCCTGCGAAGCCCGTTTGAGTCCCGGAGGGACAGGTCCTGGACAAGGCTTGAAAACGACATGGTTGTCTTGGTAGAAATACTGACGCAGCTGGCCACGACGAGCTCAGGCGCGTGAGCGAAAGAAGTAAAATCTCGAGATCTCCTGGAACGGGACGGGAGAAATTGACGTCGAGGGGTCGTCGGGGCCTCGGAGATGGGTCGGCTTGTGTGTGGATTGGGACAGGATGGCTTATATGCAGGGTAACTCCCGCAGAGGCCGTCAAAAAGGTTGTTCGCAATGAGGTGATCTGATCCGCCGCCCCAGTCGGATTTTGCCGAAGACAAATCGCGCCGTATGGCAAAAACGTGCTTTTGCGCAAAGTGTAACAGTTAAGATCAAAATTGATAACGGCGCTTGAGGAGCAAATTGGAGCTTTATTGACCTCAAATTCGCCTCCGGAAACCAACGCCGAGGGACAAAGTTCGTCTTGAGAAGCTGTGCCGAGCACATGGCTTCGGCCCTCTCGCGCCTCGGATCTCTGCGGAGATCTCCACACTGTATTTTTTTGAATTCGCCAATCAACATCGTGAGATTTCAAAATATTATTCTTGGCACTTGCTGACTCATCTAGCAGCGTGAAGCTCCCGTTTCTTGGCGTTCGCTTCAACATCAGCTGACGCTTCACACCAAGAGAAGCCGCCCCATGTTCCACAGAGATTCCACAACCAGGCCTGCGGTCCACAGTTCACGGCATTGGTCGCCGATCGGATATAGTTACACTTGCCTAACTCTCAGAACAGCCCTGGTTGCAGTCAGCAAGTACAATATGTCCTTGAACTAGAACCTCAGGTCCGAGAACCAAAGAATCGGCATCGAGCATTCCTGACTGCATCTGAGAGAAAGTCGGCGAAATATAGGGCTATATCATGTCGTGGGAGGAACGTACCAAACAGCTGTTAGTTCGTTGGTCTACTTGACGTGATTGATCCTGATATCGCTCGCCTGCAATACCGTTGACATGGCTCTTATGAAATGCTATCGTTGTCCCCGCAAGTCCACAGAGTCAAAGTCCTCTCAAGGAACTTTCATTCTTGGTCTGCCTTGAATTCCAGTAAATTGTTCATGATTATCCATCACCATGAGTTTTTGACGCAGCTAGATGTGCTTTCAAGAATATATATACTGGTATCTCTAAGGCCAAGTCAGATGCCAGCACAAAGTCAAAAGTCACTTAAGTCTTATCCCTTTGTCCAGCAGTCTCAGAGAAGATTGCACAACATGAGGCGACGTGAGAAAGCACAACAGTGGATCCCGAGGTTGAAATAAGCTCTGCTGTGGAGAAGACCGACAAGGTCAAGGCTACTAGAACGAAGCCAAGATGCCCCATCACATGCCCTTCCTGTCATTATGTTGATGAATGAAATCAGGTTCTTGAAATAGATAATTAAGGTACCCTGTTCATTCGCCTTGATGTGAATGTTCTCACAAGGCACACTTCTATATGGATACGTTGCACTCAATAGCAGTCTCAAGACAACCTAACGACATCTATAAGAACACCTCAGAAGCATGCTCGCTTAAGCCCTCAAATTTCCCCATATCTTAGCCAGATCCTCATTGGAGAACCCTAGTATCCCTTTCACATAACCAACGAAACCATCATATTCTACGTAAACAGTCTTAATAAATGCATCCCAGCAGCTGAGCTTCAAGTTGATGAGGTTATGAAACCCAAGAGTCTCGATGCTCGCTACCTTGGACTTCTTCGCAGTCACAAGCAAATGTTCTGCCACAACCTGCGTTCCGATACTCGAAAGGAGCCAGTCAAGGATGGTGGTCTCAGCACTTGTTCTCGCTAGAGCCAACAACAGTCCTGTGATGACCCCAGTTTTGTTTCTGCTAGCTGGTTGCAAATTCAGTCAGTTAAAGTTCTCAGCTACTCGCCAACTACGTTGGGATCTTTCTCCCAGATGAACCTTACTAGTACAGTGAAATAGAACTGCCTGCCCTTCACAATCCCTCACATGCTCCAATATTGCCATGATAATCCTCCTATAATTCCTTATCACATACATATACATGTTTACATATATTCAATGCTATGATGAAAGCATGCACCACACAGCTTACAACAAAGGGTTTAACCTTGAGGATTAGCTAATTCACTGCCCACTCGAGACTGCACTGTCAATCATTCAGCTCTGGAAGGGTTTGTAAATGATGTGCAATTCGCTAGCTAGTTCAGCACTTACGAATGAGATTGGACAAGGTCCCTACAAAGTTGGGTCACCGGTTACCTATATCGATGGGAACAGAACATGCATGTGAGATGAGGCACCAAGATTACGGAAAACATACAAGTCGCACAGTGTTGCGGCTGTCATCCTTGTATCAGGACTTTGTTGCAGGCAAGCAACTATGTGAGAGATACGATATCACTTCTCTTCTGTCACCTCGCATCGGAGTCACTTCTCCAACACCCATACCTCAGACACATCCTGTTTTCTCCGCTAATTTCGGGTATGTCGAGCTTGTGCCTTTTATGACATTCAACTTCAAAGGCAGTTATTCTTCTTAACAGGCCAATATTTTCTGGGGCGCTGGCCATCAAGTCGACGCTTCAGTGTACTCTTGCTGACTGGCACGGGTAGCTGAGTAATCATGCCATTATATATATGGTAATCCCACCACCCCCCCCCTCCCCCCGCGGCGATATTTACTTATATCTAGTATTGCGTGGCGAAGGTCTCAGTCACTAAGTTTTTCGAGGGCAGCCTGATCGGTGCAGTGCTTCAAAGATGCCATGCTTCATAAAGTGATTACAGGCATATGCAACTGTCTATGATGATACCTCGAAACACTCCGCGACCTCGGCGCGCAGACACACCTGATCCGCGTAAGGCCGCAATTTGGGCTATGTCATACAAGGCTAAATGCTTACAATCTCTATTGAAAGTTTTTCGTTGGCATTGATTTTGAATGATAAAAATAGCCGTTTTGGTGTGGCTGTTAGGTGGAGATGTCATGCGTGTGACGCATGTTACCTGTCGCGGGGATCCATTTCTCCCAGGCTGACAATGTAGCAAGACCCCTAACCCTGGTCAGTGGGGCAGCCATTTCAGGGGGGAAAGTAAACAAACACGTCAACGCCGTCCTAAGGTTTGATAACGACCGATCGATTTAATTCATTGAACAATGTCTATAACAAGAGCCGTAGTCCAGAAGTAATGATATATCCCATATACTAGTGAAATATACAACTTTAGGCGGATAACTATACCACACTGCCCGGCGCAACACTCCTCTTCCTCCTTACCCCCCTCAACCTCCCCCACAACCCCACCCTCCTCCTCCTCCCCCCTCTCTCCTTCCTTCTCTTCTCCCTCTTCTCTTCCTTCACCTCCTCAAAACCTCTCACCCTATCCATCAAACACCAATTATACCCCCCAAACAACCCCCCACTCACGACAACCACAACGCCCTCCACCGAAGCAACCGCAATCGCTTGCGGACACCACTCCCCATTATGCTGGGCATACACCGCTATCAACGTCGCTCCAAGCCCCGTGAGCCCATTCAAAATCAGAGGAAGGTAAAGTTTGTTCAGTAGCCAGATGTAATTTCTCCTCCAGCGTAGAGCCAGCCAGGCGGTGCCGAAGACGCCAGTGAGAATGAAAACGCTCGCTAGGACGAGGGCAACTCTCTGGGCAAGAGAGAGGGGTACGTTGACGGTGATCTGCCCTACCCTGATTGTCGTGCCTTCATTGTTGTTGTTAGGAGGTTGCTCAGATGAGACGGAGGGTTGACGCTCGGTGCGTGTGAATGACCCGGGGAAGAGGACAAAACCTAGTAAAAGGAGCCAGACGAAGACTACTGCCAGGATATTATGCAGGCGAGGGATGCGGTCAAGAGACATAATCATATTCAGGTATGGCGTCTGAGTCCCGTTGCCACTGCCATGCCCAAAATTTCCCCTACCCTGTTCGGGGTCGGATGAGTCGCTGGCGTACCCCCTCTCAGTTCCCATCCCACGTCTCTTCGTGTTCAGGGGCTTCGTGCTCGACTCGCTGGCAACTGAACTACCAGTATTGGAATGACTGGGCGGTTGCGGCTGGAACTCTTCCCTTTCAAATCTTGTCGGCGAAGTAAATGTGCTGATGCCGGTACCAACGAAGGGACTAACTGCTGGGGGAGGGGGGCGTGGCGGACTTGTTGGCGAGACTGTGTTTGATCTTGAAGGTGGTGGTCTTGGGGGGCTGGCTGTAGTTTTGCTTGACCTTGAAGGAGAAGGGCGCGAGAGAATCGAGATTGGAGGAGATGTGGTATTCGATCTAGATGGGGGGGGATTGCTGGCGAGGGATTGGGGG